GGGACATCTCTGTAAAAGAAAATCCCTGTGCTCAAAATACATGTGCCAGGTGACTATTTCTATGAAACTCATCCAAATTTCACAAGGAATATTGATGATGATGATGATGCTCTTCTGAATCCCCTTTCAGGATAATTCTGTCATGTCCAAACACTATTAACAGAAAAAGGGCTGACAAAAAAGTAACTGAAAAGAAAGCTAAGAAAATCACTAAAAAAGACTGTGGAAGATTAAGACACCTGCCCTGGTTTTGGCTGGGATAGTTAATTTTATTTTAGTAGCTGGTACAGTGCTGCATTTTGAATGTAGTATAAAATGAGTGTTGATAACACACTGATGTTTTCATTGTTGCTACATTGTGCTTACCCTAAGCCAAACGGTTTCCCATGCTCTGCCAGTGAGCAGGTGCACAAGAAACTGGGAGGGAGCATGGCCAGGACAGCTGATCTGAACTAGCCAAAGGTATATTCCATACCACAGAACATCATTCCCATAGATAAACTGAGAGGAGTTGGCCAGGAGGTGCTAATTGTTGCTCGGGTGTTGGCTGGCCATCAGTCAGTGGGTGGTGAGCAACTGGATTGTGCATTGCTTGTTTCTTCTGGGTTCCTGCCACCCCCTTTAATTAAAATTATTAATATTGTCATTATAAATATTATTATTAGATTTTGTTTTGTTTCACATATTAAACTGCTCTTATCTCAACCCACAAGTTTTGCTTTTCTTTTTTTTTTCCATTTCTCCTCCCCACTGCAAGGTTGGGAACAGGTAGGTGATTGAATGGCTGCGTGGTACTTAGCTGCTGGCTGGGATTAAACCACAACAGGAGCATTAAACCAGGAGAAGCAAAGCCAGTGATGTGGTATAAGGTAACTAGCTATACTATGCCAAGCAATTCAGAACAGCAGTGAAAAGCACAGCAGGTAGAGGAGATTAGGGTGTATTCAAAGACTCTAACTGATGTTCAGAAATATGAAACACCATCAGCAATGAGTTTCCTTTACACCAAAATGCAACAGGTTTTTCAAGGTGACAAGTGATGTTGTATAGGAAGCAGTTGCTACAATTAAATTTTTTCAAAAGTAAAAGAAGTGCATTTTTACTTGAAGTACTGCATTGTGAGAAAAATCAGACAGTCTAATTAGGAGTAAATGATTAATTTTGATATGTTATTCCTAACACTAACTGTGACGTAAAGGAAATTTAACTGGTAGCTCCATGAACAGAGGAGTAAATTAAATCTAGGTCCTCATGTCACTGTGTCTTAGTGTTGGTTGGCTTGTGAACTTAAGAAGATGCAAGCTTTGCCTGCAGTTCTGTGTTTTTAAGGTCTTTCTCTCAAATGGTTTCACCATTCCCCTAATAGAGGTTCAGATCTTGCAGCAGTGTTCCTTTCAATAGGAACATTTATGGGATCCTGCATTTTTTCCCATCTACTTCAATGCAACTGGTAGGTCCTTAATCTTTCTGAGGTCCTAATCTCTCTAGATTTGGTGACGGTGTACTGTGGTCATTGTATGAAGTGCAAACACCTTCCACATGAATACATGTATACATATATACAGGGCATCATCCCACATCCCTGATTTCCTAACAAATCATCAATTTTTGCAGATTTTGTTTTGAAATTAATTTGTTTGTTTGTTTTTATGAACAGCCAGCCATTTTCAGGCAAGGTTTCCAAACTGATCCCTGTGTAAGCAGCAGAGAACAATGGCCAGTCCTGGCACTACACAGGTCAATAAAATTGACCACGAACTGTTCTTGATCTGCAAACTCAGCTCAGCTGGGGTAGGTACAGCTGAACCCCACACAGTATGAAATGAAGCACAGAATTACTGGAAGTTGGAGAGCTCCCAGGCTGCCAAAGCAAAATGTAAAGGGTCTTGCATCACTACTGAACAATGGTCACCAGGCCTCCAATGCTTTCCTCCCTCACAGTTTTTCCCCATGCCCACATTTGCCTACAAGCAGGATAATCCCTCAAAGTCTATTTTCACAACTTAGTTCAGAAAGATGGGCAGCATCTTTCCAAGCTCAGGGCTCAATATATTTGTCTCATCCACAGGAGAAATACATCTGACTGATCTCCCAATGCAGTGGCCTCTCCACATGAAAAATAACAGGAAGGGAATGTCCTTCCCTACAGACTTCCAGTAATACCTCACAGAGCTGTCCCATAGTGGAAATGAGCCCAATACAATCACAAGGAAGGAACCATTTGGAACCCATAGGCAGTCTGGGGTTTGTTTGGTCAGATCCATGGCCTTTTCAATTACAGGGTGCTGGAGAGATGTGAATCTTACCCCTCTTGCTATTAAACTGAATCCCACTGATGTCAGTAGATCTTACAAAAACAGTCACAGCCACAATGAGATGAGACACCACATAAGGCCCAGTGGAGAGGGGGCAAAAGTGTTACAAGAAGATAATGAAAGACAGAAGTTTGGAAGCCATTTACATATCTATTGTAGCAATGAGAAAAAGCAGTTCTCTGTTATACAGCACAAACCAATAGAGCTAATTTTGTTCCCTGTGTGAAATATCCAGAAAAACTTTTAGTCCTGTTCTCCAGGTTCACTTGCTGTGATTTAGAACATGGCCATCATACAGATTTGCTGCTTGTTCCAAAAATGGAAACATCCACATTGGAGGAGCCAGCCTTTCATGGCATATTGATTATGATGAAATTTGAAAGACAATTTGCTTAACACTGCTGGTAAAAGAGCCAAGGATGCCACGTGAAACCAAAGTGATGTTCATTTCCTCATAGCTGCTTGTGTTTCAGTTAAGAAACATGATTTGTTTTCCAGTACATGTTATCACTTGTTATGTTTACATTATGTCAAAAATTATAAAGAAGCCAAATCAAAATTGTATTAATCCTATGTAATTAACACTTTAAATGCATGTTATTGTTTGAATGGTTTGAGCAACATAATTCCTGAAGAAGTGCAAACAAAGAACACTGAGCATGAAGCTCTGAGCAGCACAAGCTGGTCTGGGCCAGAGCCCGTTTTTATCCTTCCTGAGAAAAAGGAGTCATGCTTTTTTGGCAACAAATACCTTTTTTTGGACAATACCAGTTCATTGCACTGAGTGGGGATGTGCTGGTTTTGATCGAGGCTTTGCTTGAAAGGTTTATCATCTTTCATGTTGTCAGAAGTTGATTTAGGGCACCCAATTCAGATGATCAATAAATCAATAGGTACTGGTAGGTGTAGAGCATAGGTTTCTTTCTTGCTCTTCCTCAACAGGACATCTGGAAGCTCTTACTCATTGTATAAGTAATTAGAGAGTAATTGGGCTACAGAGACTGGTGCCCTAAACTGCTGTGGTGCGATTAGGACATGCCACTTGCACACCATGGCCAGCTTCTGTCTCTGCAAGGACATTCAGACTCCCAGATAGGCATCTAGACACCAGACCAAAACAGACATGATTTCACAGCTCAATTTAATAATCCTGCCAGACCAGACTTCCACCTGCTCCCCCTCCTTCCAATATGCACTCAGAAATAACTCCAAAAGGCCTGCAATTCCAGAGCTCCCAAGAAGAGAGAAGCGTTCCATCATCTGTGCTTGGCTGTCAGGTGTCTGTCTGGTCATTTCTGTCTAAGATACAGAAGGCTGCTGAAAATCATGTCTTAGAATGGTCATATCCAGGCAGCTCAGAGCACTTACAGCAAAGACTGCTTCCAGCTTATCCAGCTGTGGGTAAGAGCCAGGAGAGGCTGGGCAGGAAGGACAATTATTCCACCTTCCACAAAGGAAAACAGGGTAATTTTTAATCTTCAGGCTGGTTCTGACTTTTACTAGGTAATCACTTCCAGCATAGCACTTTGCCAATGTACAGCTCAAGATGGAAAGCTACTGTGCAAAGCCTCTAAACTCTGCTGCAAGGTGTGCTGTGTGTGGCTGCACTGCTGTCAAGCACATCTGAGTCAGCTTTGGCATCCTTTCATCTTCTTTCCCCATCTGGGGTTGGTAATATGTGGCAAAGTGGCCAAATATGGTATTTGCTGTTAGTCCTGTGTCTACTGCTGGCTATAAAAATAGGCACATCTCCACCACTTGACATGCATGACCTTAGAATCCCATAGGTGTTTTTGGTGTATTCCTCTCTGGGTAAGGTGTGTGAAGCTCCATTTGTGATATTCCTGTGCACTTTGACTCCTCAACATGAAGATGAATCGTAAAACTTCTGTGAGCACAGTGCAGGTAGTAGGGCTTCCCTGTTGCACAACCGCAGTGTTCATCAACTTGTCTTGGTAAATCTGATTCAGTGAGTTTCCTTCCAGATTGCACAACTCACGGAAATGTATATATCAAACGATATTTTCACCTCAGCCCTTTGGGCAGGTGGTGCAATATGCTAATGAGCGAGGGTAGGTTCCCCATCCTGGAGAACTCTCGTGTGAAATGTCTTCCCTCCAGAAGCTCTGGACCGCAACCCAAGTTTGCGGTGTAACCGCGTTCAGGCGGGGCTGTGCCGTGGCTCCATCCCGCAGCCCGGAGGCTCGGGGCGGGCTGCCCTGGCCCGCGATCGCCGCCCCTTCTCGCTCCGCGGGGGCGCTCAGCGCCGCGGGGAGGAGCGGGCACCGGCACCGTATAAGGCCCGCCCGCCGTCCCGGCTGCGGCACTCGCGCAGCGGCTCCCGGCGCACCCGCTCCCGCCCCCGGGGACACGCGGCGGGGACCTGCGCGGGGCGCTCCGCAGCGCACCTGTCCCGGCGGCGAACACCGCACCGCACCGCCCCGCACCTGTCCCGGCGGCGGACACCGCAGCGCACCGCCCCGCACCTGTCCCGGCGGCGGACACCGCAGCGCACCTTTTCGCTTCTGTCCCGCTGGTGTCACCGCACCGCACCTGCCCCAGCCCCGGCGGAAGGCACCTCCCCGGGGGCCCGTTCCCATCTGCTTCCTCCTGCTTATGCCAGTCCTGCGGAGGCAGCAACAGCACCTCTGATTTTGGGGAAGAGCCTTGGTTCCAAGGGTGAGTTCCTTGCGTAGAATGGGGCGCTTCACCGTGTGGGACTATGTGGTCTTTGCGGCTATGCTGCTCATCTCAGCCATCATTGGCATCTACTATGCCTTCGTGGGAGGTGGGCAGAAGACGTCGAAGGACTTCCTTATGGCAGGCCGAAGCATGAGTGCCCTCCCGGTTGCACTCTCCCTCACCGCCAGCTTCATGTCCGCCGTCACGGTGCTGGGCACCCCTGCTGAGATCTATCGTTATGGTGCCATCTTCTGCGTCTTTGCCATCACCTACGGCCTGGTGGTGCTGTGCAGTGCTGAGATCTTCCTGCCCGTCTTCTACAAGCTGGGCATTACCAGCACCTATGAGGTAAGGGAGTGGAAGGCTTTAGGGAGCTGGGAGGCTTCTCATGCCTACTTTCTACATGTCTGCCCTCCACCTTCTCTTCCCCCAAATTCCCTGCACTCTAGGCTGTCCTATGTCCTCACACTCCCAAGAGCAGGCTGCAACCCTCTGTCCCCAAGTCTGCCTATGCTGTCTCTGCAGGCAGGTGATGCTCAACCCTGCTGCCTTAGCTCAGGAGCTGTGTGTCGTACCAGATTTATTTCCTCATGCCTGATACTCAGTTCAGTAGGTGGAGTAATCCTAATGCAGCTTGGATGGTGACATGTCATTAATCATCTGTAATTAATATACCCAAACCAGAGCACAAAAGCATCTACTATAGGAACCAGAGTTATCACATCACATCATGCTCCCTCCAGATTGGTTTCTAAGCTAAGGTGCAACCACAAAAGTCACCCTTTGGCAGAGTAGGTATTTGTGCTGTTCCTAGAGATTTTGAAGACACCCCTTGTCACCTGAGGCTGTTTACACTACTGAATGTCTTCTCTCTCATGATTACAAGGAGGTCAGCAAATGCTCTCTGTCTGTGAAAGTTTTCTTATTTCCACCAAAATAAGGCTGAGCTGGTTTTAAGCACAGCATACAAGTTAAAGTTATAGCCATCAGCACAGAGACAGCTGGGGTAGTGGGATAATCACAGGTCGAGACTGACAGTTTTGGGATGGGGAAGCATCTGGTCAGTGCTTTCTTCTGATTCAAAATGTCCATGCAACGTGTTTATCCTGCATGGAGTTAGTTCCTACCTGCAGATTTGGGAGCAAACTGCTCATTTTGCAGAGGACTTTGGGAAAGGAGCATCGGTGCAGGTGAAAGTCCTTGACTGTCTGCTTTGATCTTTAGCATTTTATTACACTGAACAGAGACATTGCAGCACTGGAGGCTGAAAACAAGATTTCTGCTAGTGAATTTAGATAAGAGTTCACCAACAGAAATTCCTGGTGTCTTCCAGTGTATTTTAATCTACTAATCTTTGGACTGTCATGATGATACTTAAATAGGGCTCTTTTAAATAAAAGCTTATGATAATGACTGGAAACTCACTGATTACCTTGGCATTGAATCAGTAATCCACCTATAAAAGATATATCTTCTATTTCTGGACAGAGTTCAGATTTTTAGCAACCTTTTGTATCTGTCCAGGGGTTCAAGACTGCTTCCTTGTGGGGACATGCTCACAGGTCACGCTTTAAATGCTCAGTTCATGAGTGAGCCCTTTTGAGCCTCAGTGTTTATCTGTGCTGATTGGACAGATTTGTCAGGCAAATTAGATTTCTTTTGTACAACCACACACTGAGAGTGTTTTTAGGACAGATGGTGGTAAGAAATCTGCTCTGCAGCATGACAGACTAATTTAGAGGTTGTGCTGTTCCAGCCTTGATAGAAAAGTGAGGATTCCTGTTTCACAAAAGGATAAATTTTGACTTATCTGTAGAATATATCAGGCTGCCTTGGGCAGTGCAGAAGGTGAGGTTAACATGGGGAGAAGCTGCTGACAACTGAAGATCTTTTGCCCTCTCTTGCAGCAGTTCAGATGGACACACATAATGCCAGAGTTTCCACACTGACTAAGATGCAGGAATAGTCACAATGTTTTCTTTTTCTCTCTGATTTCATAAAACTAGTGGATTCTATTTCTTGGCTGCTATGTCATTGTCAACTCTCAGTTGTAATGACTCTTAGTAAACTCCCTGTTTAGAGTCAAGAGTTGGACTTGATGATTCTTGTGTATCTTTGTTCTTTTCAACTCAGCATATTTAGTGTTTCTGTGATAATATGTTCTAGTCTTTTCTGTAGACACCCTTGCATAGTGACTAGCTTATGTCTGCTTCACTTGTTTGTGTTTCATTACCCACTGGTGAAGTCTGTAAAGAAAACCAGGTTGAAAGAGATTCAAACAAGGAGACTCTAGGAGTTTTGGCCATTCATGAAAATGTAAAAACTACACTCTGCTCTTTCTGTATTGCATATCACTTCATTCTAGTCCTATCAATAATGCCAAATTTCAATATAAGCATTTGTTTTTTCTTCTTTTTTGCAGTACTTAGAACTTCGATTTAATAAATATCTACGCCTCTGTGGAACGGTCCTTTTCATAATACAAACGGCAAGTGAACGTCAGAGCTGTTCTGTGGTTCTCGGGCTGCCGGAATTATTTGGTTGGGTGTAACTGGCTGTTTTTTCTGGGCAGTTGATGTGGTTACCACAGTGCCTGGGTGGCTGGGAGCAGGAGAAACAAAGCTCTTTCTGCTGCACAGCAGTGAGGTGGGGAGCAGGTGCTGGGCTACCTGCCTCCTGGGTCTCTGTGGGCACTGTTGAGTACCCAGTTCAGCACCATGCCAAGAGACGAGCAGCCCTTCACACAGGGTAGCAGTGTGAAGAGCAGTCATTCACTTGCCTGCTGGAGAACCTCGCAATGAGTTCAAAATGCAAACGTGCACCAATGATCTACAGTGACAGTTTTCGTTCTCTGCTGCGTGGATTCTGGGAGTCTAATTCTCAAGGGTCAGTGAGAGGTGATGAAAAAGGCTGTCAGGAGCTGTCATTTACTTACTGCACAAGGGTTTGCACCACCACTGGAAAAACCTTAGGTGTCTGCAAACTGAGAAGTAGAAGATTACTACCCTGGGGAATGTTAAACTAAAGCAATCTCTTAAATTATTGTTGGTACAGTTTGTTGTCTGGCCCTTTCAAAGGGTCAGTATGGGACCACAGCTTCTAAATGTCAGTGAGCACATGCCAAATGCACCAGAAAAAAATGTGTTCTTTTCACAGTTTTGAAGTGGACTTTTGGGTAATTCAAAGTAAGAATGACTATTCAATCAGTAAGTTTTTTAAGGTACATGCTTGTTTTTGTCCATTTTTGCATTTTTTAAGGCACACCAGAAGTCACAGGGCAATCACATTTGCACCAGTAAGATAGTTCCCAATGCACTGCTCATTACTGATTTTAGCAGTGCTGCTTAGCTGGTTTTTACAGATACACAAGCTCATGGAAAAAGTAGAGTGCTGGCATGTGTGAAACCTGACACTGTTTCACCAGCACGTATGAAGACATCACAGTTGCATAAGTTGGAAGAGCTAAGCATAATCTTTGCCTGCAAAGATGAGAAAAATAATTCTATGCAACTTAAATACATGCTCAAGGAAATTAACCAAGGAGCTATATGTGGCTTTCTCTGCCAAGCACTTACAATTTAACCTGAATAAATTAAATACTAGTGAGGAAAGAAAACCTCCCAAGATTTTAATGGTGCAATTTTAACTCTTCTGTGAATATTAATACTTAAAATAAGGTAAAGAAAAGGATTTATAATAATACAATCAAAAAAACTCTACTGAAGAAGCAGAAAGATTGTATCAGTCCTATTTAAATTGACACAAAAATGTGATCATAGTTGGGATAAATTTTAATTTCTGATAATTGAAGGCTTCTGACACTTATTTGCTGTGTATGAGAAAGCCACAAGTTCTCATGCTGAATCCCTTGAGTTAAAAGGCTTGAAGAGGTATGAGTTTGACTGATGGACTATTAGAAGAAAAAAAAAGTAACTTGATGATTGCATCCAAAGCATTGCAGTAAACAGCTAAATATTCTGATGGAAACCAATAATGACTGCTATATGTACTGGAATCAATACTATTTAATACCTTCATTAAGGACATAGATAGTGAGAATGAGCTCACCCTTAGCAAGTTTGTGGATGACACCATGCTAAGTGGTGCAGCTGATTTGCTAAAGGGAAAGACCATTCAGAGGGACTTTGACAGACTTGAGGAGTGGCCCCATAAAGTTCAACAAACCCATGTGCAAGGTCCTGCTCACGGATTGGGGCAATCACAAATATGAATATAGCCTGAGGATGTACTGATTGGGAGCAGCCTTGAAGAGGAGGACTTTGAGATAGTGGTGGCTGAAAAATTTGACCAAGTCAGAAAGTCTGGTCACAGTCCGGAAAGTCAATTCTATCCTTCACCAAAAGAAGTATGGGCAGCAGTTTGAGGGAGGTGATTCTCCCTGTCTACTCCACTCTTGTGTGACCCCACCTGAAGTACTGCATCTGCCTGTGGGGTCTCCAGCACAGGAAAGACATGGACCTCTTGCAGAAGGTCCAGAGGATGACCACAAAAATGGTCTTGGGGGTGGATCACCTCTCCTGTGAAGAAAGGCTGAAAAAGGTGGGATTAACTGTTAAACTTGGAGAAGGCTGTGGGGAGACCTTATTGCAGCCTTTCAAAGGGGGCTTATGAGAAAGGTGGAGAGAGACTTTTTACCAGGACCTGTAGTGACAGGACAAGGAATAATAGTTTTAAACTGAAAGAAGGTAGATTTTGAGTGGGTAGAAGGAAGAATTTATTTGCAAAAAGGATAGTGGGATACTGGACCAGGTAGTCTGGGGAAGAAGTGCAATGGCCCAGCCCTGGAAGTGTTCAAAATCAGGTTGGATGGGGCTCTGAGTAGTGTGATCTAGTGGAAGGTGTGCCTGTCCATGGCAGGGGCATTGGACTAGATGATCTTTAAAGGACCATTCCCACACACACCATTCTATGATTCTGTGTTTCAGCAGCCCATGCTGACAGTCACTGTATGGACAGCAAGTCAAACATCGACTGGGCTAGACAGGTGTCAGGGGCTGGCTGGGAGGTGGTATAGGTAGTTTTAGGAGATATTCACCAGGGACTAATCAGGACTGGCAGCTTTCTTGTCATGCAAGCTGCATATAAAAATCTAGAGAGAACTTATGGCACTGAGAGAAACAAGCATGCACACACAGTGGCAGGGTGTAGCACACAGGTAGGAATAACTATTTCCCCAATGGCCCCCCTATCCTTTCTGGCATGTGCTTCTAGCCGGTGTGCAGCAGGGGCTCAGGGCAATTAGGTTAGGCTGGGTGAAGCAGCTTCTCCACACTAATTTCCTCATACAGCTAGAGAGCTGCTCACTCCCGTTATCTCTTGGCTCTGTCCCAGCATAGCTACTGGCCATGTGGCAGAGCTCCACCTCAGGGACTGGCTTTGATCTGCTCAAAAGCCACGGCAAGTAATTCAGTGGTTAGCAGTCCTGCTCTGGTTTGCCACCTGTGCCTAGGGGTGCAGGAAGGGCAGAAGCTGGCTGAATCCTGGATGACATCTGATTCTGCTATTTTCCATGCCCAAATCCCATCCCTGTAAATCAGAAAGTCAGAAGAGTCCAGCCATGGACAGCTGATGCACGTCAGCTCATGACCTATTGGTGATCCGATGCTTTGAATCAAGACCACTGACCTTCACAGAAGTTATCAGCACGTTGGAAGCTGTATTCTTGTAACCCATGTCAGAGCTGAACTTGTGGCAGTAATAACAGTGATAAAGAAGCAAACAGGATTTAAAACCATGTACAAAGAAATTGAGGATATCAGTGTATGAATCCCATTGTGCCCACAAAGGTAGATGGAGTAGCTCCTTGATTTGTCTGTGTCTTTACTGTGGTTCAAAATATAATCATGTATGGCTTTGTTTTACAGGCTGAAGGTTACATTCCCTGTAACACTATCTGTAATGACCAACTGATGTCATATTTTGTGTTCTTACTCACTGAAAGACATACTGATCTCGAGACTGAGAAAATGATAGTAATAGATTCCTTGACAAATCATGTGTAAACCTCATTAACTTCCTTTTGATCTTGTTTCCTTTGCAGTTTTAAAGGAATAGGATAAGTTAATTATAAAAGCCAGGAGAAGATGAAGATGCATTTTATATTTAAGGGTCCTGGTGTTTGTTTTAAGGACACTAGGCTGTGAGATTGTAGAGATTAATAGCCTCAGACATTTGTCTTCTAATTGGAATTATTTGTCAACAATTATGAATTTAGGAAATATAGACTACATAGATATTTGAAAAGAAATAATCTCAGAAAGTTATCACCTTTCCAGGAATTTACATTTATTTTGATATTTCTCTTTTTTTTCCCCACTCTAGACTTTATACACGGGTATTGTCATTTATGCTCCAGCTTTAGCACTAAATCAAGGTAAAATGAGTATACTGTAACTGTTCCTCTACTGATATTATTTCTTCTTCATGTAACATAGGTATGGTGGGGTATTTTTGGTAATGCAACACATAAAAATATAGCTCAGGGCTTGACTGTGAAGTATTTTAATGTAATCCTAGTCCCTTAATCCCTGCCTGTAAGGAATTACAGAAGAGATTTATGGGAATACTGGCTCTCATTTACTCTACCTCTGATGCAATACCTGTAGATAATGGCTTATTCAGAAAAGTTGAGAAGGCTTAAGTAAATTTTTAAGGCAATGCAGGCACTAAAGATAAATTTAATTCCTTTGGTTAAGTGCTGTTCTTCAAGACGAGAGCAAAGCAAAAGTTCTGTAAATATTATTTTGGGCTGCCTGGAGCTGTTTAATGGGCTCTGTCCTTTTTCTAGGAAAACCAAATCAACAGCAAAGAGATTTTTAACTTAAGATGTTTATTATGATATTTACAAAGTTAAATATTTCCATTTTCTACTTCACAATGACTCTTTGATTTGAAAATGAGCCACACTCATTTCTAAAAGGGCAAAAGCTTTTCTGCAGAGCCAAATTAAACTTTTAATCTTACACCATTAATTTTGTTCATTTGGCAAGAAAAAGAAACAACAAAATCCAAATAAAAATGAATCATTTTGGCTAAAATCAAGTCACAGTTGTTCTGCTCATTGAATAATTTTTTTGCCCTGTTCATTGAACAAAAAGGAAGAAAAAACTCAACTCTCTCTACTGGTTTCCTCCAGTGTATAAGTCCCACAGGTTTTGTGTCTTTGATATTTATATTTGCCTTGCAAATACATGCTAAACCAAGCTATGACTTAGCTGGCTCCTACATAGAATAACTTACGTTTTTCACTAGTTTTCAGTGTTCCTCATTAGCCTGAGCTCTCTGTCAGGGAGCCCCCAACACCCTGCCTGGCAGCAGGTGAGCATGCCAAGCTGGGACAGTGACAACCTGTATGTCAGCCACAGCAGAGTGTTGTATAGCAGGAACATGGGATCATTCAGAGAAGGAAGAATAGAAGAAAGGCTTTGACACATTTCTTCCGACAATGCTTGAATAACCTTATCTCTGTGGGGAACCCCCAGACTGTTTACTTGCTTAAATCCCTGCCTAAGAGCTTGGCAGCAACAGCAGAGGTGTTGCAAGGAAGGACATGTATTTTAAAACCTTCCTGAGTTGGGCCATATTGGATGTGTTGTATGGGAGTGTTCTCAGCAAAGACAATAGCTTCCTAGATCCTGAAATAAATCTGAACTTTTTAGCAGTTTCCAAATCTGTAACAACTGTTTCAGTTTTACAACTGGTTAGGGTGAATCCCATGGTTTAGCCACACGAATCTTTTCATTGCCATTTATAACTCTTACTTTCGCATTTAATTTATTTCTAGCTTTTTCCAATAATTGGCCTTCAGTGTTTTGTCCCCAGTGCCTCATTCACACTAGTGCTACGTCTCTCTCTTTCAGTCACTGGCTTTGACTTGTGGGGTGCTGTGGTGGCGACTGGCGTGGTCTGCACATTCTACTGCACACTGGTATGTGGGCCCTTTGGTTGAGAAAAATTGATGCCTTTCACCACTTACATCAAAAGTGGAATTTATTAAAAAGAAGTCTAATAATCAGGTTACTCCATGGAATTACATTTTACAGGTGTAGCCACAGGACCATATTCATCCAGGGATCTCTTTGAATGCATAGGCAGCCTGTATGCAAATGAAATCTTTTTTGTTATGATACACTCAAACTTTCGTTGTTGCTGAAAGAATATCAAAAAAAGGTAGATTTCCCTTTCTAAAAATTCTCCTGTGGTTTTTCTTTTGATATAGTAGGGTTTTGCTGTACAATTTGTCAAACACCGGAACTGTAACAGTCTTGTGTGTTATTGAATAGAGCCACTGAAAATAGCATGCCACATGAACAGATTGGTCTTTAATTCAGCATTAATTCACCAAGTGTCTAGATGAAATGATGAAATGGAGCCTCAGTGACAAATTTATTTGCATATGGTGGATTAAATAATGTTTATTTTTATTCAGATGAATGGTATACCTTCTGGAGTCAGTGGTACTTATATAAAATAAGATGAACACTGTCTGAAAATCTATCTTTTGATACAAACTTCTGAATCAGGTTATGTAGTGAAGGAAATACTGCATTAAACTATGTGTATGGCCAAAGTAAATTCCCATGCCCTTCAAAAAAGGGATCAGGATGTCCTGAATATCTTACAGAATACAATTCCTAAAGACATCAGTTAGACAGAATTAGTTCCATTAAAGATGAAGATTAAATTAATCCATTACCCATAATACAGATGGTAATGCTTCTGTTAGTTGAATGTGAGTGCAAAGCAGGAGTGCTGCTGCCTTGTTGTACCTGATACATGCTCTTCCTCTTGCAGGGTGGTCTGAAGGCAGTGGTGTGGACAGATGTTTTCCAGGTTGGAATCATGGTTGCTGGATTTTCGTCTGTGATTATACGAGCTGTGGTGGTTCAGGAGGGAATTGGACGCATTGTAAATGATTCCTACCATGGAGGAAGATTAAACTTCTGGGAGTGAGTTTGTACTTGCAGAGGCTGTGCCTCTCTATTCCTACAAATAGAGCTCATGTGACTAACTGTGAAATTAAACTGCTACTGTAGGAGGAGGATGGCAGAAGTTGTGACCCAGTTTCTGTATATTTTTAAACAAGCTTCCCTAGTTTGAGGGATATTTTTTAGGTTTTACTCCATGCAAAATCCTGGAAAGAGAAAAACCTTTTTACTTTGTCAAGTAGGTATTTTAAGGATTCATTTGGGATTCCACTGAAAGAGAACGGTAAATAGGAGAGCACATTTGTATTTATAATTACAATTTGCAAACAGTGTTTTGGCATTTCAGTGACTGGACCAAAACAAATGGGAAAATAATAATTTTTGCCTAATCTGAAAAAGGGAGGGTTTTTTTCCCTGAAAGAAAAAATAAAAGTAGTTTTAATAGTATTTTACCCTCCATTATTGTAAGTAATCTTAGCCTAAAAATATCACTTTAAAAATTCAAGAATATTTAGTTTGACAATGTTGAATCAAAGACCATTTCAAATAAAAAAGTTATTGTACATTTGATGAATACAAGATTCTTCTGAGAACCTTCACCTGTTAGTGAAAGTTCAGTATGACAAGTATTGCTATTTGTCCTTTGTCTGTCAGTTCACAATACTAATCAGGTTACTCTGTAAAATTCTTCACCGAATTCTTCAGTAAGTAATTAATCTGTGGGTAATATTTTCTACTTATTAACAGTAATTTATTTCAATCTGTTTGGCTCATTTGCAGTGGTTGTATTGCATTGATTCTTCTCCCAATCACTGAGTTCACAGATGGAAAAAGAAAAGGAATAAAGGTTGTAATAGGTGAAATAATAGTACAGCGTTCACCAAGATAAATAAAATTTATTGCTGTATTAGAGTTTGATTTAAAAATAATAATTGTTCATGGCCACCTAAAATCTGCTGTTTACTTAGAGGTAAACCAGCAAAATGTTTCATAGAGGCTCTGTCCACAAAGTCTGGGATTGTAAACACACCTTTATACTGGTGTTAGACTGATGTCCCTCAAGATAAGCAGGCACATTACACTTTTTACTGCAGCATCATTTCATCACAACCATCACAAGCATCAAACAACTTTACATAAGACTGTAGTTTATAGGCAAATAAAGCTCTCCAGCTTCACCTTTGGACAGTTCAGAGTGTTTCACTGGCTCAGAATGTCAGCTCTGAGTTTTAAAATTTGCTTTCTGTGACTTCACATAAAGTTAGAGTTACTTAATGTTCAAAATCTGGCCAAATTAAGAAAGTTTGTATTAGAACAAGCATGGAGAAATTATTTCTTCTAAGCATTACAGTCTTTACATATTAAGAAGACTTTCGTATTCTGAATTTGCTTTCTCTTTTTCCTTTCGTTGTAGCTTTGATCCCAATCCTTTGCAAAGGCACACCTTCTGGACGATTGTTATAGGTGGGACTTTCACGTGGACTGGTATATACGGGGTTAACCAGTCTCAAGTCCAGAGATACATCGCATGCAAAAGTAGATTCCACGCAAAATTGTAAGTCTGTCTGCAGTTACTCTGTGAACTTATCAGTGGCTGTTCTTTATAAGAGAGATTTTTTTTTAAGGAATGAGTGGGTATTTTGTCTGTATAAATTGCATTTATAAAGGCTAATGACTTTTGTCTTCTGTTTTGTGGACCAGGCAGAAGAAATTTGGCTCAGTAATTACTGGTATATGAATTATATGTGTTTGCTGCAACACTGAACTTTGTGCCTGAATGTTTCACTGCACCAGTATTCTCATATAGAAATAGCTGCATGAAGTTTATGTGCAACCTAAAGACCAAATATTGTAGTACTTATGCTGAAGTCATATCAAGACAGTATCTTCAGTTGCTGCTCTATGAAACTTAAACCATTGTGTGGGGATTTTGCATAAGTAAAGACTAAAATATTTCCCCATAACAAGGAATACAGGTGTGAGGAAATCCAGAAATTACTTATTCAGTGATAAAATTGCTGAACAATCATGTGTTTTGTGTTCATAATAAACATGACATATTTTTAAGGAATTAACTGTGGAAACTGGCAGAGGGTTACGTTTTCCTTGAGTGTAAACATTTCTGATGAGCCTTTACTCTAGAATGGAGCTCAGGATTTAAGAATTACTAGTGATCTCATGAAAATAATTTATAGAAGAAATATAGAAGCATACCTCATAACTATAGTCCCTGTACATTTGGTCATTCTATGGTACAGTGACATAAAGAGAATAAGCTTTATGAAGGCCTTCACTTCATAAGTTAGCAAAATACCACAAAATCATGCACCATTTGCAACTGAAATATTTTGTTTATATCAGTAAAGAAAATCTGCTTTTCAGCCATTTGTGCTGCAGATGCTCGTTATCAGGTACATCTCCAGCATTCCCTCACACATCTCCAGCATACCAGGTCACTTCTCCTCAGTCTGTGGCCCTTGGCTGCGTTCTAGGTTCTCAGCACTGCAGAGGCAGGAGACACATCCCACAGCTCCCTGGAATGACTGTGTCTGGGAGAATAGATGCATACATTGTGCCAGATTTGTGTGCCAGTCAGGCTGCTCTTCCCAGCACCTGCTCCACTTAGGGCTCTGCCCCTCTCTTGGGCCCTCCCTACACTCTTTGAGAGCAGAGACACCTCCAGAGTGTCTCAGAAGCAGAGTGTGACCAGAGGGAATCTGACACCATGACAGCCTCAGGGTAGTTTTTCTGAGCTGTTGCGGAGGCTTTTGCCAGGGCTGGAAGCTGTCTGGTTCTGTAGGGGGTTGGATGGAATTTAGGCTCTCATTAATCGTTGCAGAGCCTTAATCAGTGTAGCCCTGTCCTGCTGGCATGGGTGGTTGGATTCTGTGGCATCATGCCTGTACCTTGCTTGTGTAAGATATTTGCTCTGCATGGAGAAATCATTTTGCATAATAGTTGCAGCTTGTCACAACTATAAACACTGCTATTCTGTGGTGACTATCTAGTTCATGTTCAAGTGTAATTAAACACATTTGGCAGGTCATGTTGTTGGCCCGTACCTCTTATTGTCATTTAATCTGTACACAGAACTGCAAAATGTCATCAGGTCAAAGTAATAGGGTTTTTTACCCCCGTGCCATTTACTGTAAGGCTTTTTAAGAGACAGCGCAGTAACACATCAGAGCTCAGAAAATAATTCCTTCACAGATCCCAACTTGCAGGTTTTGGGAAGGTCTTTAACAGAAAATCCCCAAGAACAGGAATTTTCTCAGGCTTTGGGAAAGGATTTCACCCATTCCAAAACACCAGTAGGTAGGAGCACATTCTGCCATCTTCGAACAACCACTAGGGAAATTGAACATAATGCTTGTATCTGAATGATAAGAGGCACTCAGAGCAGGAGAGCTACACTGTCAGAAAAATATGGGCTACTAACACAGTTTGCTCTCCTTTCAACGTCATCAGCTGGCATGTTTCAGTCCTAAAAATTCTTAGGGCCAGACTGAAACACACAGTTGAAAATAAGCTTTCTGCAGTCAAAATGCCTACTTCATGCAAACTCCACCCCATGTTACTCACGTAGAATTAGTGGAAACACCTCCCTCCAACAGTGCTACAATTATTATTCCCCAGTGCTTAGTCATAGGGTGTACCATGAGCTGGGATGTAAATCAGAAGGAAAAAAAAGCTCTCTGTCAACCACTGATGCAGTTAATAAACAGGAATTGCGTAAAACCGAGACAAACTATTTTGCTTCTGTGTGTTTCTCTTGACTTTCTAATCTTTACTACAGGCTCTAGGCTAATTCTTCTATTACATCTGTTCAAAAGAGTTGGATTGATTTTACTCATTGGTTAAATTTTGTGCTAAATCAGTTCCTGGGTGTTGTATATCAAGATAGATTATGCCAGTGCAGGAATGGCTGCAGCTAAGTGGAGGCAAGATATCCAATCAATATGTAAGCATCTATGAGAAGAGGCCTGCTTCATTTTTACTGAATTAGTTTAGAGAGACATTTAAAGTGCTGTTGGTTGTGTGTTTAGACCACCTCCTAATTGCAAATACAAGGCAAAAGAGTTTCCTCTACTATACATAAATCAGATTTGTTTATATAGATCTTTTCTAAGAGTTTGCATTGTGCTTGCCAATAACTTTTCTATTGTATAAAACTGATACTTCAATTAGTTAATCTACATTATACCTTTCTGAAAATGTCCATTTCAATGTCTAACAAGGCTCATAAAGTTAGATTTACTTCTTTGTTCATCCTGCTGGTCCTCTACAGAAATACAAGGCCTCTTTCCCCTTACTTTCTTGGGAACTAAAAGCACTAAAAAGCCTCCTGAAGCATTGCAAGCATGGACATATTTTCACAGAAACCAAATGTCCTCCCAGAGGAGGTCTTACCAATTGGCACAGGTCCAGGGTATGTGATCTGTCAGGAAGTTAAATCACTATCAGTGATACACAGATAACCAGGAGGCAACTGCTGGAAAGGAACGCTGTTTTTCAAGGCCTTGCTCCCAGTGGGTATATTTACTTGAAATGACCACTCTAGGCAAGAAGAACTTTGTGAGCCAGGAGATACCAAGAGTTTTGTGACCCAGGAGACATCAAGAGCTTAGAAACATTTGAGAAAACCAGGGACTAAGATGGAAAGCAAAAGCCCTCACTGAGCAAGGAGAACAATGTGTTTTTCACTGCCAGTAGAAGCTGCCTGTTGTGTGGGAAAGGCAGAATTATTGCCTGATGAAAACACGCATGGTCTCACCATTATCTGAAGCTGAAGCTTGCATGGAGTGATGGAGTTTCTGGATGATACCAGACACCAAGTTGTTTAGTTACTAAAGGGGAAGCGCTGGGCATGTTGAGAATCCCTACTCTCTGGAAGTGGCAGCCAGAGGCAGCTCCAGACCAGGTCCCAGGCCCCAGTTTCTCATTGCTGCTTCCCACAGAGACTGTCTCAGGAGGAAATGGGAGATTTTTAGCTTTACAAGGACAACTCCAGCATTGTGTAAGCACGATACTACATCTCCAGAGGCAAAGGAATGCTGGTACTGACTATAAGGTACCCTACACTTGGATCTGGGGCACCCCGCCTTACAAATCTGCTTGGGGTTTGTCAAGGGGTGTGGCATGGGGGAAAGAGCATCCTCTGGCCTGCTGCTTGCAATGTGCAACTTGTACACATGGTGAAATGTGGGATTGCTCTATCGCTCCCATCATCTCCCTTGTCAGGGGCCAAGTGCTCAGACTGTGACACCAAAACCTGAAGTGTCATTTGTACATTTAGAAATGTGATCTCTCTCCAGGTGAAATGCTGGGTGTCATATGGTGGCTCCTTTGCCAGCATGCAGCCACTCACCACGGGGTCTCCTTGGTGCAGGCATGAGCGCTTCCTTGCTTGGCCCTGGCAGGGTCTTTTGTGGGATGTTGAGCTCTAACATGGTGTTTCCATGTGTCTTGGTGCAGGTCCCTCTACATCAACCTGGTGGGACTCTGGGCAATCCTGGTCTGTGCCACACTGTCTGGACTGGCCCTCTACTCCATCTACAAAGACTGTGACCCATGGACGGCCAACCAGGTGTCGGCCCTCGACCAGGTACGGCCTCACATCTCAGGGGAAGGTGGTGGAAGGGTGTCCTTCCTCTGCAGCCATAATAACCAGACAAAGGCAGCTCAAGGGTCAGGGGGTTAGAAATAGTGATGTGATAGAATCTTGTGTCAGGCTGAGACTACAGTTCCTGAAGCTGCAAGTCCCTCAGCACTGGGTAAGGTGGGCAGCAGGGAGAGCTGCAATGTGGAGAGCTCTCAGTCCACCCACCTCTGCAAATGTGTGGGTTTTTCACTCAAAATGGATTCAGGAGTGCCAGCATTGCATGAAACTGCTTTGGAGAGAAGTGAGGGGAAGAGAGCAGCAGTGCCCTTGTGAGTGACTGTGGGTCCCGGTGCGCTGCTTTGTGTCATGTGTCATCCAACCCAAATTCCTCTGGGCTGACGACGGCAAAATCCTTTTCAGATTCAAAACATACTTGTGCCCAAAGCACACACCTGGAGGAAGGCTATCAACTGGCAGCTCTTTGCTAGTGATGGTGAATCCTTCCCTCCTTTGAAGGAGAGATGGGCAATCCAACTGTGCTGCAGAGAAACCACCTCACCACTGATGATGACATCTCCCTAAACTGACCTTGAGCATCAGGTTTACCTGAGGAACAGGAGTTCTTGGCAGCCCATAGACTGGCCAGAGCCAGGGCCTGAGGAAATAAAATAAGTTTTATTTGTATGTTTAAGCCTAAGATAATCACAGGCTCTGGATCAGACAGTAGCTGGAAAGGCAGGAGAAGAGCACAGACCATGGAGCACCTGAGGCAGGACCACTTCAAGACTACTTCAAGAGTAGAATAAAATAAGAGCCAAGATGGAAACTGGAAGGAAATTAAGTTTTTCCTGTCAGACTTATTTGGTAGAAGCTGGAAGCAAGATGCTAAAAATATCAACTCATCTGTGGAAAAAAAAAAAAAAAAAAAAAAAGGTTCACAGGAAGAAAATCTTAAAATTCCTCTCTCTTTCCACCATTCAAATCTTGCAAGTGCCAAAAAGTGGCAAAAAATGGCACACAGTTTCCTATGTGGAAATTGATCTCAGGTACCAGTCTGAATTTACTGGACTGTATATGACCCCCTTTTTGTGGAGTCAACAGCAGAAAAAGCATCTGTGGCACCCAGCCCCACAAGGAAGTGATGTACAGTACAGACCACCTGCTGCCCAGCCCTAGCTTTCTTTACAATTGTCACTGGAAAACAAAGTCCTAAGGACATGGCACCCCAGACGGGTGGTCTCAACAGACTCTGTGGCTCTAGTGGACATTTTAGGGTCGGTTTTCTCTGTAAAAAATCAGTAAATAGAGCAAGATAGACATTAACAATTAGAACTGCTGGACAGAATGCCAGTGAGAAGGCTGTAAAAAAACAATACAGTGATAAAATGAAAAATTAGGGCAAGATAGTAATACTTCTTAATCTGAATTTTTCAGCTAATGCCATACCTAGTGCTGGATATCATGCGTGATTTCCCAGGAGTGCCAGGACTTTTTGTGGCTAGTGCCTACAGTGGGACATTAAGGTAATTTAATAATCTGGAAACTACTACCTTTTTTTTTTTTTCCTTTTTTGTTGGATCTAAAGTTGTATTTATACTAAAACTTTTGTACTTATTTCTTTGTCTAGCTAATTTCTAGTATTTAAGAAAATCACTATGACCTCTTTGGTGATGCAGCTTAAAAATCCACAGTTTCCAATATTTGGGTCACAGACTCAAAGCTGTTTGGAATTCCCTATTAACAACATGAGGAAACAGCCACATAGCCACATGTCATGTAAAACATTAACAAATCCTCCTCTGTGCTTTTAAAGCCCCTCTGCTATGGGAATTTTTGAGTATTATGGTGGTTACACCAAATAGCTACAGTTGGGGAAATTTCCTATTGCTCATCTTTAATTTTCCAATTTCAAACCTGCATATCTTCAAAGCCATCTGCCTTTCCTTATCCCTGATCTTTAGAGACTTCTTTTCTAGAGTTCCCACACTTCCAATTGTCTTGACTGAATCCCATGAGACAACAATCACTATATATTTGTAGAATCTGTAGGAGACAGATTGATACCCTTCTATCCCATACTGGGGAGTGTTTTGTTCAGCTTTCCCAAGGAGTATCTTTAAGAAACACTGTCTCTCTCAGTGAAGGCTCTGAACAATAGCAAGCAGATAGAAATGAAGAAACTTATAAATGCGACACCAGAATAAGTTTTTTATATTCTGAATACTTGTAGTTACATAAATAGAGGGAAGAGCCAAAATAGAGGGAAGAACAAAAATTTTTCACATGCTGAAGAAAAGCTGGTACCCGCAGCAAGGTACCCGCAGACAAAGGATCACCTGGTTTGTGCCCTAGGAGTGCTGGTTTCTCTGATCCCACAGGGAACCTACAGTAGTTTGATCTGGACTAGATGCCTAATTTTTAGGTGAACATAATTAGATTATCTGAATTTTCCTCTGAGTGTGCATTAAAAGTAAACAGTGATGTGGGAATTTTATCTACCCAGATATATACTGTAGATAATTTGTGAAGGTATCATGTATAGCAGTAGAGTTTACAATCTAGCTATAAGTAACAGATATTTCTATTCAGTTCTCCAGGCCCAGCCCAACTTTTCATCAGTATGTGCTTTGACTTCCCCAAGGATAATTACTTTAAACAATTATTCTAAGCTGTTGGCTGCATTCTCTGGAATAATAAGTTATTTAAACCTATGCAGCAGTTACATTAGTTTTGTGGCACTGTTCTAAACAGTGGCAGTTTCTCTGTGCCAGATTATGTTCTGTTATACTCTGTTATCTATGATTTCAGTTTTTAAGATTAAAAAAAATTGCATAAATCTTGTCTTCTGTAGTACGGTGTCCTCCAGCATCAATGCTCTGGCTGCTGTGACTGTTGAAGACCTCATTAAGCCCTACTTCAAATCTCTCTCTGAAAAGAAGCTGTCATGGATTTCCATGGGGATGAGTATGTCTGGAAAACATCTTTTTTGCTTTAGCTTTACAAAGTGAAGGTTTGATTCAGACCTTGCTTATGGTGGTGTATGTCAGGAGTAAGTAATTCACACCAGTGGGACTCTGTTGGTGCAGCATTTGGGGGTAGACAAGATCAGCTGTGTAGGTTTTACACAAGTGGGGGACAAGTGAGTTTAAGGAAAAAAGGAAACCATCTTGTTTGGTCTTTAATAAGGAAAGATGCACTGCATCTGTGTTCAGTATTGATTCACAATTCTACAAAGCCAAATATCTCTGACTTAAACACCTGCTATTTTTCTTACATCTGTCAAAAATGAGAAGCAAAGGAAGCTGTTTTGTGACAACTTTTTTAATTGATATGCAAGCAGTAGTCCTGTGTCCCAAAAATGTTCCAGAGAACAAGAAATTTCACATCTTCTCTGATATACTTTCAGACTGTCACTCTGTTTAGCTCCTCTGCTTAATGTATCTCAAAGAGAATCAGAACTAGAGTGAGCAGATGGTTTCAATCTGTGAAGTGCAATTGTCATGTCTGCTACTTGTACTGTCTGTGACCAGCTGCAGGTGTAGCCCAAGAAAGTGTTTGCAGTAAGAATGAAAACACCTCTGTCCCAACGTGGTGTCATGTTGAATCCCATACCAGGGAGCCGGGCAGACTGGTGGGAGGGTAACAAGAATTAAATATTGTCACCTGAGAGAAGTTTTTTAAACATTGCAAACAATGCTTATGCCAAAATTGTTGTTTGTGGTATCATGAGCTGCCTGACACATGAATAGTGAGATTAACCTCTTGCTAGAGCAGTGAAACTCATCAGGGGCAGAGGTGGGAAAAACAAGTAAGTCAGTGTTACAGCTCCTGGAAAGAGACACTGTGTCCTGGTGACCTGGGATGTTCTCTGTCACCGTGCCAGCTCCCAGTGATCTGCCAGCATTTACTCTTTTGCTTCCTAGACTTCAGGCTGAGAAGTGAAAATCATTTCCTCAAAATAAGGACAATGACACAGGAGATTAGCTGAGAAATGTGAACAATAAGTGGGTTATTGCCACTATGACTAATCCATATGGCTGACATTTATTAACGAATCTTTAGTAATTCACAGAAAGAGGATTTTGTCAAGTTTGCATGATCTCTTCTTAATGTAAACAGAAACCTGACCTTTTGGCCAATTCAGGCTCTCTTAGAAAAACTCCAGATGTTAGCATTTTTATTTGGGAGATGTTAGAGCTGTGCTGGGTTAGACAGAAACTTTTCCATTAGCGATTTTCAAACTTTGGCAGATTTATACATTGTTCTGCCTTTTGCACACAGGCCTGTTTTATGGTGGAGTCTGCATTGCTATGGCTGCAGTGGCATCTCTTCTGGGAGGCTTGTTACAGGTAGGTGCCAGACAGCTTTTTCATGCCCATGTTGAATGACCCAGAATAAATTATGTAAGAAAATAATTGATGAACATCATAATGAGATTAGTTTTTATTCTTTCTTGGGTACTGAAACCACCCATGGCTTGTGTCTTTAAGCATCCATGGCTCAGCCTGTGTTTCAAGCATCCATATGTCAAATCCTGGCAACTGAGTACACACCACTTGAAATTAAAGTCTCATAATTTCTTTCTGAACATCTTCTCTTCTTGTCACTTTGGAAGCTTTACCTTCCTTGCACAGCACCTGATAGCAGACTTCCTTCCTTCCTTCCTCAGGCAGCGCTCAGCATTTTTGGCATGGTTGGTGGCCCCCTTTTAGGACTGTTTGCCTTGGGAATCCTCTGCTCATTTGCAAATGGAATTGTAAGTAGAAATTTAAAGACCTGTTCATCCAAAAATTATTGATAATTTTGGGCTTCTCCTTCCCCCTCTTCCAATTTGATGTTGGGCAGCAAGGGAAATGTCTTTGGTATATTCCATGAGGACATCTCCCATTGCTCCCTTTCTTCCTTATCCCAAGGAAATGACAAAAAGACCTGTACAGGAACTTGAATTTCCATTCCATTAAGAGATTTACACATCTGTATGGGGGAAAATAATCTGAATAAAAATAAGCTCTGACAAGGATTTCTTAAAACCAGTTTTAGAGGCAGGAACAATGCATCTTGAGATATAGCTGAACAACCAGTAGGCTCAGAGAATGCTGGCCTGTCTCAGCAAAAGGGGGTCAGGCCAGGAAAATGGGGTCTAGGCACTTGCAGGCCAAACTGGAGTATTCTCAGAGTGCTTCCATATTGTAAAATTATCATTTCCAGATGAAAAACCTTTTCCAACAAAAAAAGGATTTGACAATCTCTGTTGATATGGTTCATGGTTTAGTCTGGCCAGATTACTATTTAGTATTAGTAATTGTACTGTTACTATTTACAGGTTTATTAATTTATTATAGTAATAGTACTATAATGATACAGTAATATACTAATATATTAATATTAGTATGATATTTTACTATTACTATTTACAGGTTTACTAATCACTGTTCTTTACCTCTTTGCAATTGAAAATTTTGTATGTATACTAAAGTAAATAATAAAAAAATTACTAGCTCTCAGCCACAACGCCACCTACCTCTGATGTAGGAGAGACTTTTTCGCTTAAACAGGTCACAAGAGAAAATTGAAAAATTACTTCTGTATTTGTTCAAGGAGGGCCTCAAATAAAGCAGGCTTTCCCCATATACCATGAAGACCAAGCTTATCCTTTGATTGTAAAGACCTAGTGACCAAGTAAAAAGAGGTGTGCTTAGGAGCTGTGAGGAAAACATTGTATTTCCGCAAAAGAGAATGAAGTAAACTCCCCAGCACTTCCCAACTGTATATTTCATTTCTGCTATGGAGACTACTGTTTAGATTATCTTGACTATTTCTTATTAATCTAATTGTTGTTTCTTTCAAATACCTTTTGCTTTTCATCTAAATGCAAGTTTTGCTTTTTGTTTGCAGGGGGCATTTGTGGGTCTTGTCAGTGGCTTCATTATTTCACTTTGGGTTGGAATTGGATCTCAGATTTATCCTCCACTTCCAGAGAGAACCAAGCCACTCAGTCTCTCAATTGCGGGCTGTAATATATCCTCAGGAAATTTAACATCAACAGAAATTCCATTAACAACGGTTTTCAGCACACCAGGTGCAGAAAGGTATGTGAGTTCATCAAGTGCAGTAACACTTGATGTTAAGCATGCATTTTTTTTAAAGAAACACAAACATCTGCACAGTATTTGGATTACTATAATGATCCTTCTCTGGTTTATCTACCACACTGTTTATGATGCAGCAGTTTTCTCTGATCTTTTTTTTTCCTCTCAGACTGAAGTAGTTTGTCCAAGTTATCCCACAACAGAAGTCAAAGTAAATATTTCTATTGATCTGCAAAGCTTGAGTTCAATATTTGAGTTCAAAGGCTTGGATATGCCTTACTGTGGGCCACAGTTTTAAACAAAGATATCATTTATAGTTATTGGATTAGCTTCCACAATCTGTCACATGAATTAGAGTAATTGGCAGTTAAAGGGCAAAATGCCAGTTAGCAGCTGTACCTACAGCAACTGGTCTGTGCAGAATAGTTCTAATCAGAACATTCAGAATGGGCACAATATACGGGATTTCCTCTGCTTTGCAACTGCCAAATGCCTTAGTCTGGATGATCACAGTTAAGTTTAACATGAATGGCAATATAGAGAACAGCAGGAACAGAAAGAAGCTGAAAAAACACATTTCTAGGGTTTCCTTACACCTTAGAGCATTGTATGATCAAGAGATACCCTGGCACACTGGGTGCCCGACATCCGGTTTCATGCACCACACCTCTCGCATGAGCCCTCCAGCGTTGCTCCTGGCTCCTGGGAAGCACCTGTTGCAACAGAGCACATAGTCAGGGAGAGCAGAATGGTGTAAAGACAGTTGCTCTGCTGTTTCTGGCTGTTTAGAGCCGCATGGGGTTGATTTCCTTGGGTTTTTTTGTGCCCCTTCCTTTAAGTAACATCACCCTTGCTAAAGAAACTAATCCCTTCATCCGGATAATGAGAGTGTTCAGCTCTGCACTAGATTCATAGCAGAGACAGGACTGTCCTGTTTTACCTGCTCTGTCTCATGCATTGCCTCACTCTGCTGGCTAGCCTTGTCTCATACAAAGGAACTTGTTCTGCAAATTTTGGAACAAATTTTCAGTGCACATATAATTGTATGGAGGTAGCTCAAGATTACGAGGTTGCTTGGTTCCAAAGGATCTCTGTATTTATACACTGTGGGGAAACAAACACTTTGAAGTTGTTTGGAAGAGAAAAGGCGAGATTAATGCTTTTTCTGTTTTATTTCAGGCCTGCCCTGGCAGATAACTGGTATTCCTTGTCTTATCTCTACTTCAGCACACTTGGGACACTTGTTACAGTAGTTGTGGGAATAATTATCAGCCTCCTAACAGGTACGACTTTCAGAGCTGTGATTGAATGTGCCTCAGATCTCTTTCAAACTAAGATGTCCTGAGAGCCACAGGAAGTGCCAGTAACCTATTGCAAACACTGTAGATGTTACCATTCTAAATCAAATTTCCTTCTCTCAGTGCTTCTGCATCCCACTCCTGGTCTTTGCTCACAGCAAAAGTTACTACAAATCTCTAAGGAGAAAGAAGTTTCAGCATATTTTTAAAACTAAGGTGCATAAAAAGAAGGGAAAAAAAGACACCTGTCTTTCCTGTTTTATTAGATGCCTGCAGGGGCTGGAGGTTTAAGATTTGTCCCTGAACATGGCAACAACTCTGAGCAAGGAAATACACCCATGCTTCTAGAGGAAAAAAGCAGTTTTATTTTGAGTGAGTTCAGAGCACTCAAGGGCTGTTGTCTGCATCCATAGAGTGCATGCTTTTCACCACATTCCTCAAGAACTGCCTAAGAGCTGCAGATCCTCTGCATGGCTATTTTAGCTTCTTTCTCAGTTTTCCAGTACTTTTGTGCAGAGGGAAAAAGCAGCTTGCCATGGGTAAGAATGGGAGTTCGGTTCCAGCCCATGGTCTCACTACTTTTGCATCCAGGTCAGATGCAAGCTACACTTGTCATTCACCTCATGCATGGCAAAAACAGCAAAAAAGCAGCTGTTCTCACAGCTTTTCCCAGTATCCCCAGCCAGATTCATATAACAGCCCTCACCTTTGAGGCTGTTAGATTTCACATTTTTACACTGATCCACAACAGCTCCAGGACTATGAAACTCCAAACTCAGTAGACAAACGCACTTCCATTAACTTCTCTATGCCTTGCAACTAATAAGCACAAGCTACAGTTATCTAATTTTCTTTTTCTTCTCAGTTTTTAGAAGTTTGCTCCACACTTTCTTTCAAGCACCTGCACTTCCCATTGCTATAGTGGTGCTTGAACCCAAATTTTGCTTTCTCCCAGGTAGGGGTCAGGTTATTTGCCATGAAACAAAGCATGAAAACCAGACAACTTACTAAAACCAGATGAAAAATACTCAGCCCAAGAACAGAAGCACAAAAGAATTAACTCAGTCACAATAGCACCCTGCTTCTCATGGAACAAGATTCCATTTAAGCCTCAGGTAGCAAGCAGAGCTAATTCCCAGCACCCACATCTCTTTTGTTTCCCACCCAAGAAATAGTTAATCTTCCATTCCTTAAAAGTGCCCAGACATTCCATTAACCCTCATCACCCCATCTTGGGGATGCCCTTAAATAATTCACTATAAAAATTGCTGGTGAGTTTGGGGACAGGAGTCTTGCTGATAGGGAGCTGGGAACTGCACCTTGGGGTTCAGGGTAGCACTTGGTGCCACAGCTCCTGGACTGGCACAGTAGCCCCAGATGTGATTTATTCTTTTCTGGTGATTGCCAGATTAAATTTTTTTTTATTCCAAAATAGGAAATCCGAGGAGAATCTAAGAAGCTGGGAAATAGCTAAGGCAATTCAAATAGACTTTGAGGGATCATTTTATATATTGAGAGGAGTAGGGTATACATTTTTGTAAAGAAATGATCCCTAAGGTCTGTGATTGCTTGATGGCTTTTGTTGCATGACTCTGTCCTGCTTGCCTAGCCTGGTGCCCATAGCTGGGGTCTGACACATGGTTTGTATGTGTAAAGCTGGCTGAATAAAGCTTGTCTATTTTGTAGGAGGACTAAAGCAGAACACGGATCGTAAATTCCTGCTGACCAAGGAAGATTTCCTGTCCAACTTCTCATGGTCCGAAACTGAGCAAGTAAGTGTAATTGTGCATCTCTGATTTAAATCAGTCTTTCCACGTGAGGACAAAGGCAAACAAATTTCCTGGCTTACATTTTTCCAGTCAGGATGAACAGCACCTGATGCTGCCTGATAGCACTATCTGCTTTAAGGCAGTAGGAGAGCAAAAGGCAGGTGGGAGTAAGACAGCTGCCACAGGCAATGAAGCAGTTTTGCCACAGTTTAGCTTCAGTCAACAACAGAGAAGCAACTGAGGAAAGGGACAGTTTTCTCCAGGTTTCTGCTAAAATACTCTCTAACTGGCCTCTGGGAAGCTGCCCCAAGGCACCTTGGACTCAGCAAAGCTTCCTTTTTTGTGAACATGTGTTCTCTAAGGCCAGAATTTTTTGTGACTTTGGCTACTGTTTGGGAGAAAACATTTATAGTCAGTGTATCTGTTTCCTAGCTCTCATCCTAAGAAAAAGAAAAGGGGAAATATTATTGGATACAAACATCCACTGGGAGGGAGAATATGGGGAAATTGTTTTTTAAAAATAAACTACAGATCACTTTATCAATCACAGACTGATAAAGTGATCTGTACAGATCACAATCAATATCATCAGCTGAACATTCAAACTCAGCTTTGTTCTGTAGTTCATATCTTTAAGATGGTCCAGCTTGCAAAATGTTTTTCCTCAATTCTTACAACTTCTAGAATGATCCTGTGTATTTCAGCTTCTGGATAAGATCACCAGTGAAAGAAAGGAATATTTTACCATACTATTATAATGCCATTTGCCAATGTCAGTACTGGACATCAGCTATCCGGTTACTGTCATTCACTGTCTTTAATGGGTCAACATCTGTTTTTACTATCTGGGAATTTAATCCCTGAAGTCTTTTGAAAAAGAAGAAAACAATCCACCACCCACATGGAAACTTATGCCCACAGCCATACTGTTTTATGCCTGGAAACAAGTATCTGTCTCTTACATGGTTAAGAGTGGAATAACAAGTGGTTGGTACCACAAATACTGCAGAAAGTTGATGAGATAAAAAATCAGGGCTAACTAAGCAACTTTCTGCACATGAAGAGCTCAGTATCTCATTCTATTTAAGAGAAATGTGACATCAAAGCAATGGTGCATGCTAATCTGCTCTTCCTGTCACAGATGGGGCAAGGATGAAGGGTTGGGAGTCAATAGCTCAAAGACCTGGTGGTGACATATCAGTAGACATGAAAACAGCAATTAGGACTTTGCACACCCAAACCAATTTGCAGGACAAGAACATTTTGTGTTACAAGAATATTTTACACAATTAGTACCTTATGCAATCCAAAACTTTCCATGCCCCTAGAAAAATACCATCTACTGCAATGAGTAAGTATTTGTGCTCTGTCAGCAGCCAACATGTTTCCTTGTATGTCAGGACTGACTCTGCTGGCCAAAGAAAGGTCAAAGAGAGGAAGATTGTTTCTTCTGTTTCACAGCATGGCTTTTGTCTTTTGCTTTTTAGCCAGAGAAAGTGGAAGTGTTGAACTGGAAACCATTTACCATGGCAGACGAAGGAACTGACAACCCTGCCTTTAGCCACATTGAAATGGATGTTGCAAGTGACAAGAACAAAGTCAATGGTCTTCACATATGATACGAAGCCATGTCAGCCCATGAGGATGGTTTTGTTCATGTCAAGCACTGCTGATGTTCCTGTTCTGGGTCACTTACCAGCTCTGCTGGGGTCATAGGCAGGCATCTGCTGAGCTTTGTGGCACTGTCGCCTTTGCGTGACCTTGACATTAGTCAAGAAAGGAATCAGGTTTTTCTTGCACTTCCTCACTCTCTCTGGCTCTTGGTGACAGAGCCTAAAGCAATGTTTCTGTGTGAAATATTTGCCTGATATTTTTTGATCCTCCTGGAAAATATCTGTTTTTAATCTCATTTCACCCTCAGAGTGAATTTTTTATTTGGAAAGAGTACTGTTCCTCCAGGCATGGCTGTTTTCCTGGCTTGTTTTTTTTTTTTTTTTTTTCTTCTAAGGCAATGAAAGTATGAAGAGATTAAGGTGTGGGACCTTATCAGATTGCAAGAAACAGTGGGTCTTTTTTTATGTATAGGAGGTATATTTAGTGCTATCTGATTCTTCTGTAGAACTGATTCTGAGAGCATATTTATTTTGCTGGTTTTGTCATCTATGTTTTTTTTAACCCACTTGTTTCATGGCTACTTGCACCTTCTCCTCTGTGCTCACTGCTGGGAGCTGCAAGAATGACTTTGGTGGTGGTAGAGGCAAGAGTCAATACTGTCTTTCCCTTCATGCCCTATCTCCCTGTTCTCCTCTGTCTTGCCCTTGCAGAGCTGGTCCTCATGAAGGAAATAATCTATTTACACTTTTTATTCAGTGCCATAGACCAGAACCACAGCCTTCTGCTGCATGCCCAGCTTGCTGGCCTAGGATTGTTCTTGCACTGGGCTGGGCACAGTGCAGCAGAGATGTTAATAAAGAAGATTCCCTTTTGGCTCTACTGGACAAGAGTGAAGGCTGCATCTGCATTTGCCACAGCAGTTCTCTCCAGAGCTATGAGCTGAAACTTTCTTAGTCCTTTGTGTTCTTGCAGTCCTTGTTTTCACTCTGGGAATTCATGTTCAAAGTTGGTTCAAATCAGGCAAGTGCATACTGTGTTTTGGCAGGTGTCCAGAGCCCCTGCACAATTCTCCAGGATGGAGAAGGGATCACAGACAATGCCATATGGTGGAGGCTTCTCCAGGGCTGCAGGGCTTATGGAATAGCCTATCCTCTGGTGGGGCTTCAAAGAGAAGGTTAACAGCCCATCCACATGAGACAGTGCCCTGTGCTGGTGTTTTGGGAGGGTGAAAACCCCCATTACTTTCTTCTTCTGCTTGCTTTTGGGTACAGTGGGGAACAGACTGACCCACTGTGTTGTTTTTGTGAATCAGACTTTTACTGTGTCTATACAGGAGTGTTTAAAATTCTTCTACAACAGCAAAATTAAGCTGGAAAATTAAAACCATTGCAGGAAAGCTGAGCTGTGATGCTTAGAAGGCAGTCATGCTTGGGAATCAAGTGAAAAACTGACTGCATGCCTTAAACACTTTCTAAAAATTATACTGCATTTGTGCCAAGTCCTGAGCTGCTGTAACTTGGAAAATGCACAGTGCTAGCTTAGTTACCTTGACTGGGGCCCCGTAGCATCTAAATCAATTTTTTCCTGTGCCCTTATGACAGAATGCACTTGATGATCTGCTGCATAAGATGAACTGTTAGGATCAGAAAACAAAGGTGAAAAAATGGGCTCCAAGGACCAGACCAGAAGAAGAGGCCAGCCAGACACTCTGTGGGTGCCACCACGGCCATGACTCCATCGGCTAACCCAGCGCAAAACTATGTGGTGATGGAGGCAGATTTCCCCCATGCCTCCTGGAGCATTTTTTTGTAGTATCCAGTGCAGAGTTTAGAGCCAGCCCCTTTTCTCACTCCTCTGCTGTAGCTCTGGTTAAGGTCAGTGCCTAAAGCTACTGTGTGGAAGGGCTGTGATCAAGTGGGTTAGATCCCATGAGTTATATTGTGTCCCTTTATCTGAGATCTGAGACAAACAACAGCATCCTGAATAATAATTCTAGTATTCAGGACAGTCCCAAAACAGAGATATTTTGGGACTATCCAAGTTACTCTGAGACAATTAGCCCATTGACTGAAGCAGCTGGTTATGCTTCTCAAGTCTCAGAAGATTAAGTGCAGCTCATTCACCCTTGTGCCTTGTCTTTGTGACCCAGAAACAGATACTGCATTCTGTGCTGTGTAATACTTCTTCAGCCTTGAAATATAACAGTTAATACTTACCGGGTACTCTCAGCCCACAGATCCGAAAGAGGGTAAGTACTGCTAACCTCACACTGCTGCAGAGTGCTGGAGTGGACTGGTGTGCCTCTGTATACCTGTGCTTGTGAGTAAGCTGTAACAGAGAACAGAACCCTGCAGCAAGCACTTATCTGTGTGCCTGCCAGTATGGCTACAGCCCTCCCAATCCAAATGCTGAATTCCCACCTGACTGTGCTTCTCCAGAGGGTGACTGGACTGCTGTGTGAAACAGCATCAGCATGTTCTTTCTGCATCACTCTGTGCTGAAGTTACTGTGCTGTAGTTGATGCTGCCTTAGATGATCTGTGACTTCTACCTGTTTTGTTCATGAAGACTAATCTTCCTGGCTATCAGACTTAAAAAATGTAGTTTTCTTCTCCGTGTTTTGAATTCACTTAGTTGTTTAAAACAGAGGAAATGTGTAAATTACCATCTTACCTCCCCTTTATTGCTGAAGTCACTATTTAAGCACTGAGCATTTAACTCGAATTTTGGTATGAAGTGAAAGTTTGGGCCACGTGATATTTATTGGTCCACAATTATCACATCAAGATGACTTTTCACTGGGAAGTATATCTTGCTGTAAGCTGTTTAGAGACAAACACCCTTACGCATCACAGGTGACCTAAGCAGCTACCCCATTTCTTGCTATCTAACCTCCCATGACTGCTCCAGAGCTATAAAGTGACACTTTTGGCTGTATTTTTTCCTATATTCGTCTTAATTGGCATCATTAATTAAAACAATTAATTGATTTTCAATAATATTTTCTCTGGGAAAATATACTGTCCTCTGCTAGCTGAACTCCAAGCCAGGGCCTTCCTTGTCTTGTAAAGGCAAGAAAATTCATGGAGTGTCCACCATAGTCCTGCACCCTGATCCTTCATCTCTCCCAGCTAAAAGCTCACCTGATAAAGAAATGTGGGATGCTCAAAACTGACTCATTTCACAGGAGTGGGAGCACTCCACAGTTTCCAAATTACATGCAGCATCTGGCAGGGTCACGAGACAAAACAATTAGGAACCTGTTTAAGTAAAAACTTTAAAAAACCCCAACTGTAAAACCACAACAGTAACAATATTTGACTATGTGAATACACAAAAGAACCACAGAGAGAAAATAGTGACAGATTTTGTCTCTTTTTGGTCTGCATTTAATTTTTACTTCTATCTGACTGGTCAGTTTGCTTGTTGAACAAATAAGGTAAACAGAAAGAAACTAATGAATGACAAGCAGTAAATATTTCATATGCATAATTTATTTTTAAAGTTTATTACATCACATTATACAAGCATTAAACATGGCTTTATGTTGATGATTTTTTAAAGTGTGAAAACTTGACATTCTTCTCCATAGAATTTTTCTATTTACAAATAAACAATCTATATACTTTATATATATATATATATAATATATATATGTTCAGTAATGTAACTCCCCTCAGAAAGATTTAAAATAAAAAAGAACTGATTTGTAAACACAGTTTCTGTTGTAGTATTTGGTGGCTTGAATGTAGATGATGCTCTATGCCTAGATTTTTCTTTTGTCAGAGTATCCAGGTTGTTCATTTACGTTTTTATTCTAAGATCTATAAAACCAGCATGGGACAGAATGCAAAAAACTTAGCAAACAGGCTGAAAAACAGTCCCAGTATACATTTTTTCCTTGGTTTTAAAAACTGGCATGTAACTGCTCATGAAGTACATGCTGCTGTCAAGAATGGCCTATGGAGAACAATCCTATGCTGATTGCAAGATGATATCACAGTAAATCCTCTGATGTGTGCTGTCCTGCTTGCTATGTAAAATATCTGTGTCATGCATTGAAGTTGCAGTTTTTTCTCATTCTCTAGAAGGTACTATTCTTGTGGAGCTGGAATAAGTAAACAACATACAGGACTGTCACATGGAGATTTAAACAAAACCCATCATCAGATCAAGAAGAGAATGGCATAAATTAGTTCTCGAGAGATTAGTAAAATTTCATTTATTATTATACTATTATTTGTATTTTATTTTTCTAGAAAATAAAAAGGGGGCATCTTTCCTGAGTGTTCTGCTATGTAGCTCTGAAGGACTCCAGGGAAATCTGTTCATCAGACCAGCAGCAGAGAAACCTCCATGGGTTGGCTGGTCAAACTGAAGTGACAAAGATGTACTCAGGGTCTGCCAGGGAGGTCAGAGCCCCTTGCAGCATCATAGCCAGCACAAGCTTGGCAAGCAGCCAACCTATGGTCTCATTTAGAGCAGAGTGGGATGCATCTTCTAGCAATGTGTTGTCAGGAAAATTCATCCTAATGCAGCAATCTTGAAAACTACTCGCAAAAGCAATCATTATCTATGGCATTTCTGCTGCACATTATTTGTTTTGGCACATTTTATTGCAGTGGTTTCTCTGGAGTGGAAGTCAATTTATATTCTACTGTGTTTCAGTTCAGTTCTTGAAGTTACTGAGATCTAAATTGACACAGCTGCATCTTACTGCAGGGATTTGCAAAGGTCCATTTTACTCATAGGGGTGACACTGATTTTATGCATGGCTCACGTCTCACTTTACTACTTAGTAAACAGTTTCTAAGCTCTGGTCATCTGTTGGTTTAGACATTAAACAGAGGGTATCCAAAATAATCCAATTATTCATGAGAATTTGGTCTGAATATGATTTTGCACAGTGATCCTGCCCCAAAATTCCCAAGCTGCAGCTGTAGGTGGTGGATGATAAATGCTAACCCATCTGGCATGTGTGTATTGGAGATCAACACTGCCTGATCCCCACCCCCTATTTAGAGAGACAGAAATATTCCTATTTCCCCAATGTCCTGTGGGCTGTGTCCACAGCTGCTATGAGCAGAAGCAAAGATGAACAAATTCACTTCCCCATTAGTCAGGAATTTACCCCACAACCACTACGTGTGCTCCCCACTCAGTCTGGCACCAAGCCAACATAGAACAGACAAATCCTGAAATTCCCTAAGTGCTCATGTTGTTTCATGGGACTTTCAGGCTTGGGCCAGGAGCAGCTGATAAAGGGAGTTGCTATGTCATTTATCCTCTTCAGGTAGGATGGTGGGCTGCTACTGGAGGAGGTTCCTTGCTTTTTTGTGTAGGCAGGCAGTTGTTACAGAGAGGAGGAGGCTCAGATTTTCTTTCTTTCCCTCTCCTTCCTCAAGTCATATTGCCTTTCATCAAAGCTCCCCCCACTCATGCAAATAGCACAGTTCTCCTTTGCAGTGGAATAAAGTTAATAGATCTAATCTGGTGCAATTTGTCTTGGTGCAAATGGTCCTGTTGTCATGTGGAGCTTGAGGTATCCATCTGTAGAATCTTGCATTGTGTGGTCTCTCCAGAAGGGCAATTTCTACTCCTTCAATCAAATTACTTCCAGAACAACTTTTAGAAACAACTGATTGAAGAGCTTTCACAACACTCAGTATTTTGATTCATTACTACATCCAACACTTATGATATCTTCAAAGCTACAAGTCCACTCTTTTGGATTAACAGTCTGGAAATTTTGAATTTCTTAATTAAATCAGAAATTTAAAATTTCTCAATATTAAGGAATTTGCTAAAGGATATTGACAGTGGCTTATTTTGCCCAAGTTTAATTTCCAGCCTGTGTAGAATTGCACTGCATTAAGAATTTCAAGCTGTTTCATACTACACTCTGTTGTTTTGTTTTTTCCCTCCACCCCTTCATAGACAATGGAATGATGAATACAGAAAGTGCTACAAGTGTAGATATTCTGGATGACTGCGTTTTATTCGGCTCACCTTGTTCATCTGCCTTTTTTTGTTTATTTTACTTAGGCAGATAGGTCTATAAGATGCTGTCTGCCATGTGTTACGTGTGTGAGTACACCCTAATTCCTGACTAGGCCTCAATGTGATCTGGCAACACAAATACATGGGCAGTTCTGGGCAAGATGCCCTAACCTGATTTGATTCCTTCAGACACCAGACAGTCCTATAGCTGAAAAGGCACTGTTCAAAACTTTAACATGTATTACTGACTTTTCACAGTGTCATTTCCAAATGAATGACCCTACAGCTAGATACCTCTGGCCACATTTAGATGCTTGGCTGTCTGCCTGCGCTTCTGATGCCTACATTTTTCAGCTTTATTAGGCCAGTTGATCAGACTCATGGTCATGCATCTCCTTCTAGATAATACTTCAGTATTGTTGAGCAATGGAAATGATCCACCTACATGACCTTAACTGGTGGCAAATGCAAACTAATGCAGTTGGGTCCGCTGTGGAAGGGAGCAATGCTGCCATGCACGTGCTGCAGGTGGTGGCCACACACACAAACACTGCCACGTTGCCAAGGCGCAGTCACTGCTGATGAAGTAGCAACTCCATGAGAATGAGCTGTAAGATCACCAAGTTCTGTAAAGCACTGGAATTGTGTAACTGCTTTGAAGTTCAGGGCCTTGAATTTTAGTCAGGGCCTGGGAGCTTCCTGGCAAGAGTGCAGACTTAGTATTGGTCTGATGTGCTCGTGTTGACATCAGCTCTGGAGATGACTAAGCCTTGGAAACACCTCTAATTTCAAAAGGCTTATGACAAAATCCACCCTATTGAAGAGGGGCACACGTGCTAAATGCACACAACATTACTGACTATTTCTTTCAGTGCACTCTCTGCTGTAGAAAACCAGGATTTTTTTTTTTTTTTATCAACAAGAGTTCTTATCTTCTTTTAAGCAGTTTCTTCCTCATCCTGTCATGGCCACTCATTGTGATAAGATTTTCCATTCTTTTTCCTTTCCTTCCTCTCTTTTTGCAGACGTTCTAGCTCAGCTTCATACATCATTTCCTGAATCAGGTACTTCTCTCTCCTCATTCGATCTCTCAGATCTTTTGGAAGATCTGGAATTAAGTAGGAGATCAGATGCTTTATGCAAAAGACAAGGTGCTGTGAACACAAAAAAAAGGAAAGAAAAATGTAAAACCTCAGGAAGAAAACTAGTACTTTTCGTATCTTCTGAAAACCATCTCTTTCTGATATGCAGAGAGATTATATGTTTAAACTAAATCCATTACTAAATTTCAAGATAAAAAACCATGACATTTTTTTCCCCAAAAAACTCCAGCCAGTCAATGGAGTGTGGGTCACAGCAGAAATTATGAGCAGGTGGATTAAAACAAAACATAAACATTTTTTCTTACATGGTGTCTCTTATCCAAAGACATATTCCTGTTTAGCAAACACCACAATTAAATACAAGTTGACTGATCCTTTGTCCCTCCTATTTTAGGCATGACACAGTAAAACTTGAGTTTGACTGCATGAGTGTCCTTTTCTGTTTGATCAAAAATGCTGCTTGAAGATTTACTCACTTCACTTAAGAGGAGGAACAGATAAACAGAAAAATCCTCCATGTCAGAAAGGACATACATTCTAGATTGGAGAAAATTCTTCTCCAAGCAGAACCCTTCTTTTGAAAGCTGACTGAAAAGAGAATGTAAAATGTTTTCCCATGTATTCTTCCCTCATGATAAATAAACTCACAATACCCTAATTGTTGTTTTTTTTTTTTTTTTTGCCAAACCTAAAAAGAGAAAAAAAAAGCCTCTTCTGCCTTTTTAGCCTGGACAAAGAATTCCTTTTGCAGTGATAGGAAATACTTTTGTTTGTTTTCAAAGGAGGTTAAGTTATCCAAAACAAACCACACTCAGAATGCCAAAAAAGGGCCTGAGCCTAAGCAGTTACTTAATTTATGAAAAGCCCTACCTTGAATCCCCCATCTCTTTGTGCAATCTTTATTGTAAGCATGCAGCAATCACAATACAACCATTAGTATTTTCAAATAAAAAAGGTGTTGTTTCTGCTGCAATTACCTTTTTGATTTCATAGATATAGTTAACTTATAGTTATAACTTGCAGTATGAGTGGCTCATGTTGAGAGAGGCAGATATGAGCCAGCCTATGGCTTTGGTTGAGCAAAGCAAAGTCAACTCAGACGTGCCCAGTAACACTCAAAGTTATTCCACAGTTGGTCACAAATTTATTTGGACACTGAGACTTGAACAGGGCTCATTTTTCTTGCCTCACTTCTCTTTGTGCCTACGCTGGGCTGCCTTTATGTCAAGTGTGTATCAAGAGGCCAGACTCTCTTCAGTCTTTAAAATTCGTAGGCTGACCTGCCAAGACCATTCTTGTAGTCCTTTTTGGACATGCATACCCTGACTTTCAGTTCTGACTTCTCATGAAACTAGAAGGGGTTAAGCCCAGCAGGCCGCAATCAAATCTTTCTCTCTTTCTTTCACTTAATATTTCCCTGAGTGCGGAACAGATGATGGAAGAAATGATCTCCTTGGAAACCAGCTGCTGATAAGTTATCCAGTGTAAAGGAAGAAGAGAGCCCAACCTGCAGCGCCATATTCTTTTGCCTGGGAAGGTCTGAAAATTGCAATCATGGGGAACTTGCTGAAGTCCTTGGGCTTCTGCTGAGCCACAAATAATAGAAATAATAATCTAGAAAATGCTTCTTCTCCACCTTGCTCTAACACAAATGCTTCTGTTGTGTTATCCAAAAAGGTGTGTTGAAAGCTCAGTTCAGAATGAAATTACACTCTTCTGTGAGTCAGAATGCAGTGTGTGCTCATGAACATTACATATATGCCAGTATGGTGACTAGAATTTCCATATCTGTGTTGAATACCCCATTGCAATGATTTCAGAGCAGAGGACTGAGTAAAGTTTTTTAAAATCATGTGTTCCGTCTTTGGCTTCTTCACTGTGTAAAAGGAACCAGGATTCTGGTGGGGATATTCAGGCACTTGAAATTAGTCCTTAAGAGCTGCATTTTTTTTTTTTTTGGTAAATCATCTTGTCCCATTTTTCTACCCTTCTGGCTCCCTTTTTAAAAATCAATGTGGGAATACCAGTCATGTGAAGTTGGTATTATCTCCTTTGCTTTGCCTTAAAATACCTGAGATACTGACAATAAATACTAATATTATGAACATAGACAAAGGTGTTGAATCCTTTTCATTGTCATCATCTCTGTGATGCCAACCATTCTGGAGGAATGAAGGTCATTTAAAAAAAAAAAAAAAGAAAAAGAAAAAGAAAAAGAAAAAGAAAAAGAAAAAGAAAAAGAAAAAGAAAAAGAAAAAGAGCTAGATGTATAAATACTGTAACTTCAATTGTCATTGTTCCTCAGTTGCTCAGATTTAATATTTTCTTCTCATGTTCCTTCACCCCTGTCCTTACACAACAGTCAGCATAGAGCTTCCCAACCTAGACAAGTTTCCAAAAAAGTAAATAAAAGCTTCATTTATTCCCCTCTTTATAAAATCACTGCTACAGTTTTCAGTGTTATATTCCCTTTTCTATAAGAACCTACATTCCTGTGACTGTTCAGAAAACAAAGCCGAGAATGCAAACCAAAATGTAAGTAGAAGAAACTAAGACAAAAACCACTTCAACACCTGCCATCATAGATCAGCCCAATGCAAAGCTTCAGAGGGAAATTTGTTTTCTTTTTGGTTTTGTTCTGCCACCTGAATGGTCACTGACCTCAAAGACAATAATGAAGGCCAGGCGTGCTGCTAAGACGTGCCAGAACTGCAGCGTGTAACCGTAGGGCACGGGCGAGTGCGGAGGGTCTCGGTAGTCCCTGTACCTGAAAGACAAGTACACTATGGGAGTTAGCAAGCTCTGCACTGCTGCCTGGGCCAAGGCAAAACCAAAACTCACCTTCTTTTGATCATTACATTCTCTGCACCAAAAATGAGCTCAGTCTATCCTAATGCTGCTTGCTTCTAAGGCTGGGCCTGTGCCAGTGTTTGATTTCAGGTCAGGTGCCTGCTTTTGGAGCAAGTGTCCTTATCACCTCCACTTACCACGCTTTTCTTCATGCAGATGGACTTACTTTCAGCTGAAACCTACCAGTAAGATGCACTCCAGGAGTTCTAATGGAAATTGGGTACAAAGGACCCAAACCAGTGTCTGTCTGAAGAAAACCCCTGAAACAAATACACAGGATGGGAGGTGCTTTGCCCCTACAGCATCTCCCTTGGCAGCACGACATGTGCCTTTCAGGCATCTCTTCAGAACTTGGAGAAGGGTGGGATGCTCTGCTCATTTAAGGGACACTTTAGTCCCTTTATTCAAGGGCATTTTAAAGCTGTAAATGTCCCCAGTTTTGTCAGCCTGATAGTTCTCCCAAAATCCAAATAAAAATGCCCCATGGACTTCACCTGGACCTTAATCAATTAGTTGGCCATCCCTGGTGTAAAACATGTCTCATCCTGACTTCAGCAAAGCCAGCACTGCACCTCTTGGTATATCAAGAGGTGAGGACCATGTGAGAAAGTGATCTAGTGTCTTTTGTCACAGTGTTATTTGGAAGACTTTAGGTCTCCAAAATTTAACTGTAGATATTTATAGGGAAAGTTGGATCCAGGAATACTCCAAGATTGTAGTTACAAACCATGAATCTGTTTAAGTCACACATTCTGGAGTCCATTTTTACTAGCAGTTTGTTAATTCTAAAATAGAACTGTGGAAACCTTATTTAAAAGTAGTGTAAAAATTTTTTGCTTCTTCATCTGTTTCCTAGATGGGACAGAAAACCCATTGTAAAAAGATATTGAAAATACCATAGTAAATAATACAGGTTGATCACTAAGTTAGTTTTAAGAAACTAAAGAAAATGCAGATGAATAAAAGAAATAAACATTATTTAATCTCTGACAATCTGTATTTCTCCATGAAGCTTCACCTTCTTAGATTGCAGAGGGTGCTATACAAACTGAAATAAACTGTCAGCATCAAATCTCTCAGAAATTGCAGTATTTCTAGAATAAGTTCTAAAAACTGAGATGGTCTTTCCTTGTGCAAGTAGCATTCTGACTTCATAGTTTAGGATGCTTTACAATATCCTAAGCATTCCAAAAACAGAAATCCCTGGACCAAGTCCCAGTAGAGTATATATTTTCTTTTTTTTTTTTTTACTTGCTAGGAATCCATTGTTAGGAAAAAATAGGGAAACCTTCTATAAACAACCAGAACAGCACAGCACTATCTGTGTTCCAGGTGATCAGAAGTTAACTGGGACTTTTTTTCACACAAACTGTCTTCCTGGAAAAATGCCTACACTATTACACAGTAGAAAGTAATATTTCCTTACCTGCCTATCAATATCTGCCCTGAAATGCAATTAAAATGACTGATGCTTTAGCAGAATGCATTTTGGTAAGAAGCTGATAAACTCAGATAAAGAAAGATGTTAATTTTCTTTTAAGGGTAGATATACATAACAATTCAGTGTCTCCCAAAAGGACAGATATAATAGCATTCTGTTTAGGGGATATTGAGCAGACATTTTTTTTTTTATTGTGGGATTTCCATCATGAAATTTAAGGAGCAGCAACTTCATGCTAGAAGTTGGGGAAGAAAGGAATTGAAGGGGGGGAAGAGAATGGTCAGAATGACAAAAAATTATTAAATTATGCTATAGCAAACAATGTGGAATGGAATATTCTCACTGTGGTTCTGCTCCACAGGTGAATTCAGCATTGGCATACACTTTCTGCCAAATAAGTTGCAACAATCTTAAATATCAGCTAGTTAAATGGAAGCATTGATGCCACCCCCTTCTCACATTTATTATGGTGTACCACTCAAAATTCTTCCTATTCACAAAAACATTGCAATATTGCAAATACCACTGACTTTTTCTGTATCACAGACCTTTGTCGTATCACAGAGTACCTTTTGTTCTTTAGGCACTTATAAATAAAAGGATATTTTAATTCTTCACAGTGAATAATATTGGGACTAAGTGTATCTGCTAAAGACTACCAGGTCTCATGCTTGTAATGTAACATTGCAATTAAAAAGTGTTAGCTGCATTTGTTTGGTATTTTTGGTTGGGACACTATTTAAGACCTTTATGTAGACCCTTGAGGTTTTTGGCCATTAAATTCACTCATGTACAAATCTGCCATTACAGACTTTTCTCAGACTGCAATTTCTCCAATCTGTTGTTGAGGACAAAGACATGCAGATAATTAGCTGTGCATCTTCTTTTTATTCAAACACAGATATATGATTATTACTAATAATTACACCAGTAAGCAATGACATAAATGTATTACCAATTCAACAATTTGGAAATGCTGGATTTGAGGTTTCATAAAGGCAGCTTATGACAGAGCCTGTTTATGTCTGGCAGACCTGTGAAATACCCCAGTGTGGCCTCTCCTGGGCAACCTTGATTTCCTGTGCATGCCCTGTGATATCATCTCATCACAACTGGGTCTCACTGGTACCTAAGTAATCAGGCACCTGTTACTGGCCCTTTGATACCGTATTTATCCATGATGATTGTGTCTGAATCAAGATATGACACCATGAAAATCTTGCATTAGGAACACCCTCCAGATACCAACTTTTTGGCTTCTCTTTTATCTGAGGAAGGAATCATTCAGGTAACAGCCAAACAGTACCAAGAAGAGCAGAGCCCTGAACAGCACAGTTAAAACTTTCAGTTTTTAACTTCTAAAAATCAGTTTCAACTCCAGATTTATTATGATGCTTCTCCATTTCAATGTCCTAAAGCAGAGAATTAGGTTGACCAGAAACTTACCTGCAATATTTTAATGGGGAACCAGAGAACTCACTTCCATTTGATGTTGGCTCTGAACGGTTTTCAAAGTCAGACACCAGAAATACTGATAAACTGGCATTAACATAGCCAACCATACACCTAGAGGGGACAAAATGCTGTCAGCAGGACACAGCAAGGTTTTTCCATTAACTGTTGTACCCAGGAGGATGCCCTTTGGGTTTCATAAAATCCAAAAGTACAATTTTGATGCTTATTAATATTTGAAAAGGATGTTGAGGCAATATAAAAGAAATGCTAAAGTAGGTCAAATGAACAATAAAAGTGAAGCAATGGTAGATTTCTATGGGAGAAGGAATGGTGAAGATTGGGACTGGTTACTTTTCAAAAGTCACCTAAATGGTGAACAGTAGGGGCAGAAAAAATAATGAGGAGTGTTACAAAGATAATCAGAATATTCCCACTGTTACAGTCATGTACTAGCACAAAGGGACACTAAATCAGATGGAAAGATAACACACTTAAAACAGCTTTTTAGAAAATGTCCAGTTAATCAGAGGAACTCCATTCTAGAAGAACCCAGCATGACTGAACACTGTGAGGGCCAGGCAAAATTTAGAGAACACTGAGTAGAAGTTATGTCCCCTGTTGAAGGGCTGTGGGTGTCAATAGAGGGCTCAGGTTTGGTGTTAATAAAGCTAAGGAGATCTGGCCAAAATGTGTTGTGCTGTTCATGCTGCACTGCCCAACACAGCTAAGTGTAGGCACACTACTTATCTTGGTGTAGAGTACAATGCACAGTAAGGGTTGGGGGATTTTGGTTTTGGGTTGGGTTTTTCTAAATATGGAATTTACAGTCTTTTAGAAATTATATTCAAACAACATCTGGTTTTGTCTCCATACTGATTTCATTTGGAACTTAATTTACTTCCAGTATTTTTCTAGTATCACTGTGTGTCATGTGGATCTAATACCTACAGTTGTTTTTTGAAAGAAAAGAGTACCTCTTTCTTTTAAGCTATTCAATAACAGATGGTGTTCACACCTTAATTTGAGAAAACTCACTATTCCTGTGGATTTTTGAATACCTTCCTGCTTTTGTTACAGTACCTACTAATAACATTATTCAGAATGCTGACATAAACAGTTCAAATACAGGTTAGCTCCTTCAAAATATTACTACCTGACAGCTTCATCTAGAAATTCACTCAAAGAAGCAGCAGAAGTGTGAAAACATTGTATAGAGGTTTGTGAAAAGAAGATAAGATCCAAACAGTGAGCCGAACTGCTTCCCTTGTGCAGAACTTGTTTCAAAGCCACTGAGTCATATTTGAGTCTTAAGAGAAATATTTCTAAAGGTGTTGTTTTTCATCCACAGTGGTCCTGAGAAAATCCTTCCTTATGCTTTCCTTAGCAATGAGAGTTGCTTACAGTATAAAGCCTGTAGGTCTTTATACTGGCACGAGCAGAGGCACATGCTCAGGAACAACTGGCACCAGACAACTTTGCCCCTGAAGGGATTTTAACTCTTCATGAAAGTAAACAGAACGTCCTCCCTAGCCCCAGCTAAAACGCCCAAATCCTTGCAGGACAGGAGTTAGCACATCTGCTAATCGGGAGCTGCCACACCAGATGCCCTTCTTCTGTCAGGATGATTAAATGTATTGACAGTCAAAAGATGTCAAAGAAGCAGCAACAGATGAACTCACTTTCTGCAGCAGGGAGTAAAAAAATCGATCTGCCATATGTCCAATACAGAACGCAAGCTCTCTGTCACTGTCTACTGTTTAGCCTGGGTTTCTTTGCACAGCAGGGTTCCTCGCTAATGGCACTGCCAGAGCATTTGCAAACGGTGTCTGTGTTTGGCTGGATTCAGTGACCTTCCCGGAGCCCAGCAGCTGAGATTTCACAAGTGGCCATGCAGCAACTATCTCATGTTTGTTGATAGCGTGCACATGCTAATATAATCTCAGTGTTTAGCAACACTGAAAGAAAATCCACTTAGGCAGCAGGGATTCAGATCACAAATGTTTCCTGGAAGATTTAATCTAAGAACTCTAGTTTTAGAAGAAAAACAAATTGCTTTTCTCTATAAGTATGTATTGTTGTCTTAGTTGGAAATTTCTTCCTCTTGCTAGACACTACTTTTTAAAGTAATACATGCTGAATATTACATAAGGAAAAAAACCCAGTGTACAAGTTTAAGATGCTTAGCAAATTCTTTACTGATTCATATCAGCATTGCTTCAGAAAAAACCCAGGATTATATCCATGTACTTCCAGCTGGGAAGTATAGCTTGGGCAGCATCCTCTCACACACACAAAATCCCTGAAATAGTTCTGCCATGTTTGCCTTGAAGTACCATCATGGATCACAGTCACTCAGCAACCCATTCTGTGAATATGCAGAGCATCAGTATCTATGGTATCTGGTGCTTAAACACAAACAACACTCTTGATTTAGTGGAATCAGAACATACACAGACAGTAATACTGCATCTATTCAAATAATAAGTGATTTTTGTGCACATCTGTTTCCCCCCACCAAAAATAAAGCCTTACTTTTGTCCTGCTTCTCCTTGGCCAGCACAAGGTCCGTATTTGTAAGCATAAACAAGGCGAGGGATGAAATCTGATGTCACTGCTATGACAAATGCGTTTGTGATAACCGAAAGAATTCCAATGCCTTCCAGGATCCCGTACCAGATGCCTGTTCAACAAGGACAGTATGTTTGCTCCAGGAAAAACCAGAACCAAAGTACTTGAAATACTGCATGATCAGAAGTAGTTTTCCTCACTGCACAAGGTGTTTTTATGTATCAAGAGTCACTGAGTAAAAATAAATTTTCTTATTGAATAGCTGATCACTGTTCTCATCACTGTGAATCACACCAAAGGAAGGTTAAACATACCCACTGATTTAATGAGGCATTGAATTGCCCCTGAAACTTTGCTAGAATGCAGTTTATTGCATCTGAATCAACATAAAAAATGGTATTCTTCTGTGCTTCTATTAATTACCTTATACAACTGGTATTTTACAAATTGTGTCTGTAGTGTATACTATGTACGACTTGTCCAGGCTTGTGCCAGAACCCACATATTCACACTGTTGTCATTTAAAGCTTTAATCAGACACAGACTTTAGGCACGTGGTAGAATGTTCTAAGAGCACAAAGCCTAAGCTTCTCCTATTTCTTGGTGTGGGCTATGGACTTTTGCAATGCAGCTGGTTAGAGATGTTTCCTATTTACCCCTCTGAAAACACCAGGGATTCAGCACTGGGCAGATGCATTTACTTTTGAGCTCTCCCTAAAGGTGCTGTGCTTTTGCATACTGCAAGGACAGAAGAGATTTGTAGTCAAAATAAGTTCAGAGATCCTTTGCAATAGTGTGTGGCTGGATGACCGCAGAGTTATGTGGACCTTGTGTTTAGCAATGTAGGTGTGACTCACTGAGAGCAAGTTTTCTGCTGGGATCCAGACCCACCCTGTCTGACCCACCAGGGACCCGGTGGGCACTTCCCCTGAGTCACAGGGGAGCTTGGTTTTGGCCAGGTAAACATAAAACATACAGGTTCCTTACAGCTCCTATGGTGGCCACTTCAACTTGACTTTCATGTACCATCTGATTGATCTGTCTGGTTATTATATTCAAGTTGAGCAGCAACATGTGTTGGCACAGTGTGTCTGCCACAATAGAGCACCTGCAGAGATCACTGATCTTTTTACATCTTGGCTGTTAAGTCCTCCAGAAAAATCATTAAAATACATTTTCCGACATAGACTATTAATTGCATAAGTAGATTGCTATCAGATACTTGAAGTTTTTTTAACAATCAAGGGTGTATTATTAATTGGGTAGATGACTGAAAATACCTTAATCTGCTCTTGTTTGAAGTGGTCAAAGCTTTGACAAATAACACATATATATAACAAACACCAAACAAAGAGCTCACCTATATCTTTGGCTCTTGAAGCTAAAGGTCTTCTCCACTGAGTAACAAATTTGTAAGCATCAAGCCGAATTTCAATAATATTGTTTAGTAAGGCCAGAAGTGGTGCCAGTGGAAAAGCTGCCACAAAAATGGTTGTGAACCCAAACTGAAGAACTGGGGGAAAAAAAAGGAAATATCACAGAAAAACTCTTAGGATCCAATCCCAAGATCTAAGATACCAAACAGTGTATGCAAATAAGCAGTTTGTACAAGGTATACAGACAATTCTTGTTATGACATACTATATAATGGTCTAGTGGCACTTGTACAGCAAGTCCTTGTCAAAAGTTAGAAGAAAGAATGAAAGGACCCTGGAATGGACAGCACCATCTAAATTTTCTAATTTGGAATAAAGTTCTGAGATGGACAAACTGTGCTTTTAGAAAGGGACATTTTTACTCCAGTATTGACCAGGATCTCTCAATACTTGTAAAGATTAGGGATGAATACATTCCTTTTAATAGTTCAGATGGGAAGCAGTTTGAAATTCTGTTTAAGTTTCCAGAGGTAGGTTTTCAGAGTATCAGATTTCCCATTAATTTGAAAATAATTTTGTGAGGGAGAAAAGAAAAAAAGCAATTATGACATATGCAGTTCAGTCACATAGGGCAAAATTTCATGGTTTTTTAATATCCTTTTTTGAGCAGTTATTCTTCTCTCTTCTGGATAGAGCAGTGCCTTTTTGGCAGTAAATTACTTTGTAAATGTGAGGTAGTAAATGAGGGAGGATTTTAAGCATAAACAAGCATGCTGGTCTTTACCCTGAACTTCAAAGGAAAAACACAAGACAGCTTTCTTTAGAAAAGAGCAGAAAATTTCTTCAGAAATGCATGCAGTCAATGAACTGGGCTCTGGTTTGGAAAAACAAATCCAGAATGGGAAGTGTTTCATAGATTGGAGGTTAGCAAACTATCAGCAGCATGCTTAACTACATTGGTTTGGTTCTTAAAAACTGACTCCCATTCTTCACCTGACCTGTGAGAATGAAAACCTTTTTGCAGTCTCCTTAGCTTCATATAGTGATAATTAAAAGAATTCACCAGCTCATATCAACAAAAAAAACCAACAGCATCAAACTATAGTGAAAGAGAGAGAATGAAGGTTAGATCCATACTCATTTCTAGGTATTCATCAAAGAGTCCATAAGCATTCATAGGCTGCAGATTATAGTCCTTTTCCCACTGTGGGAAGCTTGTTTTTCCATGTGTGCCATACTCTTGCCGTAGTTTTCTCCTGGTCCACCAGTTTTGAATTAGCCTACATTTCAAATTAAATAAAAGAAACAAAGTAAAGAATATGAATGGCTATTTATCACAAAATTGGAAGATGTTAAGTGGGCACAACATATCCTACAAAATTCATTTCCCGATGTACAGGAAAATAGAGCATTGTTAATACACGTGGATGATGACACAGCATAATAGGTATGAAAACAGATGCAGCTGATAAGCTGTAATCCCAGCCTATATGTTGTTAAAATGGTGAAAGGATTTTGACATATCTTCATTATTTATTTACTTATTTTTCTCTGCACAGAATACCAATTCACTTCAGGGTTTGTTTATGTGGCAGAATGCAATGCTGTGTGGAGATAGCTGAGCTCAGTAAATAAGAGTGCTAATGCTCCTTGATTCTTTCCTCTGTGCGTGACCTGGCATCTCTGCACGGCTCTACAGCGTGCAGGGTAAAAGCCTCTGGGCAACCCTGGAAGGGAAAAGGCAACCCTGAAAACGGTGTCTGCAGCCAAATATTGAGAGGAGAAAGAGGCAGAAAGAAATGTCTGAATTACCATGGTGGCTGAGAGATGGGTGGCTGACATGGGAGCCACCTCCACCTCAAGAAATGGGGAACCTGTACTGGACATGGAGGGAAGATGCTGCTCCCAAAGAAATGCACGTGTGAGACCACTGAGAAAGGCAGTGAGCCAAAAGTGAAATGAATTCTCACATCTGAGATAAATACCTTTTCAGGGAGTTGCACTGATTTGGCCTACAAAGGACACCAGTTAAGAGTTATTGTAGAAGAAAAAAAAGCCCGAACCACAATGACAGGTTTTCTCTGAAGCTGGGGTTGGCCACTTTGTCTCAGTAAGAAAAAATGTGATAGATCACCCAAATAATTCAGTCCTTTTCCTGACAGTGCTTCACTTCTTGCCCTCACAGTGGCCTGGTCTGGTCTGTGAACGGCGCAAAGTGACTGCAAATCGTAATTTGATTTGCATAAGGATTTGGACAGCTACTTGTTTTCTTGAATCTTAGAGATTATTTTTTCAATTACGTAATTTATCAGAAAGATTACAGCTTTTCATGTCTTCCTTAAAGAAGTGTAGCTGAAATTGAGTGCAGTTCAACCGAATTCAGGTACAGATTGCAGGGTTGCCTCCAAGTCCTCTCGCCATCCACATTGGGTTGGTTGTTATCAAGTTCTTAGCAGAAAGGTGTTTTGCACACAAAAAAAGAAATGCACCTTCTTGCAGCATTTCAGGGCTAGAAGGTGAACTGAAGGGTCTGGAGAGCAAACACATCTCTCATCAGAATAAGTTGAAGCATTTCACAATGTTGTGACTCTGTCTTTTATGTTGTGGTTTTCCTTGTGACTCTGAAGTGATTAATTTCACCTAAAGCGGTTTATTCCTATTAAACCACTTGTTCTTAAACAATCTCATTGTTAAGTTTCAAGATCTGTATTAATAGAAAGCAGAGAGTTCTAATGAAAACTGGCAAAAGTGGTAGGGAGTGGAAAGGGAAGGATCAATACTGCTGCTACTGTTTCCTCCTGCCCATCCCAACTAATCCCTGCAGCCCTAACAGCTGCAAAATACTGGCAAGAAGTGCTAGGCCCAGGAAAGATGGAGAAATAGCAAATCCCTCTGAACTTTGCAAGGGCAAACTTTCTGACAATGTCAGCTCTCTCTTAGATTTTGACTCTTGCTAATTTCCCTTGATGACCATCCACACTCTCTCTAGCATCAACAACACTGATAATATTAAACGTACATAAATCATATTAAACATGCTCATTAAATACTAATCAATAAGGAATGAACCAATAGGAAATGAGTAATTGCCAACCTTTTAGCTAGGGCACAGCTTCATGTTACCTTGAAAATCACAAGGGAACCTGTCTACATACCAGTCAGTACATTTTTCTCTCTTTCAGAGTGCATGTGCCAGCAGTGCATTTTTTCCAGCTCATATCTGCTCTTTCAGGCATCTTTTATCACCCAACAAAAATAGAATTTAGAACTTACTAGTATAGCTAAGAAATGATACATATAATATTTTTCATGTAAGCAACATAATGGTCACACAGTTACTTTTAAGGAGTTTTAGAACACAGAATACAATTTAACAAAATTAAGTACTTCCCATGTATTACTTATTTGTTAATATTTATATTACACTTTCACTTTTCCAAACTATGTCCAACATGGAAAAAAGCCTCAGGCATCATCTTTGTATCTGGAGTTCTGCATCCTTGGGGGGATTTTCTGTTGCAACGGCTGCTGCATCTTGTTTTTATAAACTGATGATAAGGAGAACATAAACTTAGTATTCTGTGACCTACAGAAGCACAGGTATTATGTTCACTTACGGATATCCCAATTCCATGAAATTATTCCATGTCTGCTTTAACACCATTATAATACCCATTTGCATACAGAGATCAATAAGGCATCCACTAGGGTGGCACTAGAGGAAAAAAAATAAACAAAATGTTAAATAGGAATTATGCTGAGTTTTAAAACATTTATTAAATGCTATAAATGATACTGGATCATTTACTAAAAGGGAATTAAATTAATTTTCCTTATTTTTTTAAAGAAGTGTAACCTCATGGGAACAGATGACACTGTATCATACTGTCAGCATTTTAAGCTTATCACCTAATTCTCTGCAGAGGTCAGAGTCAGCTGAAACCAATGCAGTTTTCACAGTAGTTCTTCTAACGTGCTGTGCAGCTGTGGGCAGGGCAGAGGCAAAGACCACCAAGTTTCTCCATTGATTTTAATTGTTTTTGGGGAGGGTGGCTGTGCATCATGTCAAAGAATGAAGAGAAAATTTCTCCTGGCTGCGCATAAACCAGTTTATGCTTAGAGGATAGACTTAGAACTATTAATTGAGTGCTGTGTAACATCTATGACTGAGTAGACCATGCAAAGCTGTTCTCTTCTCGAAGAACTAAAAATCTCACTGCTGAGCAACAATTCTTAGCGTTTCTTGCTGAGTGCTTGCTTGCTTTAGCAGTGGCTCCAGACCCTGAAGCTGTGGTGCTCCTTTTGGGAGACATCTTCAGATAGTACAAATTTAGGTAATTTTTTATCTGTTATTGTAAAAAGAACAAAGGGATCAAAAGGCTTCAACGCTCAAAAAGCACTTTGTACAATTGGCTTTGCAGTTCCAAACAGTGTAGTTCAAACTGTATTTTAAAATCTTGGGTATTACAGATAAGTCAAAAAAAGTCACTGTCACAGAACTGGAATTATTTCTCTCTAACTTTTAGGGAGACAAAATAATTATGACCTGGAATAAAATGCGACATTAATTTCTTGTACATGATTCATTATCCAGCTCTCAGAAAATGGATCACTGCTGAAGGTTCTGCTGACGTAATTTAGCATTATTGGGATGACTGGGTTGGTTTTTTTGTTGTTTCTGGTGGGGGGGTCTGGTAGGTGTTTTTTTTTTTTTTTTTTTTTTTTTTTTGTTTTTTTTTTTCCTTTTTTTTTTTTACTTCTCCGTCATTATTACTAAATCATCATCCTTCTGTTTTTTGGAATCGGTAGCATGAGTGAATACACCCTGAGAGAGGTGGGTGCAGTGTCAATGAACTAGCAGCAATGTTACAACCATAACAGCAATAATATGTAACTGGGGTCTGAGCATGTCCATGGGCACTGGATTAGTGTTACTAAATGTCTTAGACTTGGCAAAATTCGACAGGTGAAGAGAGGGGTATTGGAGGGATATCTGGACATGGTATTCTACAGCAGGTTAGTTCTAATAAGACCTGGCAGAGATACAGTCAATAAATTTAAGACTTTTCTATTAGATTATTTTTAAAAAGTATTATTATTAGACTCTTTTTTTTTTTCTCTGAAAAAAGCTAAACAGAGACTACTAAGAGTAGCTTCCACCAGCAACTGACCCAACCTGTAACACCTCATTGTTGCACTTTCCTCACAAACCTGGCTCTCTTCTCCTTCCATCTCTTCTCCTGCAGAAAGATGAGTTTCTTTCCATGTTCTCTGATCCCTCTGTGAAATTAATCAGCCCACTGAATCAGCAGAAGACTAATTCAGCCAGCAAAAGGAAGTTTACTGCTGATACAAGGAACTGAATAGGCTCCTCACAGGGTTGGACAGGTGAGAGCCAATGCAGAGGAAGAGAAAGGAGCAAGCCTCAGGGTGAGGAAGGACGACCAGAACTGCTTTCCTTTGACACCAGCAAGTTTTTAGGTCAGCTCAGCCCCAGACAGACTTTGGAGGGATGTTAAGCAAAATTCTGTGGGCCCATTTATCAAGTATTCTTCCCTTAAAAGAACAGAATTCTCTACAAAATTAAGATGGTTTTAATAAAATTCAAATCCTTTTGTTTGTTTTGCTAATATTTGAATGGCCTTTCTTAACCAAAATATTTATGTATCCAGATGTGTTTGGAAATTCAAGCTGGCAGGCATTTTCCACTTACCATTTGTCATTTATCTGCAAACTTGTTTCAATTATTCATCTGTGAAGCAGGAAAGAAACCATGGGATTTCAGTGTGCACACAGCAGCACTGGAAAGTAAATGACTGGTCCAGAAACTGCTGCTGTTCACCTCCTATAACTGTCAAATGGGCTTTGAATTCTGAATGTATTTATTTTAAAAAATTAAAAAAATTAAATTGGTCCTTGAGCAATTTGCAAAGCCAAACTCTCATTGCTTTTCATATTAATTTGATTTTATAGACGTGGGACATTATGCCAGTAGCTTGTTTGGGAAGTTTTTCAGTTGTTTTGGTCAAATTTCACATACATTTTATGTGTCTGGATTTTTAATTTGTTACTTTAGTATTTTAGCTCTCTGGTCTTCAAGGCTAGAAAAGCTGAGAAGAAAGGACTTTTTTTGAAGAAAAAGTTGCCAGATTCATGTTTGATTTTGATTCATTCCAAGGATGAAATATTTCCAATGTGAGGAATCTTTAAACCATCTGATACCACTGTTTGAATGTGACGCAAACACTAGAGCTGCTAGCATTGAAAAGGAAATACATATATATATATATATATATATATATATATATATCAATATGTAGATGCTTTTGTAGCAGATGGTAGTGTCAATAGTTGGGATTAGGCAGCAACTGAAGACCCAATAACACACTCAGAACTGCCTAGGCAGATTTACGTGTCTGCCTCTGCTTGCATCCATGGCATTGTGGGCAGCAGCTAAATCAGCATGCGGTTATGGAACACTCACCTCTTCCAGCCTCCACCGGTTTATCAGCCTTAAGTAGGCACCAGGGTGTCCTGTAAATCTTTAACACAGGAATATAGATCAACCATGTTGTGTAAGCAGTCTGTTCACAGCAGTACAAGAAAGCTCACACTCTTATTTTAATCTGGTATTATCTTAATGTGATGGTATAACTATAAAAGATGTTATGCTGCAAAAAGTTTTATGGGTATTCCTGGAATAATCTCATGAAGGACTAAAGATATTTTTACTTCAGTTTTATTTCAATACCAACACTCTGCTGTTGGATATTCAACATAGGCAGAGCAGAGGGAAAATCTGACTGAAAATACTCATGTCTGTTTGGAAAATGGCTCTCAACTGTCAGTCCATTTCCTTACAACATAAAATGCTCTGTGATGTCTGCCTTCCTGTGAAATCGTTGAAAATTTTAGTTTTCAGTAAAAATAATAATTTTCTAACTATTCTCCCATGTTTTCCCCCAAAGTTTTTCCCAGATGTAAATAATCCATACTAATGGATTCTTCTACTCAAACCTTCTTTACTAAAAAGGTCTTTTTTTAGGAGACTGACAGAAAGAGATATACAAATAATATATATTTAGATAGATTCATAAATACACAAAAATACATGTATATAAAATATAAAATAAAAATATAATATATATAATAAATATATATGTGGAATCCCCTCAAATGGTAGCTCATAACTCACTCTTAACCATTCAGATCATGTAATCAGAGCAGGTCCCTTCCAACTGAAATATCCTATCCTATCCTATCCTATCCTACATTTATCCATACAAATAACACACATAAAACCAGAGTGAAATGACCTGTATGTATAATATTGTGAGATGCATCTGTTTCCAATAGTGAAATTGTTAAGTTAATATTGAGACCATGTGGTGATAGGAAATGAAAACTGCATCTGTTTCTGGGCTTTTGAAAGGAGTATAAAACTGCAATCTGTTCTGCTGGAATTTGCATTTTGATATGTGTGATAATATGGTCCATTTTGTTTCATTACAAACAATTTCATTTCTTCTCTCTACTTCATTTTGCACATATGAGTGTGCAGACATCAATCCTACCTTCCAAGGAAGAATGCTATATAAAAGGTAGAGCTGTTCAGATTGACAAACTGAAAAAGAAACATTTTCAGAGTGAAGCTGTTCTCCCACTCCGACTCGGTACGAGGCTGCTCTGTGAAGAAAATGACCAGAGTTTCAGAGGCTTATTCAGAATATCAATTTCCCTTGGCACAAAGGCTGCACACACCTGTAAGGGCTGGCAATATATTTTTAAATTAGCCTGCTGTTTTCAAAATATAACCTGGCAGAGGAAATTGTTTCCAGAAGCAGCACTCAGCAAGTGATCTTGTAGAGACATAGAAATCTATTCTGGTGCCTGCATACATCTGTATGTTCCCCTGAGACTGTAACAAAGTGGTCGAGGTAATGTGTATATTAAACATCCCACCTCTATTTAAGTGGTCTTTACAGGCTTGGAGTTTTGCTTCCTTTTCTGTATGCCACCACGATGACATTGCCACTCCACCAAAGCTATTTAAATGCCTTTTTTTTTTTTTTAGAGATGTCACACTGAACTGAATAAAATCCTCCTGGTAATTCTGTTTTATGGATTTGCTCACATATATCAGTGGAGTGCCACTGCATGACTCTCCTTCCTTGTCCCAGGGATCTTGTCACGGAAATCCAAGAACAAATATTTCTCAGTGGATGGGCTAAGGCAAACAGGGAAGGGGAACACATATTCTTGCCTTTGGGTACTGTTACCTTATTCTCCATCTCAAGAAATACCAAGACAGAAGTTAACAAAACAATGTCCATGCCAACACACCGGTTCCATATTCTGGAACTACTTTCCAGCTGTCAGGAATTTGTTGTTAGCTGATCATTGCTGTGAACGGGATTAATCAGAGAAGTGGAGTTGCTAATGGTGATTCTGAGTATCATAATGATAGTAATCACATACTGCTTCCAAAACAGCCTCCAGTAAAGTACTAGAAGTAAAAAAAAAAAAGCAATAAACTTGATTCTCTTTACTTAGAGCTGCCCTTTCATTGGGCATAGATGCCACTCTGCAGAAAGGACAAGTTTGACTACAACAAGGCTGCTGCAGTTGAAGCTTTGCTCACATGCCCATCAGAGACAACGGTGATGCTCTGGAGGAGCACAGATGTGAGTTCTGAAAAAGGTAATGTAAAAGATGAAGAAGGACATCCTCAGTGTCCTCAGTGTTGTTTTGCTGCGAGTCCTTCTTTGAGCTTCTTACACTGATGAAGATAATACGGATCAAATCAGTTCTTTAGGCCACCAGAATAAAAATTACAAAACCGTCTGAACAGGATTGGAAAAACTTGATCTGCTGAATTTTCATACAAGTGCTTTCTGCAAAAAGCAGACCTACCTAACAGAAAGTAATCAAGCTTCAAGGTCTCTAGAATGTATCTTACTGTCTGTCCCCAGGCTGTCAGGACATAGCTTGTACAATTCACAAACTTGAAAGTCGTATTTCTCAGCTGTAGCTAGCAGGTATCTTCTCCATGGATACAGGATAGCAAAAATATTTTAAAATTACAGCATACAAATGAGGACTCTCAGTTTACTAAGAAACAAAATAATAAAATTCTATTGTACACAGATATGTTTTGAACACTTTACCAATGACTTCTGGGATGTAGAAAAGCCCAGCGAGCAGCTAAAGTCAATTGTTTCCTTTGAGCATCAAAGCATCAAAATCTGCCTATCTGGTCCAAAATAATTTACTGAGCATCATCAATGTACACAGGTTTCCAGGAGCTCAAAATAACCTCAAACCACTGGTATATATTCAATAATATGGTTTGTTTAATAGGCCTTCAGCCAGAGTCTCATTTCAGGCTTCTTGACACTAAGGAGCCCTTGCCAATTGCCACCAACTACTGCAATCTTTCAAATATATCAGGATCTCCACAGATCCTGTCTCAGCCATGGATATATGAATCACAGCCTGTTGCTACCCCATTGACATTGGATGCTCTCCTTAGAAAACAGGTTTCCTTGCTCTAGCATAAAGTCTGCCTTTGCAAGTGAGCAGAAAGGATCACTGAAATTTAGATCATCATATAGTTTAGGTGTAGGTAGAGTTGATGATTCACCTAGTCATTTTCCCTCCTTACTGCCCTTCTTAAAGGCAAATATTTGATAGGCAATCAGCACCTTAGTTTCAAGTTATGGATTTGTTTTCCAGAAGCGACTCTCCTTTTCCATGTTTACAGACTCTGGAGGTTGCGAGTGCTAAGTCTGTCTGAAAACTCATGCGTTTTCCTCCAAGGTAAAAATTTTACATGTACTTTTAGTAAACAATTTATTTACATTGTTAGGTGGTAGAGGGTTGAAACAAGAACAAAGGTGGATTATTGTTGCCACCACTTTCTTATTAGAAACTTAAGAAAAACATTAATTCCTATAGATTGCAAATTAGTTAAGATTTTTCATATTTATGCAAACATTTTGAATTTTATCATGGTGTATGGACCAATAAATCAGTAAAATATTATTCGATTTTATATTTAACATTACTTACCTAAATTTGTCAGGAAAAGAGCAACTTTTTCATACAGCTGTAACAGAGAACAAACAGTCTCTTAGTTACATGGCCAGCTCAAAAATGTAGAACTACTTTCTAGGGAGAGAACATGTGAAATCTGACATGCAGATGATTTCTCTCATGTTCTAAAACTACATAATAAAGCAGTGATATAATCAAACAATGAAAAATAAAGTTTTTATATCTAATGCTCATGTATATATGATATATGCAGAGGAAATGCTGTCATTGTCCCTATTTTATATACAGAGTGAAAATGGATGAGAGAACTTTTCCAAAAAGAAAAGCAGAAACAGCACGACTGAGATTTTTTTGTTTTAGTTACTTATGGAACATTCACCTCACAAGGAAAAAATCACCCTAGAAGAGCATGCTATGGTATGTTGGATGTGATGGTTATTTGGGGCTTTTTGGTTTTGCTTGGCACTTTGGTGCTGAGAGAAAAGACACAGGGGGGGTCAGGGTTACTTCAGAGAAAATCTCTAGTAATCCCCACCACCAGACACTTCTTACTCTGAGCCAGTGCCATTTTTCTAAATCCTAGGTGGTACTTTCCTCACTTTCAGGTACCGTGCTCTCAAACTCTCCAGGAGACTCCAAACTTTGTTAAGATGACAAAACTAACTTGGAGGGTTTTCACAATCAGCATGTGCAAAGGAGTTTTGAACCTATTACCTACATCACCAACACCATCAGTATTAGAGTAAAGTAATACAATTATTTCCATTTGCTTTAAATTAGTCTGGAGCCTGTTCCTGCAAATTGCTAAATGCCCTTAACTCTCACTGATGCCTGCAGGATTACAACACTCTCATATTTCAGGCTCAAGTATTTACTTACTCCTACAGTGCATATCAGCAAAGTTTATTTTTATTTGCAGTTATCCTTAGAATCTCTTGCTTAAATTGAGTTATGTATTGTTTACAGATCAAACTGCCTGCTTAAGAGCTGAAGTCATCCTGAAATCTCTCATCCATGTTAACAACCACTTCATGCTTAGAATAGCTTTCCACTGCCTTTGGAGTAAATGGTTTTGTTTCAAGTAATGAAAAAGGTAGTTTCTTCTGGGTTTAAAAGTATCTCTTAAGGGCAACTGTAAATGTGCTAAATGTCTGGGTCATTTATATCCTGATCCCACCAGGGAGTGTGGTTTTTTTACAAATGTTCACTGCTCTACAGAAGGGTTTATTAAAATTTCAATTTGTTGCCATTCCATTTGGAACAGTAAGACTGTGTTAGAGATTCTGTTAGCAATGTTTGGATCTAATTGTCTGCTACTGTCATTTATCAGTACTACACTCAAGGGGCCCTGTTTGGGATCATACTCTGTTCACTGTTCATATTTTCCAAGGGCAATATTACTGGAATTAACAGTTTTACATAGCCTAGGTAAAGCTAGTGCTTGTTTCCAGGTCAGGCTGCAAGATTATCTGGGAGACATTATTCTTGAGGGTCATTTTGTTTTGTTGTGTGCTCAGAACCTCTGGTCTGGAATTTACTTGTGGTCTAGACCTTTTCTCTGATGCTTTGAGAGGGTGTCAGCTTGTATCAGAATCACTGCTGGTTTTCAAGGCTTCTAGCAGTGAATTCTCTACTGCTATGCACATCTTGGTCCATTCTGCTTTTATTACTGTATCTTTTCTTGCTCTTCTGACACTTGAGTCACAGTTCGTGCAGGATTCTACTACCTGAATTGCTTCTGGGGATTTTTCTTCTCCCAAAAGAAATCCCACGATTGCCCTTCAGTAAACTACATTAATCCATCATGGGAAGCAAGGGATTATGCTCCTAAAACCTTCCTTTGAAAAACTCCTGCAGTTTCATATTTGTGGATCTTTTTCTTCCATGAGCTATATCCAGATCTAAGGTTGTGGTGTTTTTTGAATGGTGATGAGTATGAGGCTAGAGAAACCCATATTTGCTGTGCTCCATTTATGTGATAATTTTAAGAAATAAAACAAAGTTTCTCAAAAGGCACCTTCAAACAATCTTCCATTATTTAAAATAAAAAATCTCAGAGCTGTTAAATGCTTTGGGAATGAAAAAATTTCATTTGTGTAGTGTTTCTTTTTTGCCGCTTCACTGCATATACAATGACTTACACTGAGAACTGGAAAATGGATGTTGCACTGGCATATATATATAAATTTTTTTCTTTTATGCTTATTGTGTGCTCTAGGTAGAAAAAAGAAAATCCCTAAAACCTAGAGAAAAAACCCAATAAAATAAAAATTAACATAAAAAAGAGAGCTCTCAGTACAATCTCAGACAGAAAACCGGCTTCCTCCTTTCTGTCCTTTCTCAGCCTACAGTCCCACCTAAGGGAAAACATAGGAAAAACAACAGTTCTGGATAGACTGTCTTAGTCACTAATCCAGTCTTGCCTTCTTCCTTCTTCAAAGGAAGAAGCAAAGTCCTGCAGCAAAGACTCTTGGAATTTCCTGCCATATAAAAAAAGACCCATCAAAAAGAATTTTTAGGTTATGGAAATGCTTGGATATTACATAGGAAAGAAAGAAGTCTCTAAGCCAGCCTTGGAAATGAGCAGACCTGAAATAACATCTCATTTTTTCCCTAGGAAGTAAATCAGCATATCTCCTGGAGTGAAGCCTAACAAGCTGTTTGCAGAAGATGCTTGCTATTGTGTAGGCAGAGATACACTCTGGCTCCAGTGCCTGTCTGGTTTGTAGCTAAACCCTCCTTCCCCTAAAAGGCATTTTTATAATGTCAGTTGACAAAACCTGACAGTGAAAGGCCATACATGTCTTGCCAAGAGCAGCAGACACATTGCTATCAGAGCAATATACAGGACTGTCATCATCTCAGTGGAAGGAGGGAACTCATTCCCCATCTACTCTCTTACTGGGACTGTTGCCACATAGAAATTCCATTTTTGTCTTTGTCCCAAGTCTGGTTCCAAACCAGCCACAACAATACCTGCCATGAGGCAGCCCCACTGCAGTGCACCCAGGACATATCTCTGGTGCATGCTGCAAAGGCTTTGGGCAGCTCTGGAACAAATCACATCTACTCAAGCCTTGTGAAGCTTTCAGCTGAAGAGAGTTCTGCTTGTGGACATTGTGTGTGTATTTGCATATCCTCACTGGAAAACTACCATGACAGCTGAAATTGGAATTACTGAAAATAGTGTAAATAAGAATTTTGATTTGTCACTATATTTTAAAAAAACCAACAAAACACAATTAAAAAGAAGAGTCTTAATGAAGTGTACTGAAAACTGCATACATATAAAAGGGAAAGAAGTGGGAGAGGATAAAGCAGGGGTATTATCATGTCTCCCTAAAATATTTTCAGAATATCAAACATACTTTACATAATATTTTGGGTTTGGAATTGCACTTTATATAAAAAGTGAATAATATCCATAAACAATAATTTCATTTCTGGCTTAGCAAGACACTCCACTCCTGCTCAAAAAGGAAATGAAAGTATTTGTTTGCCTGCTGACTGAGATACCTACTGCTCTGGTGGATTTGGTATAACTTTGGGTATGCTAATTTTACTCACCACATTCAGTAGCATGATGATGCAAAAGTTGATGCACACTGCAGTCCCTGTAGTTGCAACCTGAGAGTTATTCCTGATTAAAGCCCACTTAAAGGCAGCAAAAGTGCTGACAGTCACAACACGGTAAATAACAATGCCAAAAACAGCAGCAATCACCACACAGATCTAAAGGAAGAAAAAATCAGAGAGAAGAACCTGAAAACTTCCAGTGCAACAGGAGTCACTTTCTCCCTGAAACTCTCAAAATTAAATGAAATTAAAGACTTTAAAAGTGCATTCTTTTTGATTCCAGAGGAAGGTTTCAACACGATGATTTTTCTTCTTGTTAAGTTCTTTTTATTTCTCAAAATGAAAAAAATCACCAAAAAAAATTTTTAGTTTTAAACATTTTCTTGAAAATGTTCTCTTTCTTAGCATTCTTTCTCTTCCTTAGCATTAATGTGGGAAACAGTATTGCCAGCTCTGGGAATTAGAAATTTTCCTTATCAGCACATGATGTGCAAAGGCCAGTCTCAAACTGCTGTTGCAGCTTGATGGCATCATACTTGGGATGGATTTTGTGGTCTGATGGACTTCACACTTCACACACAAATGTCTCCATTTGTAAGCACTGCCTCAAAAACAGCCCTGCCAAGCCATTCTAGCCATCTGTTTCTTCCTACAGTTCTGGAAAGTTTCTTTCTAGAGAAGGTAACCAGTTCAATTGCCTTTGTGATTTCTTCTCTGATGAAACTTTCAGCAAATGTGACAGTTAGAATGAGAAAGCCACAGCTGAGCCAGGCTGCTTAGTCATTTAATGTTCCTCATGTAACAGCTGAGCTGTATTATTTACTATAATGTGAGAGTCTATGCTGAGAATTGCTCTAACTTGAAGTTTGGTAAGTGTATATCTCCTGTTATAGGTGTAATTAAATATATTCTTATCTAAATTGTCAAAAAAAGTCTTGCTTTCCAACTTGCTGGAAGCCCATGCTATGCCAACAATAAAAATAACTACAGATAAAATAATTTTTGTCCTGTTTTAAGGGCTGTTATGAGGACAATAATTTGTGGTACATGCAATTTAGAGAAAGACTACTCTCTCTGGCACTTTGAGCAAGATCTATCACTAGTCTAAGAAGATTTATGACTAAGTTTGCATAAGGTAAAATACTGCTATCCTTCAAGAAAAAAACATGAGGAAAATACACAAAACATCAGAGTTGTAGCATCAATTCTGAGCAGAGTCTGCAGTCTCGAGTACATGTCCTCAAGGGCTGAGTCAGGGTGTCCATCCACCTGATGTACCAGAGCACAGTTCATCTCAATAATGCTCTTGCCTTTCTTGACCTAGATTGTTTTGGACAATTTTGGAGCCATCAGTTTCTTACTGTCCTCTGCCCTGTTGCTGGGTTAGCTCACCTACCTGGCTCTCCACAGCTCCTGAGGCTGTACACATCTATCATTTTCTTGTCTCCTGGAAAAGCCCCAGTAAATTCCGTGGCAGTCTGTTGATTCCAGACCAGCACTGTGTTTTCAAGCCCAGCACTACCATGCCTGTTGTCATGTGAATAACAGCCCACATCTACTTCACTGAAATTAGTGGATGGGCGTGTTTCTGCAGAAGTGCATGCAGCTCTCTGTTAGGAGAGATTTTGCTGCTCCTTTTAGTTTTGCATAACTAAAGGGATAAATGCATCATTTTAGCAAAGGAACATTGGTTTCTCCATTTTGACTGCACTAGGAATATGAAGTCTCTTTCCTCATCTCCTTAATACACTGAGAAACTAGATTTTATTAACATCACTAAGCACTCTAGACATCCTATTTATGTTCTCTGGGAAGTTTACAAAGAACAACTGCTTCTCCTATGGTAACTTTCCCCATTGCTCTGCACTGTCTATGCAGGCAAGGCTACCAGCGAGCTAATTCAGCCTGCTGGAATTGGTGCCTGAATGTGATAGTGTCACTATTCTGGCATGCGTCACTACATACAGTGTCACAGGTGTAGCCTTGAAGGAAGGAATTAGCTATCTGTGAGACACAGTGAAGAGTGAACCAGTGTAGGACTTGACAGAAACTCAAGTGATTTGCTATGTAGATTTTCAACATGCATAGAGCTTATTCCACTTTCAAGCAGTCATATCCAATATTTACCTACTCTAGTAGCAGAGATAATTACATTTTTTTTCCTTTTCAACTGGTAAATAAATAAAAGTTCTCAAACCATAAAAAATATTCCAGATGCAGAAACGATGAGTCTGCTGCATTTATCTGCAAATGCTTGATAAGGCTCTGGCTTCCCGGATATGGGGTTCATTCGTTCTTTCTTGGAGTATTTGGCTTCAAACTGCGGACGTATTTCCTCCTAAAGAGCAGACAGATAATGTTCACATACAGCACAGCTAGGAAAAGCTCTGTAGGAAACTTCAGATCTTTTATCAGATCACTGTTCTGGGGAATATCTTTGAATTCAGCAGCTGGCACAGCTACTATAAAAGCTGAGCTGGGAAATCAGGTCTCTGTCATGAGAACTAGAATAAATCACTGTACCCATAAAAGTAAGTACTGAAAGTATTTAGTAAAATCTCCAATTAGCTATTCCTCTAAATAATGCTCTTTCAAAACTATGTGGCTGCAAGACAAATCGTTTTAAGATTGATACCACAGAATTTTTCAGTCTGACATTATCCTACTGATACTGGAAATTCACAACTAAGGTAAAAAAAAAACCAACCCAACAACCAAACCTCCTTTTCCCAAGCCTAATTGCTGATTGTTAGGCATTTGGTTACGCTTCCATTACCAACAAAACTTCTCAGCATTTGAAGAAGAATCCATGCCATCTAGTGCTGCTCAATTACTTCTTAACTTGGATAATAGTATTAGCAGGAGCAACTTTCAGCAGCAGAAATGTCAAAGCCTGCTTTGCCATCAAAAACCCTCTTGTGAAATGAAACCTGGGGATTACCTGGGGAGAGCTTTGCTATAAACAGATATCTGTTCATATCATTGCCAGAAGACAGGATCACCCCTGGTGCAGGTGACACTTGCAGCAGTGCTACCCCTCTGCCCTAACATCACCAAGAGCCACGTGTCCTATGCCACCTCGTTCCAGTCTGGCATCCAGGACACTGTCAGAGGTGAGATAAAGCACCAGGCTGAGCAGATGGACTCTCACAAATGCTGGCAGATATTAGAGCACTGTTTGTAGTACTCTACTGTATACTGGAGAGCTGCTCCCTGGTACAAGGGAGCAGACAAGAACCAGCTTACAAATTTCAGTCACTTTCAGCCCTTCAACTGTATGTAACTGAACTCTGAATGACTGAAATGCCCAAACCTTAAATGACTGCACTGAAATAGGTGAATGTTAACTGCTCACACAAGTCTTCAGAATGTGAATAAAGGTAAGATATCCTAAAATCATACATCCCTTTAAAAAAATTGCCTACAGAGGAAGGGGGGAAGAAGTCATGTCTCATTCTCCTCCTTCCAAGTTTTGAAGATGCTTTCTCAACACAGTTAATTTCCAAATTCAGGCAGCAACCTGGTAACAAGTTATAGAAACAAATGAAGAGGCATGTATGCCTAGCTGCAATGCCTCTGTAACTAATTATATGCTTGAGGGAACCAACCCTACCTCAGCTATACAAAAAGGCTGGAGGCAGAGTAATACCTTGTTCTTATTATATTTTGCTCAAGCTGTTCCTGCCATATCAGGGCTGAAGGACGCTGAGCAGACCATAATCTGGCAGAAGGAACAATGTAAGTAGTATTCCTGTGTGCCCAGGGGCATGAAAATCCACAGAGTGTGATAGCAGTGAAGCAGGGTTCCTGAGAATTTTACCCTGTAGATTGCACAAGGGCTCTGCCAGCTGGCTTGTCATAGACAAGAAACCTTTACTTCTCTGCACCCCTCTCTGACACAAGGTTTGATTATTTTTTACAGTCTGCAGTGTGGGGAAGTTCTTATCATACCCACATGTCCTATAATCTCCAGCTGATGCAAGCAATGCAAATACTATTTTTAGACATTCTCAAAAAAAAAAAAAAAATTGGGAATCTGGCATGAAACTTTGTACCTGTTTAATGATACTCAGCATGCCTGGGCAAGTAAACAGTACTGTGTCTGGCTGAGGTTAATGATACAAAGAAGGTGACACTGAAGAAACAGAAAAAGTATGCTACAACAGAAGCCAGATTTCATCTTGGAGTGCCAGGAACTGCATTCAGCTGGTTTCTTATGGCATGTCCATAACAGGCCGTTGCTCTCCATGTCTCCCACCTTGCACCTGGTTTGCAAGAACAGGAAATCCAGATATGTAGGGTTGAAAGAGCCAGGACACTCTCAGCTCATATCCCCAGACTGAGAGGCCTGAACATTGCAGGGGTTGTTGTATTCCTTTCTAGATGAGACTCTAAAGTGGTGAGGAATTCACAAGGTTGCATATCTGAACAAGTGCAATTCTCCTTTCCATCGTCTTCATTGTTTCATTTATTTGTCTCTTCATTTAGAACAGGAAGGTGATAACAAAGAGATAGGAAGCCTTATAAATAGTGTTTTTTCAGTGTATTGTTGCTAGGAATTAATAAATTTCCCTTTGTAAGAAAATCTTATTTTTCAATTTGACAATGGAAATTAAAGGAAGCAAAGGCTAGACACATATTGTTAGTAAAATAACAATCTTCATTATCAAAAGCTTGAGATTGAAAACGTTAATTAGAACTCTTTAATTGATGTCTTTAAAGTAACTAATAAAAGCAGTCAGCTGATTTTTTTTCTAGTGAAAACTGAATGGAAAGCAGAGAAGAAATTTAATTAGCAGTGATTTTACTAGAAAGTAGCACTTTTAGGAGAAAATTTTTTACCTTCTGGAGTCAAAATTCTCATTGAATTCTCACTGACATACAACTTCCCAATGAAACTCCACAGGATGAATCTTTTCCAATCTACATAAAACAGACTGTTCTCCTTCCTTCCCATTTCTCACAAAAGGATAATTCCAACTTTTTCATAAAAGAAACCCTATTGATTTCTGGAATATGAAATATGGAGTAATGTGAATTGCCTTAGACCAGGTATTTGTGCTCTAGAAGAGCTACTCTAAATTTCTTTGCGAAATATCTCCTTTTTCCCCCAAGAATTTTCTAATCCTTCAACAGGTACATTATTGAAATAGTCCCATCCTTCCTAATCCAAGCATATTGTCCTTTATAGCCCAGATGTAGAAAAAGAATGCATAGATTGAAAATTTGAGTCTTGATCACTGGTACAAATATAGCATCCCCAGAAGTAAGTCTGCAAAGCGAAGAGGTGGGCTTTGAACCACAGAGCAGGGAAATGATCTCCACACTTTTTCTCCACACTTCCATCTGGAGCACCTGCTTCCAAACTGTGTCTTTCTCAGGGGGAGAGTGCAGTTCCAATGGAAAAGTGCAGCACTGGATACTCAAGTAGAGGAAGCAGTGCCCATTGGGTTGACCCTGAAGCTGGGACTTGCTTAGCTGTGCTGTAGGTGTGGGCACTGGGGGCTGTAGCATCTTCTAAAAAGATACCTCTGGGAGGCAATCAGCACCTACTCTTTGGATGCCACGGCAAACAAAGGAGGAAGTGATGCCTCAAATGCCAATGAGGTACTGATGTTCTAATTACTGGACACAAAAATCTTTGAGAAGCAGCCTGCTGAGTTCCTATGAGCATCTTTAACCTCTAATTTGAGAAAGGTACAATCTGGCACACTGCTTCTGAAAAAACTCCTACCTCCTGCTGTAGAGATGTATAAGATTCCCTCTAGAACTGAAAGGAGGTGCACTGAATAGCTGTGGAACAGGTACAATCACCACTACTCCTGACAGGGGTCTTGTTGACACAGCTTACTGGAAAATCTCTGGTGTGAGAATAAAAGACCAGCTGACATCAACAGGGAGCAAGTATTCTCTGAAAATTACGAACATGCAAACATCATCCTGCAGGCCAAACTGAAATAATCTGCAAGGGGAATATAAATATGTCTTATTTTAAAAAAGAAAAAAAAAAAGAAGAGGAAAAGAAAAAAAGTGAAGTGTCACATAAGGACAACCTTACCAGGAAATTCAATATTTGTAAATGAAATGATCATAGAAGATTCAGGTGGATGGCTTTATAAATCAGCATAATCCCAAATCCAGATAGGTTAAATGGTGAAAGATGAAGATATATAACATCCCAAACTATAAACATCTGCAAGACCAGGCTTCCTGGGAAAAACATAAAGAGGGTCTCACACTGTACTTTAGTGTTTTGTTTGTTTAATGGCTCCTTCTCATTCCAAGGACACAGAGAAAGCTATAATTGTCACTTGGAAATTGCAATTTGGTACAGCTTTTTCTTAGCTGTCAGCATCAGCAGCAGAGGATTTTTTTGCAACTAGCCATGAGAAGACACGATCCCTGCAGGCCAATCCTGACCACATGTGAACCTCAGGCAGGACGGTCTCAATCCCTTTGTGACTTGCTAGCATTGGCAAGAGCAGCCTGCTAATCTCAGAAGAGTTGAATCAGTATTAGAGTATTTCCTATAAATAGGAAGATAGTCCTGGAGTATCACCCAGAACTGACTGCATATGTGCACAGATAACAACGTTCCTGTTGTTATAAAGAAATCAATTTCCAGTTGCACAAGTTATTTCATGTTACGTTCTTGGGTTATTTTCTTCTATTTAAAAGAAAATCCTACCAGCAATTCCACCATTTCATGGCCTCACTGAGCTACTTTGTCTCATACAGACAAAAATCCCGTTATTAAGAAGTCTATTTCTCTGCTGGCAAGATTGATAAAAAAGAAAATCTCCCAAATCTTCCACCAAAGCAGCAATGTAGAGGTTCACCTTCACTGAGACCACTACAGCAGCCTCTTACCATCACTCCAAGAGCTTCTGTAGACTAAGGAAAGCAGATTTATAAATACCTATATGTCCAAATCCCACTGGAGTAGCACTTTTTCTTCAACACTCACTGAATCTTGCTTTTCTCCTGCATAACAAAACCTTCTAGTTCTATTTAGACCTGAGTTCTCAGTCCCAAGAGCATGTGGTTTCTTTCTGGTGACCACCAGAGAGGAAAAGATTAAGGCTATTTTCTGAAGTTTAGTCTTCCCTAAGGGGATTTCTTGTTTCAACACAGAATGAATTAAGTCCTCTCTCCCTCTCAGATAACCAGCACCTGCAGGTTCAGAAGCTGGTAATAGCCTCAAAAGGTCTTTCCTTCCATCGACACTCTCAGTGATAAACTAAAAGAACAGATAAAAGCTCATTTGCCAAGATTCATGGTACCCTGGGCTGTCAAGAATTTCCAGGTTTCAAAATAAAAATGTATTTCACCAGTAGTGCATTTCTTCCCTGAAATCTCTCAAATTAATTTAGATTTACAAAAGTGAAAAAAGAGGACAGTTTGGCCTGGAGAAAGTTTCTTTACATTCCAGATGAAACATCTGAAGAGAAAAATCCTTATTTCATAGTTTATAAAGATTTAAAGAATGAACCTAAAATAAATGCAAAATAAAACCATACATTTTCAACCAAATAATTCTGTATTAAAGACTAAGGGGTACATGTTTTTATACAAACCTCTTCTTCTTCCCAGTCTATCAAGTCCCAATCATAAGCAATTACTGCTCGCCTTCTTTTCCAAAACTCCAGAAAAACAGTGGCTAGAGAAAGAAGGGGAGAAGATGCAAAATTGTTTTTAAGTCAAGAAAGTGTTAATGACTATCACAGAACTGTTGAATGAAGCTGTTACATTATTTTAATTTCTTTGCATAAATGGGTTTCTTTGAACAGCAAATCATGCTGATGATAAAAACTGCTTTCAAAAAGCATTGCTTTCTAAGGATTAGTTTGCTTGCTTCAAGTATGATTGAGGCTTTAGAGATTTCATTTAGTGCTAAATGAGAATGTTTAATTTCTAACCAACCAAGGGATTGCTCTCAAAGAATAAAATCGTTCCTGTGAGTCATCACTGCTAGATAAAGCAGATTTCTGATGAAGCTAAAGGTTTCTTGGGGCCATTGCACATATTGGAGTAACTTTCTTTCTTTGAAGACCATTTACATTACACAGAAACCAGAACCCAGGGGAAGCACAGTCCAGTGCATTTGAAAATCTCTAGAGTACTACTGGGGAAATAGGAACTTCTGGTTTACACCTTTTTAATTCAACCTTTTTTTTTACAGTACATGAGTTTGTATATGGGGTGTGGTGTTTATGTCTGATAATTAAACATTGTGTGCTACAGCCCTTATTGATAGAGTTCAAGATGGAGTAACAGACCTGCGCATGACAGCTGTGCGAAGATGACTGGGAGTAAAATTAGAGAAAGCTGGGAGGCTGTATTCAGATTCTGAACAGAAGTTCTAACAGTATGGAAATTATAGGGTAAAATACAGTTGCTGCTGTCTGGATGGAATGTGGTGGCATGCCCAAAACCTATTCCACCATGACTCCCCATATATCTAACCTGCAAATTTAAGCACATGGTAAGGGGAATGGAGGGTGGAGCAGAATGGAGACAAAGGTCAGGCTCTGATGTGATCCTCACAGAGAGGGGAACTTGGTGGTCCTTTGCAGCTGATAAACGGCCAGGGGAGACAGGAGAAGGTGTCTTGTTGCTGAGCCAGCAGCTGAGGTGAAATTGTTGTCCCTGGATGAACTGGGTTCATTAAAACCTAACTGTAATATTAACACACGCCTCCATCCCAAAGTTACCCACCTTCAAGGTACGACCTCCACTCACTGGGCATGCACTTTATATTTCATTGAATATATCTTTAAGAGAGAAGTGAGAAAATTTTACACCTATCAATAACAAAGGTGTGTATCACTAGAGCAACTCAAGCTCCATCTAAATGTAACAAATAGTATAAAAGTAAGTTAAGAATGGGGAAAAGTTAGAGAAGACTCCACCATAACTTCTGGGATCGGGGATGGGCTGAACCTGTCTCCTCCAAAGAAATGTCTGTTGGTAATAATTGTATTCTATGCTTGCTGAATGATCATCTTGAGCTAGGTTTGATTGATTGTTAGGCCTTCTCTGGATATTGCTTTGAATACATTTTTGCAGTCAGCTACTGTCATTGTCAATCTTTGAACTTTAACCTGTCACAATTTTCCACTCACAGTGTGTGTATTAGTAAATGTTAAATCCTAAACTGTTGGTGTGAGTCCTTCAAGGGCTCTGGCTGTTGCCAGCAGTGGGCAGTACTTGATCTAAAGTGCGAAGACCTGGGATGGGGGTCTCTCTTTTGCTGTTGGTGTGTGTCCCTGAACAAGTCAGTGGAACCATTGTCTGACCCAGTGGGCAGCTCAGTGGAGAGTCACCATAACAGGACACTGGCAGAGAGATCAGACACAAAGGTGTTGGCTTCCCTGGAGCAATGACAGATCAATCGAATACAAAGGATTTGAGGAAATTTCTGCTTTAATATGACAACTGTGCTTTCATTTTGTGATGGAAAGAAAAATCAAGGAAACAGTAATAGTAAAATATGCTCACAATCCAAAGATTAATACTCAGCCTGCTTAAAGTTACAGTGGTGTTAAACACTTATTTTGTGTAAAGGATGTAGAAAAGTTAATGTTACCACCAATCAATGGGCAGGCTTCCTCTCCCACTGTGAAGTGGAGAGGAAGCCTGCCCTTTATTGCCCACTGAGAAGCAGCAGACTGATAACCAGAGAACACAAACTCTTTGTTCATGAGCTAGCACAGTATCAGCTGTAAAAGTGTCACAATCATCTGGCAATATAATTCACATCCAGTCATAAAAGCTTCTCCTTAATGGGCTGTTTGCCCTACTACAGCATATTGATAAAAATGGGACCTGATACTAAGTACTGACATCAGTTTGGCAAAAGTTAATTTTTAGACAGGAAGAATTATGTTTTATTGTACTAGCTAGTGCAGTGAAAGCATGCTTAGGAAATGAACACTACAAGCAGACAAGGTAAGGTGTCAAAAGCATGTGTAAGGAAGAAGATATTTTTGGTTTATATTTGGTTTGAGGGCATTTTCATATATCAGGCAATTATTTGCCTGCAAGCTGGAATCATGTTACACCAAGTAACACCCACTTTGATTTTAGTCTAATAGAGAGTCATGAGCCTAATGCTTCTGTAAGTGTTTGTAATAGTTGCAGTATGATTGGTTGTGATCAGCAAAACCTGTAAGTGCTAATGAGGCTCCACTGCTACTGAACCACAACACGATTCATTCCTTGATTTTTTTTTTCCTGGTAGAACTGCTTCTCTCCTATCAAAATATTGCATTATTTTGTTCAGGCTAAACAAGTAGTCCTGCACTGTTTGGAAACCTGGGAGGAAGAAGCCTGATTGATTTCTGTGGCTTTGTTTCAATTCCAGAAAGCTGCTGGTAGCAGAACTACTGGTAGCAGTAGGTGCTTGAGTCCCAGCCCTAAACATCTCAGATAAATCTTTGTTGAACAATACATCTTTTCTTTCTTGTTTTTCCCACACCTGGAGTGAGGAATTTATACATATTACGTTTAGCACATTTAGCATCTGTCAGAGTAAGTATGGGAAGTTCTTGAATCGTCTTTAAAGAGTTATTTTCTAATCATTAAGTAGTAAATATGATGTTCTGTACAGTGCTGTTTTAGCTTTCACTGTGTTACACTTTTCTCCCTCTGTTCAGGTCAGTATGCAACTTTTCCTTGCTAGATATTTTAAAATGTGCTATAAATAACTATCTTTGATTGATTCACTGTGATACCGAGGTCTTTTAAAAGCACTGCATTTTCAAATTTCTCGGCTTATTCTCTAATTGTAGTTTTAACTACAAATACCCTATACAAACTTCAGCATTCTTTTCTGACTTTGATATTCAATATGACACAGTTGTATTTTTCCATTTGTGTAAACCAGATACTGAGTTTTCTCAAAAAATTCTGCTTGGGATTTTGCATTTCTTATTGGCCTTAGCTTCCAGATCTTTTACTAGCTTTTCCTATACTACGTTTGTCCTACTTCAGAACTCAACCTTGCAGCTGGGTCCTCAATACCCACTTGTACAAGCAGCTGGCTTAACATCATTTCCTCAGATGCTTTTGTAACAAGTTGTGATCTTATCTCGTAATGCAAATGGCCTCTTGTAGCAAACAGCTTTACCCTGACCTTCACTCAGAAATCCTCTCTCTATTGTATTTCAGAGCACTATTTAATATATCCATCCTGACTCCTAGAATATATTCTACATACCAGGAGTACTGCTGAAGAACATCCTTAAATTCTATCTCCTTGGAGAGCAGATTAATGTCAACGTTTAATGCTAGAGGCAAGATTTGTGGAAAAGTAATATCTTTTATTAGACTAACAGATACATACAGAAAAATTGTTTTATGTTGGCATTTCTTATTGCTTGAAAAAAGTGTTAAATTCTTCATGCCTGTCCTCTTTTTCCCCTCCCAGTTTTGCCTTTCAGCGAGAGTTCTAAAGCTACTTCCTTTATCAAAGGAAATATGCTACACAGGAAAAAATTTCAAAAAGGATATTTCTTGCATCCCTTACTCCCCCAAAGATGTGCACAGAGAGAGAAAATACCACCAGCCTACCCTGTCTTCAGTATGGCTTTAGAAATGATAAATTGCTGGACTTTCCTTTTGAACAGTTACAGAATTTTGCTCCAGAGTTTCAGGAAACATCTAGGCAGTAACAGCTTTGCAATAGGTTTCCCCAGTACCTCCATTGGAAAAGCAAAATCTACAATTCCATCTGGCTTTACTGAAACACGCTGAAGTCAACTGAGTGTCAAATTTACCTAGATTTTTTAAAATAAGAATTACTTTTTCCTTCACTTTAAATGTCAATTTTTTTTTTCAATTAACATCCTTCTCTCATTTTCTGTCTTTGGAAAAAATCTAATTTAGGCAGTAAAAAGAGAGGAACTTTTCCTAGATATGGGAGTTGCTTTAACATCAAGCCAAACATTTCTCAAGGCATACATAGAGAACAAAGTGGAGGTGTTTCTCCCTGCACAGAAACACAAAATACAATATTGCTTCACTATTTTTGAAAGCTTTGAACACCTGAATAATGTCATCAAGAAAAAAATATTTTTCAGTTTCTGAGATGATCGCATCACAGTGAGCATCAATGGCAATCTGTTCACCGATGAAAAAATTTTAAAAAATGTTAGTGATTATAGTGACTCACTTTTTCTGTATAAACCACAAAGATTTATAGCTTCAATCTGTTTGAAAGGGTATTTCCTTTCAACAGAAGATTCAATACAGAAAAAACCGTTTACAAACTAATAAAGAATTCCTTACATGCACTAAAGGGAGACCTTTTGTCCTTTGATAATTCAGTTAAAAATGAAAGTTTCCTTAAGTCATATGGCCACACCTGCTTTTGAAACTCCCCAACAAATAGCTGAGGCTTCTCTCTCAAGATGGGAGCTTACTAATGGATCTAAAGACAATGAAGAAAATAGTTTAGATAACAAAACAGTAAACTCTGGCTAAAGAGGTAACAGTTCTAGCTGCCTTTTCTTTATACTTTCATTCTCTTTTTGTGAAAACACTGAGATATTTATTTAATATGTCATTGTCTGTCAAACTGGATCATCTGGAAGGCTGAACTTTTCACAGCCAATATTTTATGAGCTTGCCAGTTGTTTCATGCTGACAGAAAAAACATTTCCGCAATCAAACTGCTATCACCGATTCTTCTTCTCTTCCTCTGCCATGATTTACTGCCATGATGGCAATGCCTGCAGCTGCCAGTAGGCCTGGTGCAGACTGAAATCCCATTTAATACAGGCAGCAAGCCAGCCCCTAAATAGAGTACCAGAAAATCCCTGGAAAGTGTGACTTCCCTTATTTGAATGTTGCTTTAGCCCTATCTGCATGGAAAATATCTCCACAATCTCACTGTTTTCCCTGCAAACTCTTCTTTAGGAAGTATGTAGACAGAGGATTGCCCCATTCCCCAGGCCATACCCCACACTCACAGCTCCGGCTGGTGCTGCCCCTCTGTCCCTCCTGGCAGCCAGCTCCCAAGCACAGTGTAAGCCAACAGAAGTGCTGGGAAAGCTCTCACCCCAGCTGCTGTACTACAGTCTCTTCTCCAGCAGCCAAATCATCTGGGGACAGCTTCTGTGCTATTTTTGTCTTATCTCACTGTGGACTTAGGTGCTGTGGATGCATGGGTGGGCAGTGCCTCGCTCAGTCCCGGCAGGCTGCTGTGGAGATTCCTGGGGGAATCTGGGTCTGGGGGGAGTCTGACAGTGATGCTGAAGGAGGGGGAAGAAGGACAGGCTAACCAGAGAGAGATGTGCTTCCTGTCGACTGGAGAAAGGAAAGAGAGAGGAAAGGGCCTGCAACATTTTGTAGGCAGGCACGTTCGACCTCCTCAGGCTTCTCAAAGGCAGTGACCACAAGGCAGGACTGGGCATGGTGACCTCTGTGAGGGACTGCCCTTACCTAGGAGCTACTTTCCTTACAGCCCTTGATCTGGGAACTGCTAAGACACACAAACCATGCTGTGAGCACAGCTGTTTTCTGAAAGCATTGTTATGGTCAAGGACAAACAAAAGTACTGGTGTAAAAATCTGCCCTCCGAAGAAATGCTCACCAGCAGTTAGGAGCACTGCCATAAGTGTTCAGCAACGTTAACCCATCAATTTTCCTAGTTAGAGATGGCCCTGCCTGTACTTTGTCTTGGAAATTCTCAACTTCAGTGAACACATGGAGAAAGAGTTTGCAGAAGCTGAGTAAGCATCTAAAAGAAATCTTTAAGGCTTAGAAATTTTTGGTGATTCTTAGCTCTATGTAGCTCTAAAACAAAGTTGAAATATCAAACAGAAACATAAAGACTGCACGATCTATGGATTTTTCTTAAATATGATTTGTAATATTTGAATATTTTCAATATTACATGAAATGGCATAAAAAGGCTTGATTGGTACATGACCTAATTTAATTGGAGGAAGGAACTGAGAGACAGGTAAGCTAATCTATGTTGTTCTGGTGGCTCTCATGTTGCCTCTTGGATATTTCTTGTGGTTCAGTAAAGAGATTTGCCATTTAAAGTTAAGATTATAAGAATTACTTAGGCACCTTTCCAAAGCGGTTGGAGATGTGTGAGTAAGAACAGGAGAACAATGACTAAATCCAGATAGTGCAAGGACTTGGATGCTGTTGTTGAGACCCCTTGTTGAGCCATTTTCTACAGTTGTTAACTTTCTCTCACAATGGCTTGGTAGCAGCTAAGAGCCTGGGCATGTTCAGGGATTGTTTGAAATAATTTTTTGTGCTGCCAGAAATTGCTGGTTCCTCTTGCCTTCAATTCTGCCTACATGACATACTAGGAAAAATAGTTAAGCCAAAAATAGAACATTTCTATGGGTAAAATTCAGCCTCCATGGCAACAGTTAGACCACACTAAGATCAATTTGCCATTCAATGAAATTTTTATTTATTTCATCAGAGCTTTGCTTTCACTGCAACCAGCTTACATGGATTTAAGTTTTACTGCCTTTCTGCAAGGTGGGGGAAAAATGTTAGTCCATTTTAATACTGACACTAGATTGAGCTGCCCTAAGCTAGGAGAAGCCTAGGAGAAGCAGTAATAGAGAAAAGGGCTTAGTACCAATAGATTTAAAAATGGTTAGAAATTCCCACAGAATTATATATATATATATTTTATATATATATATATATATATATAAACTACATATATATTGCATTCATGTTTTTGTTTTAATTAAAATTATTATCAAGTAAAAACATGATTCCACCAATTGCATCTTTCTTTTGCAGAAAGAGGAAAGTCTCAAGCCCATATTCTCTTTTTTAGTGTCAGATAAAAAGTGTGCTGGAAAAAAAAAAGGCCTGTGTTGCATCATATTCTTTGACAAAAAGATGGTGCAATTACTTAATATCAAAATGAAAACTTACCCCACACTGCCATGAAAACAGCAAAGAAGACAGTAGCTCCATTGTCAAAAAGGTGGGTTACCTGAGAGATATATTAATAATGTGATCAATTTGTGATAATAGGCCTTTATTTTTGATTTTTAACCTACTAAAATTAATGTGATCATGAGTTTAGCTGGCCTGACAATCCTGAGGGTACTTCCCTTGACATGTGAAATCCACCTGTGAATTAACAGGACTATTTGCCAGCCTGGCCTGGGACTGACCCCTGCCAACAAGAGATGTGAGCATCATTTCAGACCCAAAGTATTAATTTTATGGAGCCATGCTGAGAGGATGGATGAGAAGATAAAGGCCAATGTCAAGGACACTGTAACACATAGCTCCAGGATATGACCTCTGACACTGCTGAACCTCTGAGTGCAAATTGCATTCAAATATTTTTCAACCCAAATTAAACTGATGAAATATAATGTTAATGTCGGCTGAGCTTGATCTGCCCCTTCAAAATTTCATCTACCCAGGCTCACTAAAGGCAAATGCAAAAGGCAAAATTCATGTTTTGCCAGGAAGGATCTCTATTTGCATAGCCTAAAACATACCTTGGCATAAATGCAGCTGTCTGACAACCTCATGAAGGGGCAGTATTTATCACATATAGGACACATTATGATATCTGTAGCTTGGCAGACTTCTTTACTGGAAAAAGAGAGACAACAAATATTAGTATCTTGATTATTACAACAATCTGCACATCAATCTGTCTGGATTGATAAGCTTTGCTAATATTCAGTTACTTATTGAACAAAACTGGTCTGTAACTGAAGCCAAGATGTTCATAACTGCATGTGTATAATTAATATTTGCTGACTGTCTAAGACTACAGAGTTTACAGTCATAGCTGCAGAGTGCAGTTCTCCAGGGACAACCTAGTATTTATTATGTCTTTACCATTTCCAGCTTCTCCTTGAGTAAGACTGACTTTTGTAGGAGGAGGATGAGGATAACTTCAGACAAAGTTATTGTTGTGATTTAAGTGCACAAAAACTTAGAGATGCAGCACTCAGCAGAAGGTCCAGGGGTACCTTCATCGGAGGAATGCCTCTCTGTGTTGGATCTATGGGAAAGGCCTTATAGAGAGTGAAAATTCCCCACCCTTGTGCTGGCCTCTTAAAGACTAATGGAAGAGTCTGCTTTTCCCCTACTTCATTCTGAGTTGCCAGCACCATTAGCAACTGGAATTGGGAAAGAAGAATTTCCTTTCATCCCAGTTCAGGAGCATAAAACATGGGAAGTTCGATACTGGGTACCTTAAGCCGTCTTTTCATGACTGGTCATTCAACAGTTTAAAATGAAATAATTAACAGCTTGTGGGAAGCTCAAATTATTCATAATAACCAACAGTTGCAATTTATTTTTAAAAGTTCCCACATTACCTGACTTGGCAGTGGTTCAAAGTGGTGACTCCATACAAAAAGACAAACAATCCAATGAAGGCAGCTGGGAAGAGCATCCCTGTGTACCAGCCTAACCAGGCAAAGTACAGCCCAATTTTCTCACCAAAGTACCGTCTGTTTTAAAACAAAACACAGCAAAGTTACCTGCTAATTAGAATAATCTACTTAATCTCGCTCATTAGTAGAAAAAATATTTCTATCATATCTGAAGAGTAGATTAAAGAGGAGAAAAAGCCTTGAACTAAGCTTCTAAATACACACTGAGGGACCTTTCTCAGTAATGAACTTAAAACATTAATTTTAAAATTCAATAACCACAGTTTACAGTTAGATAAGTGATAACCTCCTGAAGGAAACACTGAGTTACTTTTAGAAAGCTAGTTCTTTGTATTTGGGAAATTGATGGTGTGCTTTGATTTTGGCTGTTTCACTTTACTGCCAGAATAACTGCATTTAAATAAATTTTATCCCTAAAGCTTGTATAACAGCAAAAATTATTTGAGTTCAAATTAGTTCTAAGAAATTAATTAATGAGACTTCATTCTCCAATAAAGTTTGTATTCATTTGATTATTTATTTTCTTAGCTTAGTTCCTGCAAAACTAATTGCATGATTCTACTGCAGTGGAAAGTGAAGCGCAAATAAGGTCTATCATCTTGCATTGGTTTGAGGAAAGCAGTCTGAATTAATCCTAATTTATTATTATCCTATATATTGCTCAAAAACTACCAGCAAAGTAGCCAGAAAGTTTTATCTTGCTACATACATATTCATTAGCAATTTTCCTTCTCCTAAACACAACCAAACCTTTATTTATATGTTAGACAATGCATCAAGCACACAAAAACCTGCTGAACTCATCAGCAGAGGAGCAGGCTCATGTACTGTCCTATTGATTTTTGCACAGTAGATTTTAGGGGATTATTTGCAAGATTGGTTTTAAAGAATGTTGCAAGATGATATTCTTGTGTTTCAGACATTTTGTAGAAAACTTAAATTTGCATACTCACTCAATTTGAAAATAGCTGCTGCTGGAAACTCTCTTTTACCCTAATGATGCAACTTCTGGTGTATCCAGAGTATAAGTGCAGTGAGCCAGCACTGCTGGATCCTCTACTCTACCAGAAAACATCACTGGCCAAACTTTCTCAGCGGGAATGGAAAGCCCTAGGACTGTCTCTAGGGCTGGGTGCACTGGAGGACACTTGGTCTGGATTGCACAAAATTAGCTGTTTTCAAGTTGTTATTAAAAATTTCCAGTGTGGGAAGTATCTCTCTGGCCTGAGCTCATGCTCTGATGGAAGGTACTGATCTGCAGTGACTCTTTTCATTTGAGTTTACCCACTCAAGTATTGTCATTTTGTTTTTATTCTTCTGTCATTCAACAGAGACTCAAATTCACAGACTGAAGAGATGGTAAGCTAACACTAGTATGCTCAGTTCTGACAAGGGCAGCAGGTCTGATTGTGGAAAATACACTGCAAACTGCTTTTTAAGACCTGACTTAAGAGTGTAAATGAAACCTTTGGCCTGATTATTTTCCTGACACCTAGGATGTCAGTCTGTGCCTGCACCTCCAAAAATGCAAACTCACATTTGAGCTTACTTCCACTAAGTATGGATGACCTATTTTTCTCCATGTACATAGTTCAAAGTAGTGAAGTCCACCTAACTTTCATCAAGCTTTATTTTTTACTTCATTCCCTACACTCAAGGATAAATGCTTTCTCGTTCCAGCCCTCTAGCTGATAAGTATTAATGGCAAAAATAATCTCCTACCCTGCTGAGCCCTTCAATCTAACCATGCAAATCACAGTATTCTTTTTGATCTAGAAATCAAACACCTTCATCCTAGAAGAAGACCCAAGCAAAGTTCAGTGTGTACATAAAGAAGACTGATGAGGAGCAACTCATCTCTGAAAAGTAAGGAAAAGGCATATGAGCCAGGTTTTAAAAATAAATGAGGGATGTTGATATTACTTTGATACGTATTGGTTTAAATATGAATAAACAACCTCTGTATTCCATTATTGCCCTTTGCAACACAGCTGGTACTCTACAGGCACAGGCTGTACTACTGTAAATTGCATCAGAATCAACTTGATATATCAAGTCTTCTGACCCCAGAGTCTGCATTTTTCTCCTTTTAGTCTCTGCTCAGATACCACTTAGTTAAATGCTATGGAAACAAACTGTGCCACTGAGAAGGTCTTTGGAGGCCTTCCTAGATATTGCCATATTCAGAGCAGTTCCACATTTATTCCAATATGTAATTCAGCTAGTCTGGACCATCATGACCCTCAGGAGGTGGAAAACGTGTAGATGCCTTTGTCACTCCCTTCAATTTGCCCCAAATATTTGTTTGAAGAACAAATTTGTTTCTTCTCTTCTTCTGTCACAATGTAAAGAACAGAATTTTCATGTGGCTTGCTTTAGTGACGGCAGTTCTCTCTGAGCTAGGGCTCAGCAATGTACACAAAGAATTCCAGAGGTTTCTTTCCAGAATGCATCACTGTGCCTGACTTATACCTAAATTTCACCTGTTATCATTCTACTCATTTCAAGACCTCTTTGAAATTTTCCAGTGCTGATAACATCTTTGTGTTCTTGTTAACTTTGCTAATTTATTACTGACCAGGTATTCAGATTAATTATATGGACAGAAAAAAGTTGTTTGAGTCTTTGACGGTTCTCCCACAGAAAATTTTCTCCACAATTAACCTAAAAAGCAGAGACATAAAAAACCCCCAAGCACCCAATAGAACAATCTGTCTCTCTTATCCTTATGTATGCTGTACCATCAAAATAATAATAAAAATGTAATTTCAGCTTCTCAGGTGTAAGCTAGCCTGCTACACCAGTAGCTATACTAGCCCTTCAATACCAGTTACCTTAATGGTGAACTGTATATCCCCTCTACCCATTCCAGTGATAGAGCTATGACTTAATTGGGTCAAGATTTCAATATACATATTCATCAATAAGGCACATTTTGGGAAAGTATTGAGCTAGAAAGTCTAATTTCCAATTTATGAAATGTGATATTGGATTATCCTATGTTTAATGACTCTCACTACAGAATATTTTGCTTTCAACATGCCTAGGAGGAAGTCATGGATCTAGAATGTAGACATATCAGGGATCAAGGCAGGGACCTATCTATTTTCATTAACTCTTTTGCAGGTAATAAATGAAATTCTGTACAGAACTTTCGACACCACAGAAACTAGATCTTTCCAGCAGTGTTTTGGACGTATGAAGCTCTCATATCAGAAGCAATGGGGTGGGTAGGAAGGCTTGACAGGAGACTGAAAGGGAATAGTCAGCCTGTGATCAAGACATTTAATGGAAACATGGAGCAAAATGCAGGTTACACAGGCATCAGTTTTTGTTTCCATGTTCATTTAGATACCTTTACAATCACTTTAAAACCAGTTTTCTCCCTGCATTTTTGTCTTGTCAATTACATGCACAAGCAGCAACAGGAGCAATTTATGCACAATCAGGAGGGAAATAGCAATGCACGGAAGTGTGAAGGAGGTGACTCAAAGTCCCCAGGAATCGCTGCAACTGTTGCTGTTGATTTACATGGTCCCAGAGCATATAAATATAATGAGACCTGTTTCTTTCCAATTCTAATAAATTCTAAGGGTCATAAATTATTCTTGTAAAGTATCTATGGACACTAAATACCAAGAGATGTATAATTAAAGTCATGGTACCACATCTGTTGACTAATAGGAGTGGCTATGCAATTATGCCAACTCTGTGCCATCGTACTGCCACATGTTTCAAAGCAGAGTGGAAGCAGAATCATGCAATTTCCCTCTAATGACTTTTTCTCATTTATTTTTAGTGACTAGTATCTCCATAACAGCCAGCTGATGAGATGAAATGTAATCTGGGAGTTGCCAAACTGGCAGCACAGGAGATGAAAACCTCACTCTAGCATCTAAGGAAAAAATAAAACAGCACTGGAGTATGAACATTTTCACTTACCATTGTGGTAACTTGACTAAGGTAGAAATAGTACATCTATTGATGACACAAAAGTACAATCTACATCTAATTTATTTCTTAGCCTTTCTAAAGCATAATGTCAACTAACATTGTAAGTTCTAACAACTAACAGTGTAAGTTCTGGCCAGATGTCTGTGGAAGAATCAATATCCAGCCACTCCTTTTGTACAGATGATCACACTACACCCTTCAAGTATAAGTCCACATAACTGTTATTATGGGCTAAAAAAAAAAAAAAAAAAATTTTCCTGCTGTAGAACAGGCACTGAAAAAAGCTTCTTTTTAAAGTGTGCCCACTGAGACACTCCCAAGTGAAGTGAACAGCAGGTCTTGCTGGTGTCATCAGTTCTTCAAGGAACAGTCTCCAGCTCAACAGACATGTGAACTGCTGAGAGTGGCTGTACACGTGGAAGACTCATTCACAGATGCTGGATTACTCACATTTCCTTAGCTCCTCCCAAATCTTCAAATCCGCTGAAAACTCAGCAGGAGCTGAGGAAATGTGAGTAATCCAGCATCTGTGAAGTGAGAAGGAAAAGGCATCCCCTTCTCTTTGTTGTCACCCTCCTTCAGTGAATTCACCACAGCTGTGGATGTGCTCCAGGCTGCACATGGCAGGCTGGGCTGGGGCTGCAGCTTTGAACCTGCTGAGTTTGGTGGCTTGTGACTCAGGCTGCTGCCAGTGCTCAGGGAATCTCACAGCTCCCCTTGCCCCTCTCCTCTTTGGGTAAACACCTACTCAGCAACACCAGGACACTCCTGACTTCAGCCAGAGAGTCTACAGCAATTGCCTTTTTATTTTTTTAAAAGATTTTGAAAAATCTGTCTGATGAAAAAATAAACTTTAAAAAAAATATTTAAACCCAGGCTATGCAGGAAGGCTGCTATCAAGATCCAGAATAATCATATCTCTAACATTTCTTATTCTGTAACCATTTATTCTCATACTTTAAAAAACCTTTCAGATGCCTGATCATCAATTTAAACCAAGCACAAGATATTGCCTCAAGAGCATTTCCACAAAGAAGTGATGAAGAACAGTAGCCTTGACCACTATGGAAAAATAATTATAAAACTCTATAGAGATAAGTTGTTTGTACTGTGATAATAATATCTTGTTGTGTACTGGGAAATTAAAAGCAAAAAACCCCTTCAGTATAACTGCTGGCTCTTCCATAAATCAGCGATTTCTATTGTGAAATTTGACAAAAAAATTCCAAATTTCTGTCCAGTGTATTAAAAAAAAAAGAAATAAAAAGCTCTTGGGATTAAATTATGAGATTTAATAAATTATTTTGCAAAGCATTAAAACAATTACGTGACTCAGTAAAACTTTTTATTGTATTTCTTAGTTAGCTTTTTATCCATGGAAATTAAACTCTCTGTTTTATGAAATGGATGGGTTTTATACGGCCTTAATCAGTAACACTGTCTGTCTCCAGGGCTACCCTCTACAAATCTTTCATCTGGAAACAATTTTGAGAATAAATAAGAGCAAAGTTTTCTATTAGTTACAGGACTTATGAAAGAGGCAATTAATAAGCTGGACCAATTGCATGTTGTGGATGACCCTTCCTGATGGTTGATCTATCTTCAGTGCTCCTGATACATCTGAAGACTTTATTAATAGGCTCTTGTAGCTCCATGTTCATCTCTTCAAGTAGAAAAAGCCCATTACTGCCCAATATTAGTTCTGCCATCATGATCAGTAAAGGCTCTGGCTCTCTCTATATGCGTAAGAAATATGTAATCCTCTATTAGTGCATGCAAGGCTATTTGAAACCATTATTTAAAAGGACTGTAAGAACTTGAAATCACATCTCAGCTTTCTCAGCATTTTTTTCTTTGCAGTCTGCTTCCAAGATGAATAAAAATCTGGACAGTGGTGATGTGGCTGGTCTGAGTTAGAGGGTAGTGGTACAGAGGAGACTTCCACCACCAGTGCTGTGAACACAGTAGCACACTCAGCAACTGTAAGCTCTGCTCTGTGACATTTGTAAGCACCCTGAAACTTCATCCAGAGCTCATTCTGTGGTTGCTTTTTGGAAAAAGATCTAGTTGGTGAGAGTCTATCTTTCACCAAAGCCATGCTCCAAGGAGGAACTCCTCCTGTGGACAGCTGTCTAATCAAGTATATCCAGCCTTCACAGATTCTTCTCTTCTTTTTTTCTCTCTTAAATATCCTGTAAACACTTCATTACAAATTATGGTGCCAGGAAACACTGGAAGGAAACTTCTTTAACTTTCAGGTCCTTCTACAAACTCCGCTATAAATATTTCTTTGGATGTAGTGTCACCATGAACTAAATGATTTCCCATGACTTCAGGCTCAGTTTTTAAAACCACACGAATTAAATAAGCTTTTCATGATTTTGTCAGAAGTAAGACAACCTGTGCTCAAAGCATCTATAATGTGACATAGCAAAAGCAGATAAGTCTTACCTTACAAGATCCAGTGGCTGGTATTTATACCACACTCCCCAGGAAGCCCAGCACTCATAGAGCAGGTGTCTGTGGTTTTCTGCTCCGTGGGTTTTTATTGAATTCTTACTTCTGTAACTTCCCTAAAATACAAATCTGGACATTAATGAATAACAGCAGCAAAAATGAATATTTAAGAAATCTCTTTTACTAGCAGCATGGATAACACAATTTATGCAAACTACATACTTGTGCTCCAAAAGCTAAATATGGCATTACAAAAATCCACTGATGTCACTAAGATTTGAGAATATTCTTCCTAAGACTTTTATAATAAATTATATCCAAGTCATAGCCTATAAATGCAAACAAAATCTTTGGAGAATCTCAAAAAGCCCCCCAGAGTGTGATGTTTTTCCTCTCTGAATACATACTGATGTATCAACTCAAAGAGTTTTTACCAAGCAGATCCAGAACAACTCTCTTTACTCATCTCTTTTTGCAAGAAATTCCCCTAATTTTTCCCCAAGGAAAAAAGCATTGCTAAATGGAAGCATGTCAGAGGTAGACATTAATAAGGTTAAGGATAAATAATTACTCAACTAAGAATTAATTTTGTGGGAAATGTCTGTTCAAAAAGGAAAAAAAAAGAGTAAAATACCTCATGAAGAGGAAATGCAGCTTCATAGGAGCCATTACTGAGCAATCGATTCAGACCTGAGAATCAAAAGTATTCAATTATTTACCAACAGGAGCAGAAAAATGGCTAAGTAAAAAGCAAAACACATTTTCATAAACTGGCTAAATGAAGATGGAAGCCAACTGACAGTACATGATGCATGTAGAAAAATTGATCTTCTATACATTTTGATAACTAAGAAATAATACAGAGAAAGACTTGTTCAAATATTAATCAGAATCTATCATTTATTGTGCTAGAGGCTTAAAGATTCATTTGCCAAATCCATCTTCAGTGTAACTTCAGTGAAATTAGAGACTTTACACCAGGTTTAAAATTTGACCTATAAAACATGGTCTAGCAAAGGTATTTAGATGAAAGGCTGCATATCTTGAGAGCTAAAAACTTCAGGGTAGGTCTTGATATTTTTGAATTACAGACCACTAAAACAACAGAAACTGATAATTTCCATATGATAACAAGTTTTTAAAATGTGTTCAGCTTGTGTCTTATGAAAATTGCTGAACAGACAGAAAGGAACAAGACAAACTGCAGCATTACAAGACCAGAAAATAAAATCATTCCTATGTGGCACAAAAAAGTAACCATACAACCCACTCACTCAGGCCATGTCCCTCTTTAATGAGAGCCTGGACAAATAATGTTTGCTGGGATGTTGGTGCTTTTCACTTGGAAGATCATGAAAATAAGGCTGCACTGTTACCAGACAATGCAAAACAAAACATCCACACTAAGAACCTGAAGGTATTTGAACCCTATTGACCAGGAGGCATAGAGTCTTGATTCCTTTCCTAATTCACAGGGGACAGATAGCAGCAAGAACACAGCAATGAGAAGCAATAAGTCAACATGAATAACACTTTCAGTATCTGCCTGGAAAAATATATTTTCTTCCAATGTCTCTGTCAGAAAAGTAAAACTTGTACAGCTGAGCTGGTCTTTGCTCTGCCCAGTGATCAGTGCAAGGTTGTGTTCACTACAGGTACAGCACAAGATGACATGTGAGGGAGATTGGGATCTTGAGGTAGGCAGGGATTGCATGTGTTTGGGCAAGATGCAATATCAGCTCTGCTCAGGGCTATTGCTGCCCTCATCTCAGCAGCTGAGAAAGAAAGAAGTGAAGTTCTGGGACATTTCTCTTCCTCTTCAGGAAAGGTGAGGCTTAAACAGCAGGAAAATGAAATAGACTGCAGAGTTTTATGGAGATTGTCTCTACATTTGTCTCTGTGTGCTACTCAAGCTGTAGGAGCACTGTGTGATTTGGCAGAAGGTGGCCACTGTTTCGTGTTCTGTCTCTCCTCTGTTATTGCCTGCTCTCCTGGACCTGCATGTGTGCCTCTCCAAATTTCCACTCCACTCCCTAATTGAAAATGAAGCCACAGTTATGCATAGCATTCTTTGCACTGAGGATATCAATGGTAAACTCCCTTTTGACTTACAGCAACACCAGAGGCACAGAGTCCTCCATCTCCCTTAGGGATGGGTACGTATCCAGAGAGAAGCCCTGTAGCCTGAGATGTAGAGCAGCACAAATTTTGCCATCCTTCCAAGCACATTTTTGTGAAAGAATAAAGGTTTTCCTTCATGAGACCCTCTGCTTCACTGCTTGTAATCTGTTAATATTTCACGTTTAAATCATCTCTTCTCTTGCAGAGATTATAAATCCCATGTGGTGATGTGCCTGTGAAAGCTGACTGATATTACAGGGAGATGATCCCATCTTCCAGGCAGAGCCCCTACCACAGCAGTGGGTGAGATGTAAACAGGCAAAACCAAGGTGATTAAAAAGGAAGGAAAAGTGTCTGTTATGAGGCCAGGCAGACTTCTCTCTTCTGTTTTTAAAGACATATTTAAAAGCACATTGCTTAATACTTACCAATTTTGTTTTTCCCTTCTTCATATTTCACTCTTTGTAAGATATGGTGTACAATTCTACTTCTTGTAGCATTATTGAAGAAAGTATCTTTGTTGTGTATTATGAAGCTACATGAAAATAAAAAACAAGGGCATCTCAGAAATATGTAATAGCGCATTTAAGGCAAATATTTAGTTCCGTTACTTTTGTAGCACTCTAAAAATCTACAGTATGTAAGCACATACAGGGAGGATAAAAGACACTTGATTAAGAGATGATTAGCCAGGTGAGATGCTGTCAGTAACTGTATTCATTCTCTTACAAAGAGTTACATGGAGAAATCTGGAGAAAGATAGAAGATATTTAAGTATTCATTATCATATGCATCACTTTTAGATAATCCACTGAAAACTACAAAATTCTTGCACAAAAAATTGCAAAAGTGTATCTTTGTAAGTGCAGCAGTAGAATTTCCAGGATTTTTGTTATGCTTTACCATTAAGAGTCAGTTGTAAACATTTACTTGGTAAACCATTCTTACTGAAAACTGTTACTGAATACAATGTTAGATATTGAAAGTATCATATACTCCTACATTTGGTCTTGGAAGGTAAAATACAGTAGAAAATTAGCTCTCAGAGGCCACTTACCAAGTTAAGTATGAATACATGTTCTGTGTTCAATAGGTTAGATGGAATAAATTAAAAAAAAAACAACAAACCCTGTGGATAGGAGGCAATATTGGTTTTCTCATTTCTGTTTTTGAAGAGCTGCAGAATTGAATAAACTGCTAAATAAAGTGTTAAGGTCACAGAGATGTCATAGAGAGATGAGTCTGTAGGAGACCACACTAGACAAATACAACCTTAAATGAGACCATCTTAATCAGGAGCTTGGCATGGATTCACTTCACCTTCTCTTTTGCACAACGTGAGATTCACTGCTCAGTTTTCCCCTCAGGTAATTTTACCCAAATGAAAATTTTTTTCCCCAGAATCAATCTTTACCCATGGGAAATAATATACAGCTTTGCACCTCCACAGTAATTTTGAAAAATGAGGAGTCCAGCTTCTGAACTTTGAGAACTTCATGTTCTCCCTCTTTATTATCAAAATTCTCAGCTGAATTTTCAATACAATACAATGTGTACATAAGATCCTCATGTTCTTCTTCAAAGGCTGACAGTAAAAAAAAAAATCCTAAAGTAAAGGTATGTAAGACTAATTACTCCAAGAGCACCAGAAGTAATAAAAACTGGTTTTCTAGAGATTACTATCTCATGTCTCCTTTGCCACTTCACCCCAGATACTCACAGGCCATTTCTGTGTCTACAATCTACTCACTACCGTACTCAGGACTTCTGGCTTCCTCTCATTTCCCTGCTATTCCCAAAGTCCTACTCATGCCCTACAGTACCTACCAAAGGTAATTAGATTTATGCATATTGCTGACTACCACGTGCATGCTGATTTACCAGTGGGCTAGTACCAAACAGCAAATGCAATTGGTATCCACTGGCCACTGCCTTTTCTGTATAGAAACAGTTTTGGGCCACTATTCCATTTCAAGCTGCTAATACTCAAAAGGTATGTAAGACTAATGTTACAGAAAGATATGTGGATATAAAGATATATCTTTGCCACTACACCTGTATCAAATTCAGCTGAAAGTAATCAGTATGTGAAATAATAACTGCCAAAAGTATTTTGAGAGGAAAAAAATTACTGTATTCATGTAAATCTTAATGCTGATAAAAATTATATTTTATAAAATCTAAACTGTGAAGCAGGTGGAACAGTGTTGTTTTCAGCTGAAGCTGGAACTCTGTATTAGGCTGTTTGTGTAGCAGCAGAAACAAATTAAAAGGCAGGAGTAAAACAGAAATTAATAGCTAGAGATTTTTGCTCTTTATTTTATTTTCTTTTACTGCCTGACTATCCAAGACCTCACCTCCCAGACCGTTAAAGAACTGTGAAGATAACTTCACAGATATCAAAACAGCACAGTAATTCTCATTCTGACTTAGCTTGACTCGTCATGCTGCCAAGTTCTTGTAAGATTCAACTGTGAATTGGATCACCTTATCTGGGAAACATGCAACATGGAACCAGATAGCACCTTAATCTATTTTCCTTGTAATACAAGGTTATTTTGCCCATCTGTTATCACAACTGTCTCATACTGCAACTAGAGATAGCCATTTCAACATCTTTTTTAAAGAACTTGTTTAATAGTTTTGTTTGTATTTAAGAATTTCTATTTTCATGAGTCATGAATGCAAAAAGGCAAAAATCAAGGATTACAGGAACTCTAAAAAACAAAGAAATAATCACTTGTTTAAAGAAACACTTTAGGAATTTGCATTCATTTTCAAACTTAGTAATTTTATTATTATAGCTTTTGATCTCACATGGGCAAGAAGAAATGACCAGATGTGTCTGTGAAGCAGATGCAAACACCTCAGTCCATGAAGAACTCTGCCTATTCCAGAACAGCTGAAGCAGTCCTAAAACACCTGCGAGAATATGAGCTGCAGAGGTTCTGCCCTGCCCAGCCTTGTGCCAGAAAGGGCAGGAGGGGGAGAGGAGAGGAAGGACTCACCATGATCAGAATGGGTCAAAAACATGCCCTTGAGTGTTTTCCAAAGTTATTCATGAAGATAAAGAAGAGATGCTAGAGTTCAGCAAAGGTGAAGAAATAGTGCCAACAATGAGTCCTCTGGATGTCCTGGACAATCCCTAACAATATCATTATTGTGGGATAGAATTGCATGTGGTAACTTTTAAAAAATAATCTTCACTATATATAGAACTTATATATATTTTTTTAACTTATAAGTGAATTCTCACTTATTTTGAAGTCATAGGGTTTTGAAAATCTGCTTTACTCGAACACTCTTTTTTTTTTTTTTTTTTTTCTATGAAATTGACTGTAGAGTAGACCCAGAAAGAACAGCATCACCATAATCAATGGGGCAGGGATCTGAGCACAGGAAACAAAAAGAGGCAGACATGAGTGGAAGGCCTTAAAAGGTTGGGAATATCTCAGGTACTTGTATATGTGCTACAACATCCTGGTTAGACATTGACATAAATTAGGACAATGTCAGGCAGGCTTCAATTTATCTCAAAAGTCACAGGAGTTGCTCTTGGCAGGTGAGAATCACGCAGCTCAGTGTAGGGCTTACCCCTTTCGGCCACCACCCCTTCTTCCCAGGCTTCATGGACGTTTCTTCCCCCCAAATTTTTGTGCTTCAGTTTGTCTTATTTCTGAATGTGGGTGGTAAATCCATATTCACAGAATAACCATCAAAGCTATTCCATGTTCTACAGCATCCAATGAAGAATTCAGAGGAGAAAGATTTTCTCAGTCTGTGAAGAATCTCACACTTCAAATTTCAGTTCACAGGGGCCAGAGCTGAAGACAGTTTCAAACTAGGTACACATAAATATTTATCAGACATTATTGAGCTATGAACCATATAAAGCAGAGACTTTCTAGTGAATTTCTTAAACCTTGTTGCTTTTAGGTGGAAGAATTTCCTCAGCTGTTCTGTTTCTGCTGCCCTTGCTAGATTTTTAACGTGCACAAGGATTTGAATATTCATAAGAGCAATACAGCTTGTTTTCAGGCTCAGTAAGGGTTTACTCTTTATTTATGAGACGCTTCACTGATGGTTTTCATCATTTTATTGCCTCATTTGTAAGACAAAAAACGAGTAAGGATTAATACATGATAATTTTTTTACCTGTGAAGTTAATGTATAGTTAGATAAAGACAGTGATTTGTTCCACAACAGCTATAATCATTAACTTGGTCCTGTAAGTCTTATTTGTGTGAGCTATCCTTACTCAAAAGGAAAATCAAAATGAAGATAATGAGAGTACTTTTCGAAGGAAAGCTTCCAGAGTTGATCCTTAACTAAAGTCCCTTTCAAAAAAGTCCTTCTGGAAATACTGCTCTTACATTTATGCTGTAGGAGACATGAAGAGTCAGTGAAGGTTAATTGCTTTGAAGCTGTATTTGTAGCCTTTTAACTAAACTGTGAACTGGAAATTCCAAACTATCTTTCTGTGGATAGCAAAGCACAGCAAAGTTAACTGTTGTTTAAAGAAAAACCTCAAATTAGTGCAAATTAAACCAAGAAAAAAATTACCAATTAATTCCTGTTCATACATTGTCTTTGGTAATTTTGCAGGTTGTTCAAACCCTTAAAGGGTAAATTTAGCTCTTGAATCTTTGAATACACATTTGAAAAAAAAGTGAGTTTACTTTTCTTGCTTTATTTTACTTTTTATATTTTGGGAATGCAAAAGGCAGGAAAAGACTGTTTTCTGCTTTAGTGACAAGATAAACAAGCTGAAATCTGAGCAGATGTGGCCTGGTGAAAAGATACAAAGGGAGGATGGATGCATGGACAGATCCATGTGTATCTTTGCACTGTGGGATCCACAGACACTGAAACATTTGGTATCTGACACTCGCCATATCTAAAATTGCCTTCTGCTGGAAGCAGTACAAACTAAGAGCACAGATGTTTTTGAAAGTAGTGACCTCTATGTGAGTAGAGTATTCCTTAGCACAGGAAAAATGCCCAACCTTCTGTACTCCCAGGTAAATCACAGAGCCGACAACCAACCTGTTGTTGGCTGAGGTAATAGCAGGTTTTTAGCTCATGTAACATAAAGAAAGTAAATCACCAGCTGTAGAAGCAGCAGCAACGTGAGTCAGCAGTATTCTCCTGAGAATAATACCATACACTTCTCTACTTTATTTTTTTGAGAATGGCCATATTATTAGCACTTGCTGATTTTCATTTTGCTTGATTTTTAAGGCTGCAGCTAACTGTCTTGTTTATGTAAAAGGACATTTTTATTAATGGTTAGCAGGGGGTTTTCATATCACACAGGGTCGAAAAAAAGGTCACTTTGAGATGAAGAATGGTGTAGTGGCTCTCTCTCTTTCCACTTTGGCATCACAGCCTTAAAACTGCCAAAGTAAAATAGAAAGTCTGAATGAAAGAGCTGAATCTCTCCTCCACCTTCCTCTGCCTTTGCCCCAGATCAGTCTTCCCCCCAGATTGCTTCTTAATTTAAATTAGTTCACTTAGAAATATTCACCTGAGATAGAAAGAGGGAACCTTTTGTATTTTTCAGGGATGCCATTCTTCCTTCTATTTTTCATGCAATTAAACCTTCCACAATCAGAGGGAGTAAAAAAAAAAAAAACAACATTGCAGGGCATGTCCAAGTTTGGCAGCACAAAGATTTGTCTGAGAGCAGGATTTGCAAAACTGATTTCCCATTTATAAAAAGCCATTTTAAAATGTATAGTTATTATACTGTAGATGTATTTGAGCACCAGAATGACCATCCTGGTTGAAAACAAGTAGGTGTCCATGCAGCCCTGTGCCATGTCTCCATTTGCAGCAGCTCCCTAATCTATCCACGATTTTGGGGTGAGGGGGCTCAAGAGAACACGGGCACAGATCATCTTGGTAGAGATGGGGTTTGTTAAGATCTATTTGAACATCAGAAAAAGCTTGAAAAGACAAGCTGTCTTTGAGAGACACATATCTTGGAAATCTGGGAAAAAATACAAGACTCATGTACACAAGGGGACATAATACAAGTGAGAAGAACTCCATTAACCTCTGGTATGCAGGGACCTTTTTTGCTTAATTAATCAAGTTACTATCCTAGTCCTCCTAACTGAGTAAATTTTAAATCTTATTTTCACTAAGTAATAAGTATTTCTTTTAAGTGGTTATTCAATTATATATTAGATTAATATTTAATCAGAGAGTTTATCTTCTTTGAAAGAAAAAACAAAGGGGGAAATAGCTCCTGATATAGAGTTTGAAATCTCTAAACAGCAATTAACATATTTTCTTAGCTAGTGTACAGTTATCTCAGAATTTGCAGCTAATTGATGCTGTTACTATTCCCAAGTGATTAGCAGCTGACGACATGAAATAAATAAGATGTAGTAGAAGAACACCTAAGTGTGTCTAATGATAAACATTTTTCACACCTTGTGCATTCTTGCAACAGATAAGTTTCAGAAGAAATACTTTGGTATAACCACCAAAGCTTGGCCTTTTCCAAGCTGTGGTTGCAAAAAAGAGACACTACTAGAAGGCTATCTTGAAAATAACAATTTTGTATTCCAAACAATTAAAAAAAAAAAAAAGGGGCTTGGCAGAATTTCTTTCCTCCAAAAAGAGATTTTCTATTACTTAAGGAATAATATGAATTTTGGTCTTCTCTTGTACTGACAATTTTGAGATATACCCTATGAAGTATGCCATAATGCCTTTAAAAGAAAACTTGAAGCTGTGCTGCAAAAGTTATTAGGCACATCTCACAAATGTCATTCTTGTGTTTTCTTCTGTGGAGGAAGGACAGATGGCTAGCTGTGCCTCTTAAAACAAACTTAATTTTTTTTTGAACGCTGAATTTCTCCATATCTGTCTTTTTTCCATCTGAATGGGAAAGAAAAATGCAAGAAAGAAAAAGTCTATTGATATAATCTACTAAAATTGCACACACTCCTTGTATATCAATATTTTTAAAATACTATTTCCTATGGAAATAAGGTCTGGTCAGGTTTTTTCTTAATTATTTTCCTCCTTAGACATCAAATTGTAAGTATGGTCAGTTATTTGTCTTTCCATGCTTTTAAAAGAAACTATCACAAATGAAGTTTCTACTCAGATCATATTATAAAATCTGCACCAGACTGGAGCCTTCTATGTGGAAAGTGTGGCTAGATCACAAAAGATAAACTGCCTGTTCTTTGGTGACATAAAAGACATCTGATGCTATGAAGAAAGGAAGAAATAAGGAATTTTAGACCCAAACTGCAACATTTCAAACACAACCAAGCACATATGAATATTCAAGGTATAATATTTTAGAAAATGAAAAGTACATAAAACCAGGAAAAAATGAAGAATTTGACAACCTCCAGGTAGGATATGTGGCAAAATCTACTGTGAGGCCATGGAGATCTTATCTGAAAACTAAGGATATGGAGTTTTATGCTTTTCAAGATTGGTTGGAATTTTGAGTGATTTGCTTCATGGACTTTATTGAACACATCTTGGACAAACAATGATTTATAGCAACACAGAAATCCGAAATATTTTAAACTGCCAAAAGTACATATCTTGCTCTTCAGAAATACTTGTACAATAGCCAGAAAAGTCCTCATCAGTGTAATTAAAAGGCTGATTATATATTTTAGGTTCCTGTGGGTATTTCTCAAAGAACAGTTGAATGTACTTCCCACTCATCTCTTCCTCTCACTTAGGATTCTAGATTTGCAGGAAAATTTTATGACTTCCACTATAAACTTAAAAGAAAATCTGTACATAAGTTCTGACAAAAAGCAGACAATAGTGGCATTTTTCAGTGACGACCTTAATACACTGAAAAAGGACTAAAAAACTTGCATTTATTCTGCATTCTCTGAGGACTTCAGGAACTGAACGAGCTACAAACATTTACTTTACTCAAAAAATGGCCATATATTCAATGAAAAGTCTTAAACAGCACTGAGGGGAGCCAGCCGAGCGCTGGTGTGGTACTGGGATCCCTCCTGTCCTGTACCTGTTCTCTCTGAATCAGTTTTGGCTCTACTGTCTGATGGAAGAGGAGGCAGAGTCTCAGCTAAAGGCCCAAGAGTAGGAGATTGTCACTGTTCTCCTAGGCTATAGGATGATCTGCTTGTGGAACACTGAAGTCCACAAGTAACTACCCATGACAATTTTGTAGCCTCGAGTATAATTGCATTGTACTGGTAATATGGTGTGGTGAGAGCACTCTAGCAAAACCTTAACCATCCCAAATATCCAAATGTATGGACTTACCACTGACAAAACACAAGCTAAATTATCATAACATTATTGTAGATGGTAATTCTTCTTTTTAGCATCTCAAGAATTTCAGTGATTATTTACTTTACATTCCTAAAACAATATTGTGAGTCTCTGGGTTAAAAAACTGAAATAGCTACATGCAACTTAGTAGAAAAATATTGAACAAGTCATTGTATTTCAAAATTCTGGTGAAACAAAACCAGCCAAACACAGGAAACAAGGTGAAGCACGATAGGAACACCATTGCTGTCAGAGCCAGCATCTTTTGAGAGATGCAGGCCAGCTCAGCCAACATTTTATAAGACCCCACACAAAAGGATAGGAAGACTACACACAGAATGCTAAGCAGAAAATGTCAGGTCTGCCAGGGAGTAAAGTTTCCAAGCCTGCAATGACGTAGAAGAAGCACCAAACAACAGCAGGAGTGTTAATGAAACTAACATTACTTAATAAACTCTCCTGCCAGTTTACCAACATGAACATGAGCAAGGCAGAAGAATGAAAAAAAAAATACTCCAGGTTCATATATGTCAATTCTTCATTCAGCCACAAAAAAATCTCTCAGAACAAACCACCAACGCCTTTCCTATGTGCAGTAATTTTAAGGGAAGTTAGCAGTTAATATTACTGGTAATAAAAACATTAATGCTGACATCCTAATTTATTAGTTTTTGGTATCAATGCTCTATTCTCAAACTAATTTGCACCTATTCTTCCTCTTGCAGGGCACAATAACTGACCCATCTCTGTATCAAACAGACTTCTGTTGAAATTTCCCTGGAGTTTTCCACCTGTTCTTGTTTTTCTGCTGTATTTGGAAAGATGCCATTTGTGGCAGAGGTTTATTTTACTCATTTTTACTGCAGCTAGTAAATCAAATCCCTGAAAAATTATTCATTCAAAATGAGGTATTTCAGAGCTTTATCAACCTGGATTCTCACTGAATAAAACCACATATTTCAGAATTTTGAGCAACCTATAATTCATCTGTGTCTTCTTTTAGTACCCTCAACAGTGCTGCCTAATCTTTGTGCTTTTGCTCTCAGTCAATGACTGTTTCCCATATCACAAACACTATGACACCCATAAGACATGAAAAAATTTACATTCCTTTACTTCCATATGAGTTCTGCAAGTTATGTGGGGCTTTTTCTCTTCTGCATTTTGCAAGGGAATAAAAGTTTCTTGTAGCCAAGTGATTTCTCTGACATTTGTCCAACACTGGTGCTATTGGTGGAAAAGTGTCACTGCTAGGTTTAAACACTGTCTGAACACTGCCATTTTGCAAGGAGTTTTGCTTCCATAAAATTGAAAGAGAAATGCAATCAAATTGACATTGTCTGTTTTCTTTAGAGCTTTAGAGTTTTGTTTGTTCTACAATCATAACTAGGAATGAAATGCAAGTATCAGTATTACAACAATCAGTGATGAAGGATTAGTTTTGATTATGCTAAAGACATATGGAATGCTGAGAAAAGTTTTAATCACATCTTTAAGTGAAAAAGAACAACTACAATTCTGACCTGAGAGAAAATAGTCATTGGATCCCTTTAAAGATGTAATTGAAATTCCAGTGAATTAAAAGGAACTTTCCCATTGATTTCCTTAGCTTTGAGCTGGACCTTTAATTACTAGAAACCTAGAATAGCTACCTGTCCCTTTTTGTGAAAAAGGGCTAATATGAAGGCACTGGTCCTTAAGATGTGAACAAAGAAATCAATTTTTTCCAAGGTGAATCCAGAAGGAAAAGTTTTCACCTTGCAACTGAGATACGATAGAGTACTCACTGGTGGATCCTTTGTTGGCTGAACGGAGCAGTATAGCAGTCATTCTCCTCCAGATCTGGCAGTGTTTCCTTGTCCAGTTTCATTGGCTTTCTGGGCAACCATCCTCGGAACCTGCTTATCTGTTTCTCGATCCTGCAGCACATGATAAGTATGAGCATTTGTGATAATGGGTTTTTTCACTACACTGTGAAGTACAGGTTGTCAAACCAGGACACTGAATATTTACAGCTAGGAAAGGTGCAATGTTTTTTGACTTTTGTTGAGGCAGACCAAATTACATATGCTGAACTCGATTACTCATAACCAGCTTTCTGCAGAGGAACATTTATTTTGTCTCATCAGAAAAGCAATGCTGATGGTACATGCTGCCATAAATCTTATTGAGCCCAATGACTACTTGGCATGTCTCTAAATGTTTATTTGTCACATTTTCAGTTCGTTTAAAATTCAGGCTTAACCAACATTAGATTTTAGTAATCTAAACATTAGAACAGTGAAGATTGTGACAAAGACCTTTGGCAGCTAAACCCAGGAAGTGACATTACTGCTGTCTGTATGGATTCTTACCTTGCACTTGATGCTATTAAAAATGGGCTACTTTGTTAATTTCTTTATTTCTTGCAACACTACAACCTCCATGAAATCAGAACTCGGGGTGTATAGGCTAACAGGTGACTGCTATGCAGATTCTTACATTTGGAAGATGAAAGCAAACAATGATTGAGCTGGAGAAAGGGCAGATTTAACTACAGGTGCACTCATGCAAAGATACACAGTGAAATGAAAGGAAGAATCACAGCTCATTGGAGAAGACAATCTAAACCAAATTCAAATCCTTACGAGAATGTCATAATGAAAAGCGCCTAAGAAAGATGTGTTTAGCACAGTGAGCCCTGCTCCAAGTCCTAACTACTGAGCCCTGCAAAAATCATGGACTACAAATTATGGAGTGTGCCCATACTTCAGTCACTGGATGAATGTTTCCAGAAGTGGAACTAAAGGACAAGAATTTACTTCCTTTACTTCCTTTGAACTTAAAGCTCAGTTCTGAAAGAAGCTCAAGGACTGGAAATATGGTTGGGGGGGTTGTTTGTTTTATTTTGGGTTTTTTGTATTTGTTTTTTTGTTGTTTTTTTTTTTTTTTTTTTTTTTTTTTTTTTGAAACAACCAACATAAGAACTCTTAAGAGCAGCAAATGCTGGAACCTCTGCACAGTCCATTTGAGGGAGGACAACCCATATCCAGACAGCTGAATATGTGGGGAAGTGATATGAAAATGTTACATATTTTCATTTAAAAGTCATACAGTTTTTCCTGGAATATTCAGCCTTCTTCCACCAGGTTTTTTATCTTGGCTAGGAAAGCTAATGATAATTTTTAAAGATGGGCACATTTCAAAATTGTAAATAAATCAGCTGTACCTGTTTTAATCTCATTTTTGCACTTCCAATCTGGAATAGCGTGATGGGGGGACGGGTGTTGGATGTTGCATATGTGTGCAAATTTATCATCAGGACTGTTTGGGAAAACTGGAATATGTATGTAAACTTATTATAAGATTTAATTACTTAATTAGTCATAACCTCTCCATGGGCAGTGTTTGCACTGACCCAGCAGTTCGAGCACAGGAGGAGGTAGTTTGCAAATGTCTGTGCTGAATGCAGGGGAGGTGTCAGATCCCAAGGCTCTAAAGGCTTGATCCATTGTAACTCTCCATCTGCAGAATCCTGACAGCCTTGAGCTAGTCTGTGTAGGCAGACAGAAATGCCAAGGGAAAGCAAGTTCTCTACGGGGGAAATCCCTGTCTTTTGGCCTCTGGTTTTTCCCCTATAAATTCAGTAAACCCTGGATATATCCAACAGGCTTAGTGTGTCTGGGTATGGAAAAGGGAGGAGGAATTAGGAAGAGGGTTTTTCTAAACATCCTGTTCCGTTCCTGTTAATTAAACTCGTTAGAATTCTCTAAGCTATTAACACCCCTGCCCATCTGCAATCCTTGCCCATTCATGCTGCAAGTCAATGTGCACATTTGAGATATTGCCTGCTGCAGGTTTATCGCACCACACAAGCACAGCACAAAGGGACCGAGTGCTTTCCCCACTTAACAGCAATGCTTTATTCATGCTGGCTTCTCACTGAGTGTACCCAGAATATGAGTGCTTTGCCATTCCCAAGACTCAGATTACTTGGCATGCTCAGTCATCCTGCTGGCGAACGGGTCTGGAAGGTTGCAAAACCTTACTGCAAAGCACAGAACATGCAGTACAGCCTTCTGCAGGGAAAGCAAGCCCCCCTAGTTATCTCCTTGGAAAAGAAAAATGACCAAGTTTTTAAACTCCCTCCAGCTCATTCCAACAGTGCCATCAGTCAGCAGTGCAGGTTTTGTACTCTACAGGATCCTCTCGCAAAAGGAAAAAGATGAAAGAAGGGTGTTGGTGCTAACAAATACAGACACAGAGTGTTAAAAATCTATTTTTTTATAATTTCTTCAAGACTAATCTATGTCTCCCTTTCCACACACTCAGCTGAATAGGGGAACGATGTTTGGAAAGCGGTGTGACCTACACAGGAACAATGGGGTGATGGATAAAGATACATAAAGATACATTTGTGTTTAACTCACACAAAGAATTTCTCATAAAATTTAAAATAAACTGTTTTCTCACCATAAAGTAGGGTAGGGATCGAAATGTTTTTCAAAAGAAAGTTAAGAAAAGAAAAAAATTTTTGAATTGAGACTGATTTTTATGAGTGGGTTTTGCTTTCATAGACCTTTGTGCATATTGTGGCATTAGCTATTTTATTAGTTCAGTTTTTAACCATAATGCAGATGCTATAAGGTGTCTGATATCCCTCCTTTCCTTTAAAGTATGGAAGTTTTGTAATTTGAAGTGTTGAGATCACTAGACCTTTTCAGAGAGAAAATTCAAGTCAGGTTCACAAGTTGCAAGAGACCTGCTCTGGCTTTGCCTTGTGACGAAACTCCTCTCTAAAACAAATTTTGCCCAAATGTCGACATAATGTTTGTATTAACTCAAAAAATGAAGAAAGGCTTTGGGTACTTGTAATCTACACTGAACTATGAGTTGAGGAAATAGATACTTTTATTGAAGCCATATATCTAAGTTTCACATAAGTGAAAATAAAGCTGAATATATTTTATTTTTCCCCTCTGGGGCCATTCAGTTACAGCTTTTCTCCCTCAAGCAGCTATTTATAGACCTGAACATAAAAACTGAATTTAGTGTTCTCATCACTCAGGAACTAAATATCAGAAAAAGATCATACCTCTTCCTATACTGACTTCAAATTGCATCCTGACTCATAAGAAAATTAATGTGAAGCAAAACTTCGTATAACACATATAAATGATGAAACCTTCACCTTCTCCTTCCTATCTAGTGCTTTAGTCAAAGCAAAACCAATTCCAAAGCTAACAGCTGCTATAGTATCTATTGTAAGGTGGGAATGGAAAGTGGGGCAACATCACCAAGTTTTAGAAGATTTGTGTGCATTTATTACTGTGTGCCAAAGAGGGATAAAATGTCTCAAGTCTGCAAAGGGCTCATTTGGTGCTTACTAATATGAAAAGACAAATTCCATAATGTGATATCAGTGCTAGTGCTGTCAAGTTACCAGTACACTGTGACATAACTTAATATCCAAAAAGGTTTTTAATATGCTCATACTGCAGAGTGATCATCCCATGGATGTAAATGTATCAACATTATGTGTAAAATGGTGTGGCTGTTTACTCCAAAATGCAGATATTTCAAATTTAATTTTTCTCTCTTAGAGGTTCTTGGGAATATTTCCACTGACCTCAGTAAATAGAGGCTAGAGCCCTTTGAAAACTGCATCAAGAGTACCATGGCATTAAATGCCACATACAGTGAGAGAGATAATTGAGAAAGATAATTGTAGATATATAAATTATCTGGTTTTTGCCAAGTCTGTATACTTTTTAGGCATTTTGGAGATATTTTCATTTCATTTTCCAAGGTATCAAAAAGAAAATGCAAACTGATGCAGAAAAAGGGTTTCATTGCTTGAAGTCAGACATAACCTGGGCATCAAGCATAACCTTAAAGGTATTTAATAATTGAGTGAAAGCACTTCAAAGATTCTTGGAAAATACACATCTCTCAAACTTGGTTTATTGGCTTCCTATCTACGATCTTTCTAAACATCCCCATGGAGGAAGCAATAAATAAATAATGCCATCAGTATTACAGGTAAGCAAGGTTCATGGACATGAAAAAACCCCTGTAACTGTGGTACTCTAACCCCAAGAAACTCTCTAATGAGCTACATGGAAAGAAGGAGATACAGCACTTGCACTAACATACTGCTATTTCTTTGAAGACTTCATCAGCTGAAAAATATTTTCTTATTCCAAAAAAGGCAAAACTGATAAAATTAATTGCTTCTTTCACAATGCAGATGCCTTAAAAATGCAACTTCTGTTCGGTTTTTTTCTTGCAGATGTCCTAGTGTGTAACTACTCCCTTTATCATTTCTACAAACACAACTGATTAACTTTTCCTTCCAGCTTGACTTTAACCATTATTTTTGTTATTGGGTCCAAATGAGTATAAACTAGCATGAGAACTGTACTCACCTATTCATGAACTTGTATCGGCGATGCAGGTAATAGATTTTTCTCCTGGAAGAACAGCAAAAATGAAGCCAGTCGAGAAGAAAACCCATCGTCAGTTACAGTTTGAACTAGCAAGGAAGGAAAGGAGATTGAAGACAGAAGCCTGTAAGAGGTGGAGGAAGAGACTAAAAGAGAGATTAACAGAACCGTCACCGGAAGCCACACAGACACTGGTGGCATTTGAATTGCCAGAAGGTTATAATTTTCCCCTTGTCTCCTCCTTTTCTGCTATTTGTCATGTGTGGAAGATGGGGATCTGAAGACATTTCTATTTCAGAGTTCATAAACTCTCCCAGGAATTCCATAGGACTGACACAAGTATGGATAAATTATGTGACGTCTACTAGTGAGTTGTTAAAGCTGCATTTGGTGAAACACAAGGGGGAATCACTTAGAAAAGCCAGGAAAGCTGTACCTTACGCTGCAATATGCTGTAACACATGCAGTACCAAGCGGGGTCTGTGATTCCTGTTGGGATAACATCCCTTGAAACAGAATATAGGCCACACAAGCAAATGCACAAGTGCTCAGCATCCCACCAAGTGTGCAGCCACTCCCTCTGCCCCTCATTCAGGCTGGTTTCTGTTCTCAGTGCAATAAGCTGTGTGTGAGAGCAAACAATGCACAAGTGAGCGGACAAGGGGACATGAGCAGACACATGCTGAACCCGCTCCCAGCCTGCCTCCTGACCAGTCCTGCGGTGCAGAGCAACCCCTAACCACCATGTGTAGATCCAGGACTGGGAGTCCACGTCCTGGGCCACTCCCCTGCTGGCTGCTCTGGTTCTTCTCATAGACGCCTATCATACCACAGCTGTCAGGATCTGACACACTGCCTTCAGCACAGAGATCGCATCTTCACGAGAGTTAAGAAAATCTGAGGGCTCTTGAGTGTGGATTTGGGACTCATACTCCTTTCTGGAAAATTTAGGTGCCTGACCAAACTCTGATTTCCTCCTCCAGAGGCTGGCTTTGTCATCCACTGAGGGTGAGTGCTGAATTGAGGTGGTTTCTGTGTATTCTGAGAGGTTCCATTGTGTAATGAAGAACTGTACCACTTCTGGAAAATGAAAGTTACACCACACATGTTCTAAATACTGTAGTAGATGTAGTATAGGAATGCTGTTAGTGCCTTGGAAGAAAATCCTCTAAAATAAGACAACACTAATGCATTATAAATGATTTAAAATTTGGTTAGCATTCCAGATTAGTTTTCAGAACTTTTGAACATTGTTGTTATTAGAGTCCATATCGTGCTGGTGAAGTAAAATTTTTAAAACTATTTCATGTTGACCAGCCTTCTTTGGATAGTGTTATTTATCTTGCTCTACTCAATATGCTCAATATCTTACTCTGCTTGACCTTTCTCAGCAGAGAACAGTCAAAGCTAAGTGTTTCTGAAGATGCCATCCACTTCTTGGTTTTGCTTCCAATATTCAGAGGTATCCACCACTTTTTCCCTCCTGCTTTGAAACAACAAGGATTTCATTCAGTGATGCATGGATCTTGCACAATTCCAGCCTGAATAACCAGGAGAATTAAGCAATCAGCAGCTCTTAAAACAAGGGCTTAGACAAAGGCGTCTGGGATCACACCATCTAGACTTGTGGACACTGTAAAATTTTTTTGAAATGGCAATCTGTACTGTTGCTTTTAAGCAAAAAAATTAAAGAGCCTGCCCAGCAGTCACTAGTGAATTATCATGATTTCCTCTTAACAATGCTGTAGTAATTCTCACTCCATGGATGTGGAAAGAATGAAGCCATGATCCTGAAGCAGGTCAAGAAAACCTCAGTATTTTCAAAGCTTTCTATATAATCTGTATTACACCTACTTTGCTGTCTGCTGAGTGATCAGGAAAGAACAAGCTGCTCCATGACTAAATTCAGAATTCCTGGTGTATTTCTAAATCATGAGACCTCACTCTACTGCCAGAGTGGGGCCATCTCACGGAATGGCACAGAAGTCAAATAAGGCACACTTTTGGCCTAATCCATTGTTTCTATGGCTGAAACACTTCAAAAAGAGAATATTACTATCCTGCAATGACGTGCGATTGCTTTTAGAATTTTCTCTTTAATAATAAAATCATAAGGAAGAACAGTTGAGGATTTGCTGTGAAAATGAAAATAAAATAAATACAAAATAAGCCTGCAATTTTGTCCTCCATACATATCCATTTTTCCTTATGAGCTCTCTGCTGCTACAGGGTGTCTCATACCAGAGGCATTTTTCATATTTACATAAGAAAAAACAAAAGGAATCCTACAAAGGCACCAGCTCACTAGTTGCATATTCTGGGTCTGATTCTTTTCTTATTCAGGAGTAATTCCATTAAAATCAATGGAGCTTTATATTGCAAACCCTGCTAACTGAAAGAAGAGTCAAGGCCTCTCAGTTCATAGGTTGTGGTCAGTTCCAGTGGAAGTCTTTATGCTACTTTAAAAGTTCTGATAAGCAGCAGAGTAAAAGCAATATTTTACATAGCAAATTTCATAGCCCAGCGTGCAAATAATAGTTAATAAATTATAAAAATAACCTGAATTTCGATGTGGAATTAATCTAGTTATCAGTAGCATTTAATATAAGTTCTCTATTTTCTCCACAGAAAAAGAGCATTCATAGCTTAAATTGTTTTCCTATTAGATGAGATACTTATTTACACTTATTTATGGGATACTAACTGCATACTATACAAGCAATTTACAGGTGCATACCAGATACGTCAAACAGACATGCACTTTCTGTGCTGCCTTACGTACCTGGATCTTCTTGACCTCCCATTGATTTCAATGAAATGTCCATTTAAAAAACAGCAGCGCACAAGTATGCAGGGGGTTCCAGCATTGAAGGGGTTAAAGGGCCTAAGGACAGAATACCCCATGAAAACAGCTGCACTGCTACAGCCCATCATAATCTCAAACCAGTATCGTACCAAAATTGTAGGCTTTAACAAGAAACAGCAATGCATGTGGTATCTAAGCAACTCCATTTATATTTCCTAAAGGTGTGTAGTATCTTATAGAAGAGCTTTTCTACAGGCATTTTGGTGTTATTATCACATTAACTTTACAGTATAGTGTGGCTTTGGAGGTTGAGACAAAATACAGCTACACCTACCTGAAAGGCATTCTTACATTCATTAGTTCAGCATATTTGCCCAGGACCTCCCAAGGGGCATGCAGTTTCACAAAGATGATGTCACTGTTTGTTAGGGATGACTGCAAAAGAGAAACAAAACAGCCACCAGAGCTTACTTTTTCAAGTAAAAAAAAGAAAGAAACCGTAGTCAGTGGTCAATGTGATGTGTCACAATCCCTTTTTCTTCTTGAAATGTTGTATCGGTATTTTGTCAATCCATTTTTTTTCTGCTGCCCTGAAAGCCATGCTGTGACTCCCTTCTGGCCTGCATGTGTGCCTCCTTTACATGGAAAAGAGGACATGGAGGGCAGACAGATGCATCTATGGGTTAGCTGAGTGTACATCTCATGAAGAAAACTTTATGCAGGGTGTGCACATCAGCATGGATGCCACCTTACAGAATGTGTCTGGCAAAGACCAGAGGATGTGCAGCAAAGAGGAGAAGAGCAGGAATTTAGCTCTGTTTGCACTCAGGAGGAGACACAGTGCTCTGCAAGAAAACTACAGCAGGTTTGGCTGAAGCTGATGTGAAAACACAGAGAGCCACATGATAATACTGGAAGATTAAATGTTCAAATTCTAATGAATATTAATTAAATTTTCATGAAGTTACATCCAATACAATTTTAGACAATCAAGTGGATGACATTCCAAGAAATAGGTAAAGGTGTACTTAGTAAAAGATAAGGAAAATATGATGACAGAAAACCAGGCAAGAAAATTGTTAGTTTTTGTGGAAGATTTCCTAGTTTTTTAGATGTTGTCCTATATTCAATGTTTCTCACATAGATACAACTTACTACGAGTTCTTAAATCTAGTATTGCTTACCTGGAAATTTCTGTGACTACATAGGTGGGAGGCTGACATTTATACTTTTTACACTCTCCCTCCACTATCCTGATAGATGCTGAAATTATTGAATTTGCATGTCCATGTCCTTAGAGTGGCTAAAATTCTATTACTACTTTATGACATGATAGGAATGAAAACTCCAACATTTAAGATACAAATATATTATTTTATTTAGCACATCAAAAAGCTCCAAATAAACAAATAAAAAAAACACAACAAAAACAAAGGAAAAAACCCTACCCAATCCAATCACTCTAGAGTTAACATTTTATAAACAACTCCAGTATTGGACCATAATGGACATAAAGAGATATTTGTACTAAAAATATTACTAGGGTGCAAATGTGGATTTACCATATAAAGGAATGAGTGACTTTATGGTGCTAAAAACTGCAGGAAAAAAACGTTCTTCTTTGCTGATGAATTTTTGAAAAATATTTCAATACAAAATGACACAACAGAAACAAAATGCCCCCAAGAGACTTGCTTCCAAGACAATGAATTCACTTGCACTCTTTCCCTGACTTTTATGGATTTTAAATCAGGCTTTAATTATGTTTTTCTTTATAGGTACATTTCACAAATTAGCTTTTATTTTCCCATGAGAATTTAGCAAGGAGACAAAACCAAAACTGAATTCTGCCGCTCTAAAAATCTCCTGCAAACTGCTCTCTCAAAGGTGAGGTTAAGTCAGCTGTGGATTGGCAATTTTGTCCTAAGTAGCTTGGATTAAAAAACAAAACAAAACAGAACAAAATCCACCAGACTTCAAAAGAAATACCTAAGAAGCCCGACATACAGAAAGAAACTCCAGTACTGACACACCAATAAAACTGAGAAATGGGGGAAGTTTATTAAAAACAGCTTCTAAACTTAGTGATGGCTGTTAAACAGGAAGTTTATAGTTATTTTCCAGCATATTGTAGTTTGAGCTTTACTTGATATGGGAGCCAAACATGACTGGAGAAGATGTTGTTTCACAAGTGAACACTATCTAAATTTGGTATCTTATGTGTTACATGTTTTCATGCAGAAACATGGAAAACTTCCGAAGGGTTATCACAATACAGATGTTTAAAGAATATTTTCTTACTCTGTATCTTGTGATGTTAGCACATTAAAATGTTTTCAAAATGACAGTCAGCTTTGCCAACAGAAGATCTAACCAACAGGAAACCTAATTAAATACACTTGACAGGTTCAGTTATATTCAGAAAAAAAAGAAATAATAATGCTAAATTATTAATATAAAAATCCATTTCTCTTGGGTTTGCTCATGTTAAGTGCTCACAAAGGAAAGCACTAGGCAAGGCTGAGAAAAGCAAGGCTGGAAAAAACAAGACTGGAAAGAGAATAATAAATCCAGATGGAGGACAAATTGAATGAGATGTCACATTCACCTAATCTAAGGAGTAAATAGCTAAGCAAAATATCTGGAAAAATGATAGCATGAAGACCATCTTCATTACAAAAATACTTTAGTGAATGGAATCTTCTAAATTGTCTTGGTTAGATTAGTATTTAGACTAAGTATCTTTCATCTTATAAATGTTTCAGCTGAGAATAGAGGAACGTTCTTTTGTTGTAATTGACTTTCAAGGGTTGGCTCCTTAAATGATTGGGAGAAGTAAACTCAATTTCACATTATGGGAACATGCAAACAGAAATCAATGTAACATTACTCCCCCTGGAAACTTAAATAAGACAAGTATTGACATGAGCAATCTGCTATAAAGTGATGTCCAGATAAAGAAGAAAGAAAAACAGGAATTAAGGGGACAGGCCAATGGGATAAAACACTTTAACAAACACAGAAATGGAATAAATGTTTGGAACTGACCTGTAGCACCTATCACAATGCAATAATTTTCAGGCCATCAATATTCTAATAAATTGGTTGTTTTGAACTGATTTATTGAGGAGGAATATCCACTAAAAAACCTGATTTTCTTCTGGTTACTAACAAACATTCTCAGTGGTCTTCACAACAGTGTAAAGCCAGGGTGACAAGAGACTTACCAGAATCAGACAACTGTAGACTCATCTAGGGTGGAAGGGACCCTTAGGGTTCATCTGGGCTAAGCGTCTGGCTAAAGCAGGGCTAACTTAGATCAGCCTGCTTGGACAAGACCTTGTCCCATTGAATACTGAATATCTCTACAGGCAGAGACTTCACAGCCTTTAGGCAACCCACTGACTGAAACTGGCTGGAGCAAAGAATATTTTCTGTAGAAGGATTGCTCTCTTCCATAGAGAAATGTTGGCTTAAAACTACCACTTTCTAGATCTGTTTTCCTTTAAAAACACCCTTATTTATTATAAGAACTCTCTTTAATTGTTATTCTCATTGAGAAGCGGTAGCAAGGTTTACTTAGTTTAATTGACCTGATCTTTAAAATAGGTTTTTATGGTAGAATTCAGGTCACCAGAGTCTGGGTTACACATAGTCAATATATATTTTGGCTTCACTGACAAGCATCATTAGTACCAGATAATTGCTGCCAGTCCTAGAATACAGGCAGTACTATAGGTCCACATATTATAGACTACAGTACATTTTATAGACTTCCCCTTCTGGCAAGGCTATCTTTCTATTTTACCATTAAGTTTGTAAAGACATTGCTATTTCCCAAAGAAATCCAATCAGCTGCAAACACATTTAAAAACAAAGCCATATTTTCTTCTCCAGTGTCACTATGTAAGGAGTGAAAGAGACTAAACCATTGGCCATTTATGTAACTCCAAAAGTGGAAACACCTGCTGTGGTGAGCTACTGACATCAACTAGGTCAAGGAAAGCTTGTAAAAGGTCTTGTTCTTCTAAAGCAGACACAGAGCAGTACCAACTGTTGGTTAAGTTGTGGGTACTAAACTCCCATGTATTCCTGCAAGCATTCTAATGTATTTTCAAGGCAGGATTTAAATATATATGTATTTTCTATTGACCTGACTCTGCCCATTCTGCACTTATCATTGTGACTCTGAATAGAAGCAGAGTTATGCTGACATGGAATGTCTCTTGAAAAGCCCATATTTTGCTGTATTTGCAGGCTGTCTTCCAGGATCAAGGCTAAAGATTAGTATGTTTTGTCAAATATCCTCTTGAACATTCTCCTCCTCCTTGCTAATTTTAGCTCACTATCAATAATATTGTCCAATCATTTCAAGACAAAAGCAGCTGTAGGTACTCACCTTGATATAAGCATTTCTTTGGTCTAAAAATTAAGGAAGTTGAGGAAACCTATTCACAGCATATGACATTGCAGAAGGTTAAAATTACGGTGGTTCCAATTGAATGGTGCCATTGTTTATTTGCCTTGAGGCTAATAGGTAGGTATTCATTCATGTATGCAAAACAATTGGGTGAAAAAAATGTCAGGATTTACCATTAAGGTGTTTCCCCTATCATCATCTAAGAGAAAAATTCTCAAGGCTGAGTCTCTCTTCATCTTTAAAAGCCTTCCTCATGAAAGTAAAATGAGATAAGTAAGATTTTGAAACAATTTTAAGATTGGTTGTTAAGATTTAACAACCAGAATTATTGTCATCTACTTTAGGAAGATCCTACAAGGCAAGTTAAAAAGCCAGAAGAGAAACAGTTTACATTTTGGCAAATGCCTGGTAAGACCATAACGCAGGGAAAAACAGAAAGGAGACAAAATCAACATACTTCTTCCAGTAACAATTCTGTCTGTAATCTAGCTCTGTATGATGTCTGAGTGCAGAGTAGTAAATAGTCACTACTACATTTTCCACTGTTTTTGAGAATTACTTAACAGCACAGATTGATTTGCCATGTGGAGTGAATTAAGTGGAAAAACAAAACCCAGCAAATTTTAGTTGATTAAATGGTTCTTCCTCTGTAAAACCAAAGTAAATATAAATTCACGTGGGCAATTCCATGGAGCTGGAAAAACAGAAAGTATATTCTGCCAATACTTTTCCAGTGCATACATTACCACTGGGCAATTATTTAGATACTGTCAGTATATGTCTGGTTTCAGGGAAAATATTGCACACTCACAAACATTAGCCTCCACATTCATGCTTCTGAGGAACCTAAAGAATAGCAGTGCCAATATCTTTCACACATGTACCTTCAAAAAAAGCATGGGTTTAGTGAAAAAGAGGAAACTATTTTTCACATTTTAATTTGGGTATTAAGAAGCCTTTGACTTGCAAGAAACTGTAGGGTAAAAGCAACAAGGATGAAAATAAGAATAAAAAG